CCAAAGCCAGAGGTCAGGAGCTCCTTCCAGATGTCATCGGCATCAGCTTTACCCACTACACCGCCATGCTAGCCATTGCCTTGGCTCTCCATTTCTTTGAATTGTGCAGCAGATGTATGATATGTATGGAGTCCACTCTACAGGCCCCTGTGACAGCCTCCAGACTCCCACCTCTGTGCATCACATCTGTGCAGCCTTTTGTGTGTCTCCAAGGCAAGGCCACTCCGCGAGTCCACTGCCTTTGCAGATTTCAATGACAGAGATGTCTCCCTGTCACCCTCCAGCCCTGTTTTGCATGCCGGGTACTCTAGGAAAATTACCACAGAGGAAAGGATAATAAGACCACTTTGACAAATGAATGCCAGGCAGTTGATATGGCTTTTTTGTGGGCTAACTTAGCTAACCAACTCCTGAGAGGCTCCCCACCTAACATATACAACAACTCACACTAGAACTAGGAAGTTATTCCCCAGAGAAATCAAGAATGTGCAAATCCTCCAAACATCGAGCAGTAAGTGTCCGGTAAGAAGGCTGAGTTTTGGACTCCACAGTGAGAAATCTGCTCGGCTACCTGCTGGCTGGCGACGTTGCTTAACCTCAGCCTCCAAGCACACCCATCCGTAAAACGAGAGATCAAGTGATGTCTACGCACAGTCAATGTGCATCAGTGCCGCAAAAGGACTTGACAGAGATGAGCTATCAATATCACAGGCACATGAATTTTCTGGCTTTCCATAACACACCAGTGGACAAGTTACACCAACATTCCATTATTCTCAGAAGCAAAATGTCACTAGGTTTGTCACTGGTTAAGTCCAAAAACAGGAAGGAGGGAGGAGACTGGGACCCTCACACACCAGGGAAGAGTGTAAAACTGCTGCAATCTTGCTAAAAGGTAAAATTGGAAACAACTATCAAAAATCTTATCATATCCTTGGTCCTATGATTGTACTTCCACACACTTATCCTAAAGGAAAAGTCTTACTATATATACAGAGACACATACAGAATAAACATGGCAGTTACTGACAGTGGTGGGGAGCAAAACCAAAGTAATGCCTAATAGAAATTAATTGGTTAGATTAGTACAGATACAAAATGAAATATCATTCAGTTAAAAAAAAAACTGAATCTGCAATAGTCAGAAGACATTCATGATGGTAATGAAAAAAGAAAAATCACCATTATGTAAGTGTAGCTGGACACCAAACCTTGTAGATGAACAGAATCGGCAGAGTATGCACTCTAAGAGGGGAGTTACGGATATTTTACAATTTTTCTACCTTTTAATTTTCTTTATTTCAATCTTCCTATATAATTTTTTACTACAAAGGATATTAGCTGATCATCACACAAAGTCATCCAGGTTAGGTATGTAGCATAGTGGTTAAGACAAAGCTTGGGACACCTGCAGCCTAGCAGGCAACCCGGGACAGCTCAAGCCACCAGCTGGGTCCCTGCCACCCACACAGGAGACCCAGTGGGAGCTGCTGGAATCTTTCTAAACAACTAATATTTAGTACCAAGACACTAATGAACCTTTCTTTTTAAGCAACAGATTTTTCTTATTACCACAAAGTATAATAGCATGAAAACAATTTTAGCTTTTGAATTTTGATATTGTTTTCATACTCCAATTATTTATCACCATGATAAACACACATTATTAAGTGCATACCTGAAAAACTTATGTAAGCACTTGAGAGTATCTAAATTTGGGTATCAGTGTTGGAGCTCAACAGGTTAGCCCTTCATTTACAAGTCTGGCATTCCCTTTCAGAGTGCCAGCTCCAGGTCCTCCTCTTCTGATCGGGCCTCCTGCAGATGCAACAGAGGAGTGGTGGGTAAGAGCCCCTGAGATCCACGGCAGACACCCAGCCGCAGCGCCTGGCTCCCGGCTTCAGCCTGGGCCGGATCTGGCAGCTGCAGCTCTGGGCAGAGACCGAACCAGCCACAGGAGATGGAGCTCATGCTCTCCCTCTCTCTGATGTTCTGCCTTTCAAATCTTCCGGTAAATCCTGCTACTATTCCATTCTCATCTGAGAAAACTGAAGGCACTGAGTGGTTAGGCAGCTAGGTCAAAGTCACTGACTCGGCATGCTCAACCCAGGCTTCTCCAGAGTTTGTCATTAAGCCCCTCTGCCTTATTGGTGGACTCTGAGAGACAGAAGCAAAGACTGAATTAGCCTGAAAAGTGAGCCTGGAAAGCAGACCAATGTTTACAGTATAAAATGATTTACTGTAACTCTATGACTTAAATGCATATTTTCAGTCTCTAAGCCAACATTTTGCTGTCTTCTTTTCAGCTTATGGCCTTGTTTAGCTTATACTTGGGAAATGCTAACCAAACTCACAGAAATCATTAGGATACAGTGCTTGTGGCCTCCCTGATGCATAAAAACAAGGACTAAGTGATGGGATGAATTTGACAAGCAATACTTTTAAAAACTGGCTTTTTTTTTTTTTTTATTTGCTTCTTGACTCCTCCATTTGCCAAAGACTTCATGGAGCTCCTCCAGGCACTGTTTAAAGCAGCAAGGACACGGGGTTGAATCAGTCTCTGCAACTCTGAAACGTAATATCACAGGTACAACTGTGTATCTTCAAGGTCATGATCAAAGGCTTGGAGTTAGCATCCTAATATACCAAACGTATTGTGTCATCTCAAACACTTGTTATGCACTTCCGGAGCTGCTCAGTGAGCCGACACCAGTGGCTCTCCAGCTGCACTGTGCTGGGCCAAGTCCTGACAACCTGTTGACCGTGACCTGTCCAATTCCACCGTGCGATGACAAGAAATCTGTATTTTAAAAGCCCTGTTGTTAACGCTGATGTTAAGTGACAGTGAGGTGGGATCCAGACTTTGGAAATCCCATTCAGAAAGTGACCAGGCAACACTCATTCAAATACAACAGCCTAAGGGCAGTGCAACTTGAGCTATCCACCCAATCCCCATGAAAAACTTGCCTGTAACTCATAAATGGAGCGAATTAAGATGAATCCGAAAAGAGGAATTTCCCAGCGCCGCCTGCTTCATCTCTTACAGGAACCCTGAATTTGCCTCAATTAAGCATTTGAGGAAAACAAGCGGAAGCGGAGCCTCACTACCAATATTCAAAGCTAGCATTAAGAACAAGAGAAATTGCCAGTCAACTAAAAAAAAAATGCTAAGAGGGGCAAATATTTCAGGGAACTAACTCGCGAGCACTCATTTTATGCCCTATTTCACAATGCTTAGTGTCCGAACAATCCATGGGGTTCCAAAGTACATTAAAAATGTGTTCATTTCCTCTCCTACTCGGGCAGAATAATAAACAGCTCTTTGTAGGTATCCTGCTATCGTGCTCCCCAGCAATTTCATCAGATACAACCACAGATACATACATATATTTTTAAAGCAAACAGTAGGATTAGGAACTCTCATTTCTGGACTACTTAGAAGCGTCTGAAATATTTTCAGCACTATCACCACCAAATCAGCATCCTTCATTTTGGAAAATCAGAACACTTCCAAGTTCCTGTGTTTCTTTCGAATTCTTCTGCAGGAAGAATATGCACCGCCCCACATCTCTTTTTTAAAATGCTTTTAGTTAGAATCAAATCCTCTTCAGTACTTCACAGATGCGACCAACTAGGAAAACTGTTTAAAGCCAAACCAGTATTTGGTTCTCCACGACAGACACAGAGAACTACTAACTATGAAAGGTGCTTAAAAAGTCAGCTAAAAATAAAGGCATCCCAGCACACACATTCCTGCCCTCTGGGTTGGGGCGGCGGGGGGGGGGGGGGGGCGGCGAGTTGAGTGAAGGGTGGCCCCACTGCCAACCCATTAGCCAGCAGATTGCTGGTCCCTGATTCCTGGCCCCTCCATAATCCAGGCCTTTCTCTCCATCCGTCCGACTGGATTAGCCCAACTGCCTGTGGACTGACAGTCCCGGCGCGTTCGGACGCGTCTGTCTGCACCGCGTCGGTTTTCATTGTGTACACTGGGCAATGGGTTTGTTTGGATGATTCCTGCGCTTCGGCCGCTGGCAAAAGCGCGGATGCCGGCAGAGGAGCACAAAGGGACTCATCTGGCCGGGCGTCCCGCGCTCTCACAGGGCCGTGGGCCGGTTCTGCCTTCCAGAACCGCACCGCAGATGGCAAAGTTCGAAAGAAACTTTCCCGTGGACCAGGCTTCTCGAAATCCTCCACACACACCCCACCCCACCCCGCTCCGGTTCTGCGGAGAAACCTGTTCATTCCTCCCACCCAGCCATCTCCTCTCCAAAAGCAAAAAGCCTTCTCCATCCAGCCCGCACCCCAACAAAAGACTGTCCGCAGGACGTGCAATCCACGAACTTGGCAGACGGAGGGGAAGGACGGCGCACCCATCCCTCAGCAGGCGCCTTTCCCGGGGCATGGAAGGACACATCCCCGAGGAAGCGAGAGCCCACAGCGGTGGAGGGGGCCTAGGGTGCACGCCACAAAGCCAAGCGGGTCGGTGCGCCCAGATGGCCAAGGGGACACGCGGACCCGCCCGTCCGGGGAGCGCCAGCAGGGCCGGCCCCGCAGCTCGGCCAGGGCCGGGCAGCACTGCCTGCCTTTCCCTTGACAGGGTCTCACACGCGCCCGCAAAAGAGAGGGGCGAGCCCGGGGCTCCAGGCCCGGCGCACACCGATCCCTGCCGGCTCGTCTTCCCCAAGCGGGGTGCAGGTCGGCGAAGCTGCGGGGTCATGGCCCGTCACCACCCTTCCCGCGGCCGAGGGCAGCGAGGTCAGCCCCCCGGGCTCTGCGGACACCCGTTCGGCCCCAAGCCCCGTCCCGCGGCCGCCATCCCCAGCCCCTTTACGCCCCGGCCTCCGCTCAGCCGGCCAGCCGGCCGTCCCCCAGCACCCTGCAAGGAGCCCGCAAAGGGTGGCCGCCGTCGCCGCGACTCCCGGGCGCGCGGCCGAGGGTGAAGGGCGGCCATCGCGCCGACCCCCACGGTCCAGGCCGCCGCCGGCCAGCGCGCGTCTCACCTCATCTCCGGGCGGGTCCGCGCGCCGCCGCCGCAGGGACAAATCAGTGCAGCTCACACTCCGCGCCGGGGGACGCCGGAGCCGGGGCCCGCACCATCCCCGCCCGCCCCGCCGTGCGCCCCTTAGCCTGCTCGGCACTCCGCCTCGCGAGCCGCCGTACTACGGAGCAACCAAGCTGCGCTCCCTCCGCGCGTTCCTGCGATCCTCTCTACCTCCTTCGCTCCCTCCCTCGCTCCCTCGCTCCCGCCTATCTCCTCATCTCCCTCGGCCTCCGCCGACCACGCCCCCTCCTCCGCCCACAAGGTGGGTGGGGACAACGCCCAGCCAATAGGAGAAAAGGAACGGCACCACCTCACCGCCCACTACCGTTAGCCCCGCCTACCACGGGATTGAAAGGCGGGGATGCCCAAAAAAAATGGAAGCCGACGGAGTGACAGTTACATCAACCAATCGGCAAACTCAGAGTGGGCGGAGTGGCATTCTCGTGTCCCCCTTTCCTCTCGCTTACAAAGCAGGCCACCGGAGGTCCGCGGTGTGGGAACCTATAGCGTGCTGGGCCTACAGTGTAGATGTGTCAGGCCGTCGGCATGGTTACAGAAGACTAAGTACCTAAAGACATAAAATCTTAAATACGTAAGACTTTAAAATCCCAGAGACTAAGGTGGAGCCGAAAGACAGGGGGACGAGGCAAGGGTGTGGCCGTTCATGAAATTTGCATAAAATCCAACTTCCCCGAGCATGCCGGGAGATGTAGTTCAGAGTTCAGTTGCTATGGCGTTCCCCGCAGCAACACAGGAGTGACAAGCGGCCTGGCCAATGGGTGCTTACCCTGAGCCTTACGGGGCGGGCTCTCTGCGGCGAGCCGGAAAGGTGGCGGTGGCGGAGGCGCAGGCCGTTGGGGCTGCTTCCCTACAGGTGAGCCCTGGGGCGAGCGTGGAGTGATCTTGGGGAAGCGGGACTTGGGGCGAGAGATCAGGAGACTCCCGGTGAAGCTCTGCTGGCCCTGGGGCGGACGGTGGTCTGCGTCGTACCCGCGGTTTGGCACCCGCGCGAGCTCAGGCCTAGCTGGGCTGAGGGGCGGGGAGGACGCAGGTGGACTTAGAAGCCTGTGGCCCTCGACAGTTTGCATTGTAGGTTTTTGTCTCTTTTTGCATTTGCCTCCACCTTCGCCAAGGCCGAGGCCTGGCCTGGCAGTTTTGTTTCACTTCATCTTCTCAACTGAATTCCACCCCGCCGCCTGCCTTCCCCCCTACTGACCACCCCTAAAAGCCAGCATGTTGGTTAGGACGTTGGCAGGACCCAGCACCTGAGCCAGCCCTGCCCCCGCGTACCCTCCACTGGGCCTGTAACCAACGACCCACTCTTGGAATGGTCGGTCCCCGGTACCGGACTCAGCAAGAACTGAAGTGCTGTTTCTTGGACTGCCCCCGCCCCAGCATCATTTCCACAGACCCCATAATGCGATATTTTTAAGAGTGAAAGATTTTCATATATATTTGTTTTGTATGAATTCTTGCAAGTCTGGTGTATTATGGTAAATGTGGAGAGGACCCAGTGGGGGTGCACAGTAGCCACCTGTAGCTAGTGTAGCCAGGGGCTATTCTTGGTAACAGAGAAGGTGCAAAAAGCAAGGGGGTTCAGAAGCGAGGTCCTGGCAACGACAATCTTGACCACTCGGAAGACTAAATTAAGTGGGCCCTGCCTAGTGTGCAGAAATAATCGCCAAATATCCTATCCTTCACTGCGAGCAAATCGCGTGTGCCCAGTGCTTTGCAAGGTTGACCGTGTTTAACCCTTGCAGCCGTCCTTGGAGGTAATGACCGTGGTGTGGCTGTCTTGTAGATTACAGACTCCAAGGTCCAGGAAGGTTCGAATTAAGTAGGGCTAGTCAGTGGGAGTGGTGGGATGCTAGCTGGGGTGGGCGGGAACTGCCCCATTCTCCCCACCTGCCCCTGCAATAATGCCTCCTGAGTGCCTGTGGGACTCATTTCATTGCTTCTGCCCCAGCCGTGAGCAGCAGGTGAAATGTCGGATCTAAAACGGCTTGCCAGCGGCAGCGATGATTTCAGGTTTTTTTTTTTGTGGGAGTTTTTTGGGGGTCTTTCACCTCCCTCTCTGTGGTGTGCATTTAAAATCAAACTTGTGGCGTGAAGAAGAGAGTTGAAAAAAAACGCTCTGAACCTACTTGCCCCGGACAGCTGAGCATCCATCTGTCCCTGTACCTTCTCAAGGAGGTGGGAACCCTGAGTCTAACAAGGTTCTGTGATGGGACCAGTGGTTTCTGCTTTGTTTGTCAAGAGCTCTTTTTTTTTTTTCCCTTCTTTTAATGGTGTATAAAAAACATTTGTTTGGTTTTGCCTTTATGAACTTCACACAGAATATTCCAAAGAAGGGCCCAGCGTGATAGCCTAGTAGTTAAAGTCCTCAACTTGCATGAACCAGAATCCCAGCTGCTCCACTTCCAGCTCCCTGCTTGCAGCCTGGGAAAGCCGTGGAGGACGACCCAAGGCCTTGGGACCCTTCTCCCACATTGGAGACCCGGAAGAGGCTCCTGGCTTCTTATCAGCTCAGCCCCAGCCATTGTAGCTGCTTGGGGAGTGAGCCAGTAGATGCAGGATCTTTCTCTCTGCTTCTCTCTGTGGGTCTGACTTTCCAATAAAAAAATCCTGTAAAAAAATATTCCGAAGGCAATTTTACACCCCTCAGGCCCAGTGAACGCTACTTGTACTGAGAAGTACAAGGAAACACATGCTAAAATGTGATTTGCAAAATCATTTCCTCTCACTTTTGTGGATTATGGTATTTTTTGTGAGCTTACTTTCTCTTGATTTTGCATTTGTGGGTAAATGTTTGCTCAGAATTGCACTTGGTGTTTTGCGTTTGAAGCAAAAATCGGTTTCTTCAAAAACTTGCAGTTAACTGGAACGTTAAGTCAGCGTTTATAACTGCAGTAAGTTCTAGGTAGACTGGCTCAGTGTATGGGAGGACTGAAATGTGATCTTTTAGGGGAGACGCTCCAGGTGATGAGCTCCGCTTTGCCCTCGGGTTCCTCCTAGCTGCATTATCCAGTGGCATGTGCCTAAGGCAACTTCCAGACTAGACTGTCACCATTTACATCACGGCCTCCACGGTCCCTCAGTGGCACAGTATGACAAAATCTAAGAAATGTCAGAGTTTCCATGGTTCCGGCTAAGCAATGCCAGTTGGCCCTGCACCGAGCAGGAACTAGAGCAGAGCATCGCAGTCAGAAGAAGGAGCATCCCACCGCCCCAGCCCATCAAGCCCAAGGGTCTCGCGATGGAGCCCCTCACACAAGAAATCCTGGACTCTTAAGTGACTGCATCTATCAGTAGGTGTTACGAGAAGCTTGCGTACAAGGAGCAGTACATCTCTCCTAAGATGGAGAAGGAAAGTCTTCCCTTTATCGGGAGCCCCTAGGCTGGATAGGCCTCGGTGGAAAGCACTTGTTGCAGAACAAATGCATTTTCCCTCTTGCTTCTGCTACAGCTTGTATCAAGCAGTAATAATAACAGTAGTATCTTTCTGCTTGCCCACCTAGCTCTAGAACTCCGGTGGCACAAATCTAGAAATTTTGCCTGACATGTGTAAAAACAACCAAGCCTGACTAGAGAATGCTCCTGGAGATGGAAACACTTGTGATTACAAGAGGCCTGGTACTTGACACCTCCTGGTGAAGCCTCATTTCTGCGTGGCGCCTCTGAGCGCTCACAACTTTGTTTCCCTTGCATTTTTGTTAAGTCTCAAGTCAATAGCCCCAGAATGTGAAAATCAAAAGTTCTTTGAGGTAAATGTTCACATGCTAGGCTTGCCTGCCAGAATTTAGTCAGGTGTAAGCCACTCTGGCAGCATCACCGACACTGGACCTGTGATCGCAGTTGTTTGCCACAGAACCCCCGTGTGCCTGTTGCCTTTGCCGCTTGTCCAAGAGCAGATGTGTTTCCAGAGGCCTTGGCCCATCCAGAGATGTCCTGACTCTGGGTGCCACCTCGGCACTCGGTCTCCCAGCGCATGCCAAGTGTGGTGTGTGAACCTGATCGCCAGCTGGTTACCTAGACTCTGTTGACTCCATTTTTTTAACCAAATATTGGACTCATGGCTTGGTAATAGTTGTTTTTCTGATGTGTGGATATTTTTATTTATATATTATATTTTCTCATATATATGTGGAAAAGCTCAACACTTAATAAGGGCCTTACTAAAACTTATTAAGTCACCTGTTCGTGAATGATCAAAGTGTAACTGAAGCTTCGCCCTGTAACATGGCAGCTTGTCTTATCCTGGGATGCACAGTCCTGAGACTGGGTCGGGATGTGGCGTGGAGGTGCACATGGCCAGGGACAGCTGTGCTGGCAAAGTGAGCGTGTGGGACCCCCATCTCGGCACAGGCTTCACTCTCCTTCCCTCGCAGCCCAGCCGTGTGACCGTGCGTCTTTACTTTCCCCAAAACAACAAAAGTGGGATAGAGATATGTTTGAACTAACCCATGGTGATCATAGCATTGCAAACCTTGTGGAAGGAATAATGAACATTGGACTGTGGAAGAACAGTTTGCACTTTGGGGGACAGATGGGGTTTGAGGCTCTGGCCATATCCCAGGTCTGAGGCATTCAGGTGTTTGCCTGTCCCCTGGGCTGAGGTGAGGATGGCCCTCGCAAGGGAGCAAGGCAGGCAGGACAGCATGAAGAGGAAGAATATTGATCGGTAATACTGAAGAGCGGCTGGTTGCCACTAATCCCGGGCTAGGCTAATGGATAGATTACCCCAAACACCTGTTTGCTCGAAAGATGGGTCTTGTCTTATGTCTGTGGAATGTGAGGCTCAGGACACTTAGGGCCTGAACAGGTAGGGAGGGAATGATGTGAGGACGCTTTATTTACAATTGTTAGTGGATGAGCTCCTGGGGGGACCAAGTATAGCTGCAGTTCTTGCCGCCGTTGGAGCCATAACGAAACCTTTTGAAATGGCTTCCTATTGATGTTTTAGAAATCTTTGAACACAGGGGTTCTTGGGAAGCACAACATCCAATCTGGCTTCCCCCCTAGTGTGCCGCTCCCTGCTGAGGCACTGGAAGGCAGCACATGATGGCCCAGAGACTGTGCTTCCGACCACCCACGGGGCAGGTCCAGATGGATCCCTCACTTGTGCTTGACCCGGCCCTGGCTGCTCACAGCATTTGGGGAGGGTATCAATAAACATTAAATAGTAATCCCCGCAAAATGAATACCTTTATTAACAATTTTTTTGAAAGGTTATGGTCCATTTTTAATTTATGCAAAGTCCTCTTTGTTGTACCAAGAATATTTGAAATTGTGTATGAATGTGAGGGGGGGCTTTAATTATTTCTTTATTTTACTTGAAAGCCAGAGTTACAGACAGAAAGAGCGATAATTAGAAGGACTCTTTCATCTGCCTGTTCAAGCCCAGATGGCCAGAGCTGAGCCAATCCAGTGCCAGGAAGCAGGAGATTCTTCTGGATCTCCCGCATGGGTGTAGGGGCCCGCATCCTCTGCTTTCCCAAGCCAGTAGCAGGGAGCAGGATCAGAAGTGGAGCAGCTGGAACTAGTACCCATATGGGATGCTACACTTCAGGCATATTAGCCTGCTACATCACTGCACTGGCCATGAAGTCAAGTGTTTAGTATTTGAAAGGCAGATTTTGAGAGGAGAAATAGAAGAGATCTACTGGTTCACCCTGCAAATGGCTACAATGGCTGGAGCTGAGCCAGTCCAAAGCCAGGAGCCAGGAGCCTCTTCTAGGTCCTCTACATGGGTGCAGGGACCAAAGAACTTGAGCCTTCCTTCACAACTTTCCTAGGTCACAGGCAGGGAGCTGAATTGGAAGTGGAACAAGCAGGACTCAAACCGGACCCCATATGGGATGCCAGTACCATAGACTTAGGCTTAACCTACTAGGCCATGGCTCCAGCCCCTCCATATTCCTTTTTGATAACAGCAAAATTTACAATGTGACATAAAATTCTGAAATTATGCGACTATTCAAAATGCAATAGTATTATATATACTTAATTCCTACTTTTATAAAGGACTCTATTGCTTTATTTCCTATGTGTGCATATCTTTAAATTTAGTTAACTAGGTGTTCCATTGAATCTGGATTGGTGCCTAAGAAACCATGGAAACCTTTATTCCATACATTCCCCTACTTTCTTAGTGCTGAAAACTCAGTGTTTCTGTTTGAGGTTTGATTTTTCTGGCCATTTTTATTGAAAGCAGTTCTGTGTCTTGGCAACTCTTGAGTATATATGTTTTGGAAATGGAACAGGTGACCAGGATGTTTTCCGCCAGCAAGGCTGACACGCACCTGATGTGAAGGAACTTTTTAGGATGATGTGAACCTGGGTGCAGTAAAAGGTGCATGCGACTGTTGATCTGGGAAGCAGTCATTGTCAAAGAAAACCAGTGGCTTCTAGAATCACAAAGGGAGAAACTTTGAAGAACACCTGCTTATGGGTAATTCCTCCACTTCTCTAAAAGCGGACCCAAACACCAGACTAACAGGAGCCGAGACCTATTTACTTATTTTATTTTTTCAAAGATTTACTCATTTTTATCGCAAAGTCAAATATACAGGAGGAAGAGAGACAGAGAGGAAGATCTCCCATCCACTAATTCACTCCCCAAGTGACTGCAATGGCGGGAGCTGTGACAATCCGAAGCCAGGAGCCAGAAGCTTCTTCTGGGTCTTTGGGCCATCCTCTGTTGCTTTCCCAGGCCACAAGCAGGGAGCTAGACGGGAGGCAGGGCTGCTGGGATTAGAACCAGCACTCATATGGGACCCTGATGCATGCAAGGCGAGGACTTTAGCCACTAGGCCACCGTACTGGGCCCCAAGACTTATTTATAATAGTGAGTAGTGACTGTTTCAAACAATAGCTGGGAAACTCCAGCTATTTAGTGAGTAAATTAAGCAAGATTTTGTCTGATAGTATGGGACGGAATCTAGAAGTGTGAAACTAGTGTTGTGGATGGAGTGTCACGAGGGGCGTGGACTCGAGCTTGATTTGCTTAGTAGGATCTGTGAGGATGGGCCCAGAGCAATGGCTCAGTGGATAAATTCTCAGCTTGCATGCATCAGGATCCGATATAGGCAATGGTTCGTATCCCAGCTGCCCGGCTTCCCATCCAGCTCCCTGCATGTGGCCTGGGAAAGCAAGAAGAGATTGACCCAAAGCCTTGGGAGCCTGCACCAGCGTGAGATACCCAGAAGAAGGTCCTGGCTTTGGATCGGCTCAGCTCTGGTTGTTGCAGCCTCGTGGGGAGTAAACCAGCAAACAGATCTTTGTCTCTCCTCTGTGAATCTGCATTTCCAATAATTTTTTTTTTTTTAGAAATTAAAAATCTGTCAAGTCAACATAGCACACTGAGATAACAGGATATCTCTGTAAACTGAGGCAGGTAACCACAAATTATGACATCATGCTGACCAGGTCACAGACTCTGTCTTGGAAAACGGAGGACCAAAGTCGACCAGGGAGAGGGGTGTGCGTCCTGGAGAGCCTTGAGAGCTGGGGGAAAGGCTCCATGGAATGCTGTGAGAAACTCAGGGCTACTCTCCACTTAGCTTCTTCCTCTCTCCCCAACCCCAGCACCACACGAGTGAACGGTTAGAAGTAACGCCCTCGCTCACCCTGTGCTGGTACACGGTATTGAGGTGTGCAGCATACGTTATTTCCTGCGTGTGTCTTACATTCATTTCTGTTAGCTCCAGCCTGCACTATCACATCCTCAGCTAACATCTGTTCTGTGGACCCAGTTAGATCCAGTATGACTCAACACACAGAGCTAACTGGCATCGCGGAAGTGCAACCTAGGCAGACTCACAAGGCCTCATGCTCAAAAGTAACCTATGTCCTGCCACTTTCTCAAAATTCTAAAACGTTCTGGACAAAGTTTGCTGCACTGTCATCTTGTACTATGCACTGCAAAGTATGTGGGCAATTCTATCAAGAAACACTTAGTAATTTCCAATCCTAAAGGATAAAGTATTCTAGGGCCCATCATGATGGCCTGGTGAGTAAGTCCTCTCTTAGCATACGCTGGGATCCCATGTGGGCGCTGGTTAGTGTCCCAGCTGCTCCACTTCCCATCCAGCTCCCTGCTTGTGACCTGGGAAAGCAGTAGAGAATGACCCAAAGCGTAGGGAGGGACCCTGCACCTTCATAAGTGACCCGGAAGAAGCTCGTGGCTCCTGAATGGCTCAGCTCTGGCCATTGTGGCCACTTGGGGAGTGAACCAATGGACAGAAGATCTTTCTGTATCCCCTGCTCTCTGTATATCTGCCTTGAAAATAAATAAATCTTTTTTAAAAAGACAAAGTATTATAGTTGTGAATGGAATGTCTCTTTAAGAAGTCACTGAATACTAAAGTAACTAAATATTTGGTTTAGAATTGGTGGTTTGTGTCCCAGTTCTGGTCTGGCTAGTACTGAGAATAGAGGCCTTGCATCCATACTCTGCAAGATCCACTTTCCTAATTCATAACATAAATGCAATGATAATAATTTCACCAAAAAGTAGGCACATAAAAATTCTTACCTGGATAATTTTTAAGATGTCTCTGCTGGAAACAATTCAAATGTCTGCACTGTATTCTGAGTTTATTAATACAGAGGAGTACTGTGTTGCAATGTGAATGAATGTGTTTTAGCTACAGACAGCATCCCTAAGACTCAGAAATATTGGAGCCAGTGTGGTGGAAGATTTTTCTATCCCTCCTTCCATCTCTGTAACTCTAATTTTCAAGCTAAATCAATAAATAGTGAAGACAAATCTAATAAAGTTAAAAAAAAACAACTAATCTGTATCATGACAACTCAAGACAGTAGATACTAGAAAAGGAAGATAGTGGAAGGTAAAGGCTAAAGGGGGCGCCAGGGAACTTTGGTGGTTCTGCTGAGTCTTGTCTCCTCACAGACCATGTGCCTGAGATTTTTGTGCTTTTTGCCTATAAAATTTATATTAAGATCCTGGACCTAGCATAATAGCCTGGCGGCTGAATACTTGCCTTGCATGCGCCAGGATCCCATATGGGTACCAGTTCATGTCCTGACTACCCCACTTCCCATCCAGCTCCCTGCTTGTGGCCTGGAAAAGCAATAGAAGATGACTCAAAGCCTTGAGACCCTGCACCCATGTGGGAGACCTGGAAGAAACCCCTGCTTTGTGTCTTCGGATTAGCTCAGCTCCGGCTGTTGTAGCCAGTTGGGGAGTGAACCAGCATGTGCAAGATCTTTTCTGTCTCTCTTCTCTGTAAATCTGATCTGCCTTTCCAATTTAAAAAAAAAAAATCTGTTTTTTAAAAAATCCTGTGATGTGATGTTTGTGAAAATTACAGCGTGGGATCTTTAGGGTTACCTCTGGTGGTCCATGCAAGCTTACCTACCAACACTGCCCAATGGATAGCCCAGTACAGAAGAATCAGGCCCAATTTCAGCCAGTGTCTTGGCCCTCTACTTTAAGACTTTAAAATTTAAAAATATGTAAATTTAAGGATCTTCTTTTTTTACCATTGATAAATAAAACTGAGTTTTTCTGGCCCATATTTTGTTTTTTAAGTGCATGTAATATTTTTATTGAGTAACAAAATGAATTAAGCTAATAGTGAAAGGTTGAACCCCAGAGCCATTCGTAGTAAGACATGTATCCAGAAATAGCTTAGTGGTCTTTGATTTGATCACATTAGGAAAGACCAATCGTATAAATGTCCTTGTTTGTAAACTGCATTTATGCTTGTCCTTTGATCCTTTGCCAGCAATATTTTTTCATTTTTGCTTCTGGAGATTTTGTTTCACATGTGTGTATGATGTGTGTGTTTTAGGTGACCATGAAGGGCTTATATTTTCAACAAGGATCCACAAATGAAGAAGTAACATTTCTATTCCAAGAAAGGGTAAGAGAAATTATTTAAGTCACTATGGTGTATTTTCCATGCATAAGAAACCTACTTTTTTATGATTTATTTTATTTTCATTACAAAGTCAGATATACAGAGAGGAGGAGAGACAGAAAGGAAGATCTTCCGTCCAATGGTTCACTCCCCAAGTGACCGCAATGACCAGTGCTATGCCGAGCTGAAGCCGCCAGGAGCCAGGAACTTCTTCCAGGCCTCCAACGCGGGTGCAGGATCCCAAAGTTTTGTGCCATCCTCGACTGCCTTCCCAGGCCACAAACAGGGAGCTGGATGGGAAGTGGAGCTGCCAGGATTAGAACCAGCATCCGTATAGGATCCCGGGTTGTTCAAGGCTAGGACCTTAGCCCTTAGGCCACAGCGCTGGACCCAAGAAACCTACTTTTAAAAGACTCTACTTACAGTTGCTTAGATGAAACTACTTCAATTACGGCGGGACTGGGCGTTGCGGCACAGCAAGTTAAGCCACCTTTTGGGACACCCGCATCTTGCACAGAGCACCAGTTCAAGTCTGGCTACTCTGCTTCCCACGTAGTCCCTGCTGAAGCACTTGGGAAGCAGCAGGTGACAGCTTCAGTGACCATGTCCCTGCCGCCCACGCGGGCTGCCAGCTGGGATTCTCCTGGCTGCAGGCATTTGAGGCGAGGGAAGGTCTCTCTGCCACCCTCCTTCTCTGCCATTCTTCCATTCAAGTAATGAGACTCCTAAAAGAAGTATATTCCTTTAAAGCGTCACATGAAAACAGCAGTTTGCATTACAGTATAACTCTGTTTTTTGGGTTTGTGTTGTTTTGTTTTTTTATAATTATCACAGAGGTAGACATTGTATCACAACAGGGAAGGCCCCTGCGTGGGATGTCCTGTCACTGTAGAGAGGCTGGTTCTTGCCCCACCTGTACTGCTCCCGTCCAGCCTCTGACTGATGCCTTCTGCGAGGAGCTGATAGTGGCTCAGGTGTTTGGGTCCTTGCCACGTGTTTGGGGCCCCAGTGGAGTTCCTGTCTCCTAGCTGTGGTCTGACCCCTCTGCCTGTCATCTGGAGAGTGAGCCATCAGATGAAGATCTTGCTCATGACACACATTTAGTTACACCGAGAGAGGGAGAGACTGAGAAAAAGGATATCTTTTTCATCTCCAAATGGCTTAAATGGCCAGGGCTGGGCCAGTTCAAAACCATAAAACTGAACTCTCCATCTCTCTCACACATTGCTAGTAGGTGCCCAAGTACTTGGCCCATCGTCTCCACTACTTTCTCAGGTACATTAGCAGGGAGTGGATCAGAAGTGGAGCAGTCAGATCTCTTTGGGGATGCCAGTTTCACTGAAGCTTAGCATGCTGTACCACTGTGCCAGCCCCACCACAGTTTCTGGTTACTCAGGATGCTGCTAGGAAAGCAGAATGACCATTGTCATCTTACTTGTGTGGCAAATTTAAAGCAGTTTATTCTGAGCACAATAAAGCAAGTTGAGCTCAGTAACATTTCCTTGTGTACTAAATTTCAGGTGATCTATAAAATTTTACTTCTTTAAAATACATGGTAGGATTTTCACATGCTGGTGATTCTTAGAAAAGTTTCTGGCAAACCAAACTCATTCTATTGTAAATTTAGGGATGCAGAGTTTTTGAGTGTATGTATTTCATAGTAATAATCTAGATCATGAATATCATCCTGTTTTTCTCCTCTCTTGCCTGTGTCTCCAAATGAATTGAAGTCAGCAGGACGGCTGGGCTGCTGCCACTGAGTCAGGAGAGGGTCTAGGATCTGATTGGTCAACAGGAGGACTCACCTCCACTCCACGTCCGCCACAGTCAGGAGTGAATTCACAAATGCTTCAGTGTTATTGAAGGGCTTCTTGATATCACCAGATAGCAAGCCCGAGTTTTAAGAGGAGAAGTGCCCTGGCACAGCATTGTGCTCGTTGTGAATGAAGCACAGCAGTCCCTCTGAGGTCACAGGAAGAGCTGTGCACTTGATCTCATCTAGGACATGGCAGAGGTTAAGGAAAATGTTTCAATTATTGCTACCAGAGTATAGTTATTTAAAGATGGTGATATTATATTTAACAATATTTTTTTTAAAGATTTATTTTTATTGTTTTTTTATTGGAAAGGCGGATATACAGAGAGGAGAGACAGAGAGGAAGATCTTCCGTCCGATGATTCACTCCCCAAGTGAGCGCAACGGGCCGGTACTATGCCGATCCGAAGCCAGGAGCCTCTTCTGGGTCTCCCACGCGGGTGCAGGTTCCCAAGGCTTTGGGCTGTCCTCGACTGCTTTCCCAGGCCACAGGCAGGGAGCTGGAAGGGAAGCGGGGCTGCCAGGATTAGAACCGGCGCCCATATGGGATCCCAGGCGTGCAAGGCGAGGACCTTTAACCACTTGCGCCACCGCGCCGGGCCCTATTTAACAATATTGACTGGATGCCATTGAAGGATGAATTTCTTTTTTTTTTAAGATTTATTTATTTTTATTGGAAAGGCAGATATAAAGAGGAGAGGCAGAGAGAAAGATCTTCTGTCTGATGGTTCACTCCCCAAGCAGCTGCAACGGCTGGAGCTGAGCCAATCCGAAGCCAGGAGCCGGGAGCTCTTCCGGGTCTCCCATGCAGGTGCAGGGTCCCAAGCCATCCTCGACTGCTTTCCCAGAACAAGCAGGGAGCTGGATGGGAAGAGGGGCAGCCGGGATTAGAACCAACGCCCATATGGGATCCTGGCACATGCAAGGTGAGGACTTTAACTACTACGCTACCGCGCCAGGCCTGAATGATGAATTTCAAACATTGTTTGCCTTTTTTATGTAACTGTGGCCTTTGCGAGATTAATCAGACCCATTTCATTTTGTGAGTTCACCTAAAAATCCTGTAGCATCTGCCAAAATGTCCAGAACAGATCGTAAGTAAGAGATGGCCAAATAACTGTAAAGAATTTCACATGTAGCATTGAGAAAATTCTACAGATCAGTAATAGCTAGATGTTCAAAGGTGTCTAAGATTATCTCTAAGTGTGAGATTCTGCTGTTTTGAGAGTTAAGCTGAAATAAAGTACAGTATCTGTTGCTGAACTTTAAGTTTCTTGTCAACACATCTTTCCATACTGCTATCTGAATATTCATGTGTACAGTCAGACATTTTAAAAACTGTACCCCCAAATTACCTTTGTTCTTAGACTGCATAATGCTGGATGATTATTCGTAGCTTTTGAAATCAGGTTAGCCATAAAGATTTAGGATCTGTTTGATATTTATGAAAATTTCACAATTTCAAAGAATGTTCTCACAGGGATGTGTAACGTATGTTATTCTTTGCTTCTAGGAAAATCTTGCTGTTACACAGGACAACTACGTGAGGGTGCAGGTGAAGGCTTGTGCTCTGAGCCAGATAAACACCAAGGTACCGCTGCTTCCATTACAGCCGAAGTCAGATGCTAGCTTCTTCATGCCTTAGTGTGCAGGTGTAATCGTCTCTGGGGGTCAGAAAGCATGTCAGCCCTAGGAGGATGGGAAAGATAAGAACAGAATTTAATATGCATTTTATCATTCTACGTAAGGTAAGTTATTAATCTCATTAAAGTTCCATTTTGTATCATATGAAACTATTATAAAATCCTTATTTTGTAAAAAGCTGGGGTTCATAGTTATTAACTCATGTGATCAAAGAGGAAATCCCCTATATAAATGTAAATTAAAATGAAAACCTGAACATGTTAACCACCAATTCTGTTCTAATTAATGTCTCTAGATATGATTCACTTCTTCTTGTTGTCATTCTTTCTCTCATAGATGCCTGTCTCTAGTCTCACATCATATGTCACTGTAATCTTTCTGATTATTAACTGTGAAAACCATGGGAAAGCTTTCAAATGGAAAAAAAACAAACTGTAATAAAATGTGCTCTGATACATAGATTAGATTGGTTTACTAAGTTTTACAAAGATTAATGCCATAGTTTACTGGATTCTTAATTTACTGAGTTATATTGTCAACATGTTTTCTTTGATGAAGTCTTTAGAGAGATTATAGAAGGAGACTGTTAGCATGATGCATTAGGCAACTTTGTAATCAAGCATGACTGGGGAATTACATTAGTGAGGTCCCCTGAAGTCTTTTCAGCAAGAGTGCTGGTATTGTTTCTGGAGACGTTTTTGTTTAAAAGATGTTCTTTTTAAAACTCTGTGACCTACACAGAGCTGGAATTGTAGCACTGTGCATTAAGCTGCCCCTGGAACACAAGAATCGCATTAAGGTGCGGTCTCAAGTCCTGGCCTCCCTGTGTGTCAGATGCAGCTCCCTGTAAGAAGCCCCTAAGGAGGCTGCAGAAGATGGCCCAGGGGCTTAGACCCCGCTACCCACTTGGGAGAGCCAGCTGCAGTTCTGGGCTCCTGATTTTGTCCTGGCCCAGCCCTGGCTTTTGGGATCATGTGAGGAATGAAGCAGCAGATAGCAGCACCCATTCTCTGGTTCTCCCTTCTTCTCTACAACTCTGCCTTTCAAATAAATAAATATATCTGTTAAAAACATGAAAAAATTGGGCCCAGCACGATGCTGCAATGGTTAAGGTCCTCGCCTTGCATGCCCGGGATCCCATATGGGCGCTGGTTCTAATCCCGGCAGCTCCACTTCCCATCCAGCTCCCTGCCTGTGGCCCGGGAAAGCAGTTGAGGACGGCCCAAAGCTTTGGGACCCTGCACCCGTGTGGGAGACCTGGAAGAGGCTCCTGGCTTCAGATTGGCTCAGCTCCAGCTGTTGCAGCTGCCTGGGGAGTGAATCATCAGATGGAAGATCTTCCTTTCTGTCTCTCCTCTCTGTATATCTGCCTTTCCAATAAAAATAAAAAATAAATCTTAAAAAAAAACATTAAAAATTCAAGGTTGGAGTTGGCACAGGATAGATACTACGTGGGGTCGCCGCATCCCGTGTATCAGAGTCCTGCTTCCCGCTTGCCAGGCGGCTTCCATCAGATGTGCCCCCTGTGAGACTGTAGGTGAGGGCCTGCGTGGAAGGCCCATGTGGCCACACACACGGAACACTCCTGCCTTTAGCCTGTCCCAGCCCTGGTCCTTGCCAGCATTTGGGGAATAAACCAACAGATGGAGGATCTCTCTCTATGTGTGTCTCTGCCTTTCGAATAAAACGAAAAGAAACAAAAAATTTTAAATGAAGCAATTATGAAAAAATCTGTTAGGAGCCTGGCATGGTAGCCTAGTGGCTAAATCCTTACCTTGCATGGGCACTCGTTTGTGTCCTGGATGCTACACTTCCCTTTCAGCTTTCTGCTTGTAGCCTGAGAAAACCGTGGAGGTTGGCCCAAAGCCTTGGGAGCATGCACCCCAGTGGGAGACCCAGAAGAGACTCTTGGGATCAGCGCAGCTCCGCACTTGTGCCTGCTGGGGAGTGAGCCAGGCCATTTCTAAGTGTGAGCTTGAATCCTCACTGCTGTGTTTCCAGTTCAACTCCCTGCTAATGCATTCCAGGAGGCAGCAGGTGCTGGCTCACGTGCTTGAGCCATCCACCCTTGTGGGAGACCCAGATGGAATTCGCAGGTTCCTGGCTGTTACAGGAATTGGGGGCATAAACTAGCAGATCAGAAAATTTCAGTCTTTCTCTGTGCTCTGCCTTTCAAGTCGATGAAAATAATAAACAAGCATTTAAAAACTAAAAAATTTAGCTTTACCAAAATTGTCACCGTGAGGACAAGATGGCAGTGCCATTTCTGTGACTTTCACTTTTGGCTCCTTGCTCCTCAGCATACCGCAAGAAAAACACTAGTTATTTTTTTGAAGGGTGTAGGAACGAAGCCCCCTTTGTTCTCGCTGACCACATCCCTCTGGCTCAGCAGTAACTACAAATACCTCCTCACGTCAATTGAATAAGGGATCATAAAGCAGTGGTTAGCCAACCAAGATATGTTTGGGCCAAAATTCCCCTTCCAAATGGGCTAATAGTATTTGAATAATAATATTTGTGCCTAATCCTTTATACTGACTGATTCATCAGCAATCTCTTGTTTGCCTACGTTACAGAAAAAAAAAATTTAAAAAGCTGTTAGCTTTGTGTCGATTGCAAAAAAAAACCAAACAAAAAAAAACTGTATTTTATTTACTTAACAGAGTTACAGAGAGAGAGACACAGAGAGCTCTTCCATGCACAAGTTCAATCCTTACATTGTCGGAATGGCCAGGGCTGGGTCAAAGCCAAAAGCCAAGAGTTTCTTCCAGCGTTCTCATGTGGGTGCAGGGGCTCAAGAACTCGGGCCTTCTGCTGCTGCTTTCGCAGGTGCATTAGCAGGGAGTTGGATAGGAAGCACAGGCTCAAACCAGTTGTCCATATAGAATGCCAGCACATCAGGTGGCAGCTTAATACTGTGTAACGGGGCCCACCCCAGTTCCAAAAATAAATCCTGTTGGCACTTCCTGGAGTTTGGTTTTTTGCTCCCTTTCTCCTGTGTGATACGATGCCTGTCCATTCGTGACAATGATGAATACTCACAGCTTCTGTCTCGATTTAGCTTCTGGCAGAAATGAAGATGAAAAAGGACTTCTTTCCTGTGGGCAGAGAAATTGCTGGAATTGTGCTAGATGGTAAGTTTATAGATGTCAATATTACTGTTTTTTTTTCTAAAGATTTATTTATTTTTATTGGAAAGTTAGTTATACAAAGAGAGACAGAGACGAAGATCTTCCATCTACTGATTCACTCCCAAAGTGGCCAGAAGAGCCGGTGATGAGCTATTCTGAAGCCAGGAGCTTCCTCCGGGTCTCCCATACAGGTGCAGGGTCCCAAGGCTTTGGACCGTCCTGAACTGCTTCCCCAGACCACAAGCAGGGAGCTGAATAGGAAGTGGGGCCACCAGGATACAAACTGGTGCCTGTATGGGATCCCAGCACCTGATTTTGCAATAAAAATAAAATTTAAGAAGTAGAGCAGCAAAACAACGATCCGTACAGCTGCACTCACTGGCAAGAAAACCACGTGGGAACTTTGAACCACTAAAACAACATTTTTTAAATTGACAGTTGCAGAATTGTGCAGTGTTTTTACATTGATCTTTTGCTAATGCAATTAGCAGTATGTTTTGCATGTATGACTTAATAAATCCTTGAATCATAAAACAAAAAAAAAAAGTAGAGCAGCAATGACTTGAAACTAAGTTCATATGGGATGCTGGTCCTACAGATGGAAGATTAGCTTGCTAGGCCACTGCGCAGGCCCCAGTATCCCTACTCTTAATATCTACTGATAACAGATATTTTATTGCTCTCACAAAATATGTAAGTATGATAGTGTGGGTTACATTATATTGTAGTTTTTTTTTTAATTTTTTATTGGAAAGGCGGATATACAGAGAGGAGAGACAGAGAGGAAGATCTTCCGTCCGATGATTCACTCCCCAGGCGACCGCAACAGCTGGAGCTGAGCCAATCTGAAGCCAGGAGCCTCTTCCAGGTCTCCCACACGGGTGCAGGGTCCCAAAGCTTTGGGCCGTCCTCAACTGCTTTCCCGGGCCACAGGCAGGGAGCTGGATGGGAAGTGGAGCTGCCGGGATTAGAACCAGCGCCCATATGGGATCCCAGGCATGCAAGGCGAGGACCTTAACCACTGCAGCATCGTGCTGGGCCCACATTATATTGTAGTTTTACCTATGATTCCAATCTATATTAGGTATGTTTTCTCAATATAATCTTTGCTTTTTGTTGTTGTTGTTAAAGTTTATTTCTCTTAAAAAGAAGAAACAGCAAAAGACTAAGAGCAAGGAACATTTTCCATTGGCTGCTTCAGTCCCCAAATAGCCACTATTGCTGGGGCTAGGATAAGCCAAAACCAGGAGCTTCGTCTGGTCTCCCTGTGGGTCATTCTCTGCTGCTTCCCCAGCCGTGTTTGCAGAGAGCTGGATTAGCAGTGGAGCAGCTGGGACTTGAGACTACTCCCATATGGGATGTTAACACCACAGGCAGTGACTAACCTACTCTGACACAATACTGGCTCTCGATGTAGTGTTCTGAGATAGCTAAATGGTGGTTTTATTTTCTGTCCTTTCTTCTGTCAGACTAAAGATAAGTACAAAAAGCAGATGGTCAATCTTTCGTTTATTCCACATGCAATGAACATGTGTAAGTACTTAGGATTTAAATTAGACAAAGCCATGTCAACAGGTTTACCCTCTAGGAAAAAGAGACATATATATGAGCAGATTATTATAAAAGCACCACGGAGAATTACCCAACCCACAGGAGAAACTAAATATTCATGGGGTGAGTTGTCCAGGTAGTAAGAGGCAGGCAGGTGGAGAATCGCTCTCAGCAGGGAAAATGCCGTGAGGAAAGATGGAAGTAAGTACTAAAGACGAATGTAAGAATTGTACGGAGTCTGCTGTTACTAAAGGAAACCAAGCACAAGTCAACAGCTAGAGATGTACTAGCAGAGAAAGCTGTGTCAAGAGAATTCTCCCTCAGAGTAAAATACAAGGTACCACTAGAGCAGAAGGCAAAATATTGGGAGACGGTGGTACAAAGAGGATTGTGGGGCATTATGGTGCAGCTGGCTAAGCCAGCCTTTAGGCCCACTGCCTTAAAACCCAGGCACCAGTGTGAGTCTCGGCTGCTCTGTTTATGATCCAGCTTCCTGCTAACGCACCACACAGGCAGCAAGTGATGGCTCAGCGCATGGGAGACCCTGCAGGAGCTCCTGGCTTCCACCCAGGTCCAGCTGTTGAGCCATCTGGAAAGTGAGCCAGTGTGTGAAAGATGTCTCTCTCTCTCTCCTCCCATCCTCTCTTTCTCTTTGTCTCTCTGTCAGTCTGCCTTTCAAGTCAGTTTCAAATAAGTTTTTTTTTCTTTTTTTTTTTTAAGAGCAGAACTGGGGCAAATGATTTGACCCAGCTGCTTAAAGAACTACTTAAGACACAACATCGTGTATCAAAGCACTGGTTCAAGTCCTGGCTGCTCAGCTTCCCATCCATCGCTGCTAATGTACCTGGGAGACAGCATGGCCCAAGTGCTTGAGCCCTGCCATCCATGTGGGACACCCAGGTGGTGATCCTGGCTCCTGATTTTGACTGGATCCATGCTTCCTCTGTCCCTCTTTCTTTATGGCACTCTGTTTTTCAAATAAATAAAACTTTTTAAAAAGGAGATAACAATCCAAAGAAGAAACAACCTGCGTAAAAAGAACTTGAAAATAGGATGCTAGGGTCGCGAACTGTGGCTTGGTATGGAAAGCTCCCACCTGCAATGCTGGCATCCCATATATTTTCCTGTCCAAGTCCTGCCTGCTCCACGTCTGATCCAACTCCCTGCTGGCCACATGTCAGCATCTAACAGTATTGCGGTTTTTCCTCCATCTTTTCTCATTAAGTCTTTAAATTAAAATATTCAGATGATTCAGCATTATGCATAGTGTCCAAGATATGGCATCAGCCCAAAGGCCCATCGAGATATAAGTACATTTACACACTCACGCACACACCAGAATATTATTCATTATGTAGTTTCACAATAGTCTATCGGTGACATGGATGGCACCAGAGGTGAATGGTGGTAGGCGCAGAAAGACAGGGACTCATGTCCTCATTTCTGGGGGATCTCAGGGCAGTACAGGGTACAATGTGGAATGGCACTAGACAGAGCCTGGGAAGTCTGTCGGGGAGGGGGATGCAGGGGTGCAGAGAGGATGGCTAACAGACTGGGTTGCATTTGGGAAGGAAGAATTACTTCCATGTTCTGTGGCGCAGAAGGACAACTTTGCTTGGCAGAGTTAACTGAGTGCTTCAAAACAACTAAGAGAATTGCACATATTCCTAACACAGGAAGATGATGTTTTAACAGATATGCCAGTTCCCCTGATCATGACACGTTATATGCTTGTATTGGAACCCCACGTGTATGCTGTAAACAAGTATACTTCCTCTGTCAATAATATATATATATATATATATTTTTAAGATTCTATATATTTTTATTGGAAAGACAGATATACAGAGAAGAGGAGAGACAGAGAAAGATCTGTCTGCTGATTCACTCTCCAAGTGGCTGCAACAGCCAGTGATGAGCCGATATGTAGTCAGGAGCCAGGAGCTTCTTCCAGGTCTTCCATGCCAGTACAGAGTCCCAAGGCTTTGGGCCGTCCTCGACAGCTTTCCCAGGCCACAAGCAGGGAGCTGGATGGGAAGTGGAGCCATCAGAACATGAACTAGCATGCATGTGATATTTTGGTGCATGACAGGAGAGGACTTTACCTACTAAGCTACTGTGCAGGGGCTATATGTATATATTTAAACTTTAAGCTTTAAGCTGATAAATGAGATTTAAGTAAATTTTAACTCTTACCAGAATTCCCCATTGTACAATTAAAATAATAGATTAGACCAGACACATAAAAATATAATCAGCATAGAAGCTATAGAATAGGGCCTGGCACGGTAGCCTTGAACGTGCTGGGATCCCATATGGGCACTGGCTCTAATCCCGGCAACTTCCCATCCAGCTCCCTGCCTCTGGCCTAGGAACTCTGTGCCCATGTGGGAGGCCCCAGAAGAGGCTCCTGGCTTCTGGCTTCGGACTGGCTCAGCTCTAGCCGTTGTGGTCACCTGGGGAGTGAATCAGTGGATGGAAGCTCTTCCTCTCTATCTCTCCTCCTCTCTGTATATCTGCCTTTCCAATAAAAATAAATAAATCTTAAAAAAAAAAAAGAGGAAGAAGCTATAGAATGCATTCTTTTCCTTCACTTGATCCCCTATGGGATCCCGGCGTGCTCAAGGCGAGGACTTTAGCCGCTAAGCCACGCTGCCGGACCCCACTTGATCATCTTTATTGGTAAAGAGGCAGAGATTCAGAGAGAGAACAAGAGACTTAATGATGTGAGCAACTCGTTAGTTGAGATTTTCTAGAAAATCCAGATTTGAACTGATCTATCCTATAATCCTGATTTATTTGTGACAAGTTGTGCAGATTCTTACCCTTGTCTCTGAGGTGGTGACTTTTATAAGCTCGTGGATCTTTTGATTTACTTTCATAATTAAAAGAGAAGGCAAATATTGTTTGGTGGGTTAGCCTGCCACGTTGGACCTATTCGCCCATTTGGGTGCCAGCTCAAGTCCTGGCTGCTCTGCTTCTAGTTCAACTTCTTGCTTACGTGCCTGGGACGGCCCAAGTGCTTGTGTTTCTGCCACTCACGTGGAAACACAGGAATTCCTGCCTCTCAGATCTGTTGTTCAAATAACTATTTTAAATGATAATGATATTTTATAATTATATTAATTATCCACTTTCTCCACTCTGTAGTTGGAAACAAGGTGTCATTCTTTCAACCAGATGATGAAGTAGTTGGTAAGTTGTGGATCTTTTTTTTTTTTTAATTTTTATTTTGGATTTAGAATTTTATGTCTAGGATTCCCCCCTCCCTGATTCTCACCTCCCCACACACACTGATTTTCCACATATGGCTACAATACCACAGTCCTTCATAAGGAGTTATAATTCCATCAGTCTGTGGTTTAAGTGTGCTCACACATTCCTGGCAGACAATGTCAGACTGTCCATCATCCCATCATCCCATTGTCGGGAAATGTCCACCAGACTCATTGGGAGTCCATCTTTGATTTGGAAGTAGGGATGCATGTTGCATTGTATCTTCACATCTGGATATGGAAGTCTCTATTAATCCATCACTATCCATTCCACTTTGCACGACGGTTTCCTTATATCAGAGAGAATATGTGATATTTGTCTTTTTTGGGATTAAAGTTCATTTCCCTTTATCAAGTAACCTGTTTGACTGTCATCTTTTATTTTCAACTATACAATTAATACTCTTGTGAACATGCTTCTAATATAAATGCTTTCTTAATTTGGGGAGTTTTGCTTTCCAATTTCCATTAATGGAGAAAATTAGGAGTTTAATCGCCATTAAAATACTTAAAATTTACCAATATTCTGCCCAGCACAATGGCTTAATGGTTAAATCCTCACCTTGCATGTGCCAAGATTCTATATGGGCATCAATTCATGTCCTGGCAGCCCCACTCCCCATCCAGCTCCCTGCTTATGGCCTGTGAAGGCAGTAGAGGACAGCCCAAAGCCGTGGGATGCTACACCCACATGAGAGACCCAGAAAAAGCTCCTGGCTCCTGACTTTGGATCAGCTCAGCCCTGGCCATTGTGGCCCTTTGGGTAGTGAACCAGCCAATGGAGGATCTTTCCCTCTGTCTCTTTCTCTCTGTCTCCTCTCCATAAATCTCTTCTGCCTTTCTAATAAAAATAAGTAAATCTTTATTTTTTTCCTATTTATTTATTTTTTTAAAAAGATTTATTTATTTTTTATTGGAAAGTCAGATATACAGAGGGGAGGAGAGACAGAGAGGAAGATCTTCTGTCTAATGATTCACTCCCCAAGTGAGCACAACAGCTGGTGCTGTGCCAATCCGGAGCCAGGAGCCAGGAACCTCCTCCGGGTCTCCCACGGGTGCAGGGTCTCAAAGCATTGGGCCATGCTCGATTGCTTTCCCAGGCCACAAACAGGGAGCTGGATGGGAAGTGGAGCCGCCGGATTAGAACCCATAGAGCCCATATGGGATCCCGGCGTGTTCAAGGTGAGGACTTTAGCCCTAGGCCACGCCACCTGGCCCAGTCATACCATTTATGATATGTGTTGTAGTCTTTGGCATTCCCATTTCTCTCTCTTTTTTTTTAAGATTTATTATTTTTTTTTTATTGCAAAGTCAGATATACAAAGAAGAGGAGAGATAGAGAGGAAGATCTTCCTCCCAGTGATTCACTCCACATGTGACCACAACGGCTGGATCTAAGCCAGTCCAAAGCTAAGAGCCAGGAGCCTCTTCTGGGCCTCCGACATGTGTGCAGGGTCCTAGGGCTTTGGGCCGTCCTCAGCTGCTTTTCCCAGGGCACAAGCAGGGAACTGGATGGGAAGTTGTCAGGATTAGAACCAGTTCCCTTATGAGATCCTGGTGTGTTCAAGGTGAGGCCTTTAACCACTAGGCTACCGTGCTGGGCCCCCATTCCCATTTCTTAATAGAACATGCTCATATAAACTTACAAAATGTTTATTTTCTCAGCCTGCTTGAAGTTATTAAAGAATAGGTTATGGAAGAGCTTTCATCAGCTTTGTAGTGTTGTCTTGGATCCAGGTGTTTCCTGGAGAATTGATTTCTTTCTTATCTCTTTTTTCCCCCCTTTAGTATAAGAAGTCAGTGGCATTTTGTTGTTCAATATTTGTTTTATACAACCTCAAAAATACAATCAGGCTAGCTTAGTAGAAAAATTGGTTTTTTAATATTTCTGTATTTGGAGGGGTTAAAAATGTTTATGTATTTATTTGAAACAGTTGCAGAGAAAGAGACATAGGGTGAGAGAGATTTGGATTCCTTTCTCAGAAGGCTGCCATGGCCAGTACTTACCAGGCTCCGGTCAAGAGCCTGAAGCTCCATCTGGGTCTCCTGTATGGTTGGCAGGGCCCAAGCACGTGGGCCATCTGTACTGCTTTTCCCAGGCCTATAGCAGGCAGCTGAATTGGAAGTTGAGTAGCTGGGACATGAAGCTGTGCCCCTATGAGATGCAGGCACCACAGGCAGCAGCTCTACTCACTGTGCCACAGTGCTGGCCCCACAAAAAGGGAGTTTATTAGAAGCACATCAAGCTGTCTTAGGGCACCAACTTGGTGGAAAGGCAGCTGTGATCAGAGGCCACAGAAAGTCATTCTAATGCGTTTTCCCTTCCTTAAATGGTTAGTCACTGGCACCTTCCTCGTAATAACAGTGAACAGAATTTACGCTAACTTTCTGGCTGCTCATAAACACTCAAATCATCTCTGACTTATTTCCCTTAAATTCTTTGTTCTAATTTTTAGGAATTTTGCCCCTGGATTCTGAAGACCCTGGAGTTTGTGAAGTAGTCAGAGTGCATGAACATTACTTGGGTATGTGGCAGTTCTGCTTTTTGGAGCTCATATACGTATGACTTCACTGATCTGTGGTGCTAATAAGTTTTTAATATCCTAGATTATATTGTAAATAGTGTACTTATGACACATATTCCTTTGCTTATAATTATTATTCATAAAATTTCTATGCAATCAAAATCATAACCTTTAAGTTTTACTAACACTGTTTATGGTAGAAACTTTGAAAAATGGTTTCTGTCTTGACTCAGAAATTACATCCATAATTACATTTTTCCAATTTTTAAAAATATTTCTCTTATTTTTTTGAAAAATTGAAAGAAAGAGACAGAAAGAGAGAGCTTTTCCATCCACTGGTTCACTGCCTAAAGGTTGCAACTTCTGGGACAAAACTAGGCTAAAACCAGGAGCCAGGAGCATCATGTGCGTTTCCCATGTGGACACTGAGCCCCACGGCCTTGGGCCGTTCTCCACGGCTTCCCAGGCCGTCAGCAGGGAGCTAGCTTGGAAGTGGAGCAGCAAGGATTTCTGAACTTCTTACTCTTGGTTAAACAAGAAACTATACAGAATCAAAACCACATATGTACAGTCCGAGGAGGAATTAAGAACACATTCTTTGAGGGATTAACATTTTAAGATTTATTTTATTTATTTGAAAGAGAAGGAGAAAGGTATCTCCTTCTGCTGAGTCACTCCCCACATGGATGCAAAAGCCAGCACGGGGACAAACGGAAGTCAGTAGCCATGAGCTTCCTCCGGCTCTCCCTTTTGGTACAGGAACTTAAGCCCTTGTTGTGTCTTCTGCAGCTTCTCCAGGCACTTTATCAAGGAGCTGCATTGGAACTCAAGCAGGTGGGACATGAATTGGCATCCATGTGGGGTAACTGAGTCACGGGCAGCAGCTTTACCCAATGTGCCACAGTGCCAGCTCCCATTTTTTGGTTTTTATTGCTAGCATCTTTGATTAATGCTTAATTTAACTAAAATATTTAACTTAGAGTTCCAGTTCTTCAAATGTTTAAATTTAAAATATGAGACTGGCACTGTGCTGTAGCTGGTGATGTCACCTCCTGGAGCGCTGGCATCTGTACAGGCACTGGATCAAGTCCCAGATGGTCCACTTCCAATCCCCTGCCTGCAAATGCACCTGGGAAAGCAATCAAAAAGTAAAATACAAGATTATAGTGTCGCTTAAGTAATCAGGGAAGAGCAAATTGAAACAAGTGAGAGGACCTGGTGTGATGGCTCAATGGCTAAATCCTCACATTGCAAGCACTGAGATCCCATATGGGCACCAGTTCATATCCCAGCAGCTCCACTTCCCATCCAGCTCCCTGCTTGTGGCCTGGGAAAGCAGCAGAGGATGGCCCAAAGCCTTGGGACCCTGCACCTAAATGGGAACACAGAAGAAGCTCCTGGCTTATGGCTTCAGATCTGGTTGTTGTGATCACTTGAGGAGTGAACCAGCAGATGAAATATGCTTAGACAGTAATTTAGCATTATCTAACAAAGGTGGTGGTCTGTGTACTCCCAGCCGAGAGTTGCAGTCATATCCTTGTCCCGAGGAGATGTGCAAAGAAGATGGTAACGGTGGACTGTGGACAGCACCCATGTCCGTCACCGGGAAACGGGATGGGGAGGAGAGTAAAAGAGGCTCAGCAAGGAGAGCGCATAAACAAGGGCCAGACATGTTCACATGAATGAATGGGAATAGCAAAATCTCTGTGTAGCTGAATGCCATTACATGTAAAGTTCAAAGACTTACAAAACCAGGCATGTGTTATATAAGCATACAAGGGGAAATAAAAGAGGGCAGGTTGAGTGGAGGTAAGGTTTGTAGGCCAGGGAGGCGGACGATCTGGCAAGAGGTAACACACAGGGACTCTTGCCAATACTGCTACTACAAATTTCTTTTTGTTTTTCTTTCTTCTTTTCTTTTTTAGATTTTTTTTTAAAGATTTATTTATTTTTATTACAAAGTCAGATATACAGAGAGGAGGAGAGACAGAGAAGAAGATCTTCTGTCCAATGATTCCCTCCCCAAGTGAGCACAAAGGCCAGTGCTGTGTCAATCTGGAACCAGGAGCCAGGAACCTCCTCCGGGTCTCCCATACGGGTGCAGGGTCTCAAAGCATTGGGCCATCCTCCACTGCTTTCCCAGGCCACAAGGAGGGAGCTGGATGGGAAGTGGAGCCACTGGAATTAGAACCAGCACCCATATGGGATCCCAGTGTATTAAAGGCAAGGACCCTAGCCGCTAGGTCACGCTGCCAGGCCCAATTTTTTTTTTTTAGGGGTCATTGCTGTGGCACCATGGGTAAAGCTGTTGCCTGCAATGCCAACATCCCATCTCGGTGCCAGTTTAACGCTCTGTAACTCTGCTTTTCAAATAAGTCTTGTTGTAAAAAAGATTTATTTAAATGATTTGCAAGCCAGCGAGGCACAGAAGGAGTTGGAGGGAGGGAGAGGAAGGTCTTCAGCCTGCTGCTTCACTCTTCAGATGGCCACAGCAAGGTGCTGGAAGGAGCCTGACCACACCTGGGCCGGAGAAGAGTCAGGAGCCTCTTCTGGACCTGCTTTGTGGGAGCAGGGGCCGAATACTCGGACCATTTTCTGCTCCTTTCCCAGGCTGTCAGGGGATCTGAGTGGATCTGGAGCAGCTGGGACACCCATGTGGCATGCTGGCATTGCAGGAGGTGGCTTTAGGCACCTTCCCACAAAAAGAGCCCCTAGTGCATATGTATTGCAATGGAATTCACTTTATCATTCAGACCATATCGATAGGTCATAATATATTCTTTTCTGTTCTTGAAATAGATCATTAAACATTTTCCCAGATTTTTTTTCTGACATTTATTTCTATTGGGAAGGCAGATGACATTTATGGGGAGAAGCAAAGACAGAGAGAAAGATCTTCCATCTTCTAGTTCACTAGCCAGATGACCAGAGCTCTGCTGATACAAAGCCAGGAGCCAGGAGCTTCTTCAGGGTCTCCCACGCAGTACAGAATCCCAAAGCTTTGGACCATCCTCTACTTATTTCCCAGGCCGTAAGCAGGGAGCTAGATGGGAAGTGGAACAGCTAGGATATGAACCATTGCCCATATAGGATCCTGGCGCTTGTGAGGGGAGGATTTAGTCATTGAGCTATCGTGCTAAGCACCACCCACCCCCCAGGTTGTTTAGTTGTTTTATTTTTAAAGCTCGATTTATTTATTTGATGGGCACAGTTCAATTCTTTTTGGTTCACTTACTTGAGACCCATGAAAATATGTAGAGAAAATAATTACAGACATTCCTTATGAAGGAAAGCAGTGTTTATTTGAAAAACAAACTTCCCGAAAAAGCTTAAGTTGAATTTATGGAGAGCAGCATTGTGAGATATAGCAGCCAGCTACCAGAACCAGAGAGATGAAATAAACCTTGATGTTCATTAGCTGATGACTGGATCAAGAAAATATGGTATATACACATGTTGCAGTATTACTCCGCCATAAGAGAACGAAATCCTGACATCTGCACCAAAATCAGTGGAACTAGCAGTCGTTATGCCAAGTGAAATATGCACACAAAGAAGGACAAATATCAAGTTAATAGAGAACCTAAATGTTATGTATCATATTATTTTATATATAATTATAAATATCTTCACTGCACCTGCGTGACAATATACCCTTCTGTCCTCATTTACATGAAAATTTGTCATGAACCTCACAGTTTGGAACATTAATGTCCTCATTTTCAAGAAAAAATAGCATATATATGTATCTACATATAAAGTAAATATGGCAAAATGTTAAAAAGTGTAAAGCTTTGAAGCTGGAATTGTGGCATATGGAGTAAAGCTGCCACCTGGGAAACCACCATCACAAATGAGCTGTCTGTGCCACTTCTCCATCCAAACACTAACCAAATGTGACCCTGCTTAGTTTCCAAGGTCAGATAAGGTTGGGCACATTCAGAGTGGTATGGCTGCACATTTCAGTTGCCCCACTTCTGATCCAGACCCCTGCTGAAGTACTTGGGAAAGCAGTGGAAGATGGTCCAAGTCCTTGGGCTCTGTACCCATGAGGGAGGCTCAGATGGAACTCCTGGCTCCTGGCTTCAGTCTTACCTGGCCTTGGCTGTAGCAGCCCCTTGGGGAGTGAACTGGGGCATGGCAGATCTACCTGTGTGTCTCTTCTTCTCTCTGAAACTTCGTGCGTTTCAGTTTCTCTCATTCTCAGTCATCTTCACCTTCAGCTCAATGCTTCTCTTTCACCAAACCAAAAAGCTGGTTTGTAAACAGTTGCCCAGATGTGCTGTTACCCTGTTACTCAATGTGAGTGATAGGGTTTTAAAGCTGAGTGATTATTCTAGCTTCTTTTTACTTCTGTTTCTTTCTCTTTTTTTCTTTTTTTTAAGATTTATTTTATTTTTTATTGCAAAGTCAGATATACAGAGAGGAAGAGCTTCCGTCCAATGATTCCCTCTCCAAGTGGAAGCCGAAACGAAGCCAGGAGCCAGGAGCATCTTCCGGATCTCCCACACGGGTGCAGGGTCCCAAGGCTTAGGGCCGTCCTCCACTGCTTTCCCAGGCCACAAGCAGGGAACTGGATGAGAAGCAGGGCTGCCAGGATTAGAACTGGTGCCCATATGGGATTCCAGTGTGTTCAAGGCGAGGACTTTTAGCCGCTAGGCCACGCTGCCGGTCCGTTACTTCTGTTTCTTAAGCCATACTATCAAACATACATGCAATTTTATTTTTCTTTGAAAATTTGGCACATAGTCTCCTGAATCAGAAGTTGTAAACTTTAAGGAAGAACTTAGTAAGATCCTGTGGACGTTTTTTGAAACTACATTAGAAATTTCCATTTTGTGTGAAGTACAGTGGATAAGGTTTAAACCAAAACACACTACAATTTCATTTGTGTTTTTAAAAAATCAATTTGGACACTTATGTTTTCAAAGACACCATTAAAGATGTTGAAAAAAAGGAACTGCCATTGTGCCCAAGTGGGTAAAGCCTCCATTTGCAACTCTGGCATCCCATATGTGCACCAGTTTGAGTCCTGGCTGTTCGTTGTTAATGACCTAGAAAAGGCAGCAGAAGATGGCTCAAGTGCTTGGGCCCTACCACCCGTGAGTGAGGCCTGGAGAAATACCTGGCTCCTGCCTTCAGCCTGGCCTTGCAGACATCTGGGAAGTTAACCAGCAAATAGCCTCTCTCTCATTCTCTCTCTCTTTCTCTCTCATTCTTTCTCTTTCCCTCACTCTTCTTCGAGTTCTACAACATTACATCAAATAAATAAATAAATGAATGAATAAATGTTAAAAAATGATTTAAGGCTGTCCGGGTCCAGTAAAGTCTGGGCTATGGTAATTGCCAGCCATTCCCTAATTGGTTAAGAAGCCACCAATAGGGAGCAGCTTTTCCCAGATTCTTACCCAGACAAGGAGGAGTCAGGGAACCTTTAAAGACCCAATACCTAAAACCTTGGTCCCTCTTCTCCTTTAAAGAGGCACCCCATCTCCTGGTTCCCTCCAGGGGGTGCTTTCTCCTTTCTTTTCCTATTCATCTGGTCACTTTGCAAATAAAACTCATCTGTCTGCAACTGACTCCCAGCTTTTTATTTCTATGCTAAGCTGAGGAAAGAACCCATCCAGCTTTGCTGGTAACAATATTAAAGAGAAATCATAAATTTTTAATTGCAGCTTTTTGTCAGCCAATAGACTTGGAAAGATTTTCTCAGCCCTAGAGAAATAAAAACCAACAATTTCTCAGAACTATTAAAGCCACTCAAGTGACACCTTCGGAACATTCTTCCCCATATCCGTGGCTCTAAGATAACATCAAGTGACCATCCCCATTCCCAGGTGTTGATGTAGTTGGACAGCAAGAAGCAGCCCCTCCCTTTTCCTCCCCCGGGGACACAGAAGGGGAAAAAATGAAGCATTTACCCACCTTCTTCCATGCCTGACACTCCCCATCCTGAGGCCCACATGTGTGTGTATCCCTCTCAATCATGTGGACAATATTAACAAGAAAACAAAAAAAATTAAGTATGTGTAACATCCTTAATCAGAAAATCCAAAATGTGGGACTAGTGCCATGCCTCAACTGCCTTATCCTCCACCTGCAAGTGGCAGCATCCCATATGGGTACCAATTCATGTCCCAGCTGTGTCACTTCCCATCCAGCTCCCTGCTTGTAGCCTGGGAATGCAGTGGTGGATGGCCAAAGCCTTGGCACCCTGCACCCACATGGGAGACTTGGAAGAGACACATGGTTCCTGGCTTTGGATCAGATAATGTTTACACCTGGCCCCATCCCCAAAATAACTTGTAACTCATTATGTGTATACAAATATTCCAGCCATGCAGAAAATTCAAAATCCAAAGCATGTCTAGTCACAAGTATTAAGATATGGAATAGTCTACCTATTAATTTTTTTCAACTTTTTTTTTATTTGAAAGAGTTACAGAGAAAAAAGGAGAGACAAAGAGAGAGATCTTTTATCTGTTGTTTAACTCCCTAAAAGCTAATTATGGTGTAAAGCTGTCCACAGTCAAGAGTCAGAAACTCAATTCACATCTCCCATGGGGATAGCTGGACTTACTTGGGTCACCACCTGCTGCCTCAGCAAGTACACAAGATGCACCTTAGAGAGAGATTCAAATCAGAAACTAGAGTGGGGAATTGAACCCAGATTCCCCTGTTTGGATTTGGGCATTTGTCTGTTAGACCATATGCCTTCCTATTACATGGAGTGCAGGAACCAAGGTAGAAAAGAATGCGTGTGGCAGGATTCAATCTAAACAAAATTCAAAACTAGGCAAAATGAAATGAAACTGTCCAGAAATGCATAGCTTAGTGATAAGCTGTAATGGCAAGCAAGCTGAGCTAGAACGTCAGCAGTCTTTGGGGACAGCGAGGCTCCTGTTGTGCTGGCTGCGTTCCTTCTCCACCAAGCTGCTACTTGGATGCATTGCCTTTGTATTTACTCATTTTGTTGTACTATATATTTCATTGACTTTTCAGCATGCGTTTTATTTCACAATAAAATTTAAAACTTCCCTACGCACCTGCTGTTTAGAGAATGGATTATGCGTGGGCAGAAATGACAAGAGAAATGAAATATAGGTGAGAAATGATAGGAGTACAGGATTGGACCAGGTTCATAGAGCGAAATAGATAGAGGAGGCAAATTTAGTGGAGCTTGTTGATGAGTTGTTTTCTCTTGTTCTTTGTGACAGTTCATAAGCCAGAAAAGGTCTCGTGGGCAGAAGCCGCTGGGACCATCCGGGATGGAGTACGAGCCTACACAGCTCTGCATTACCTTTCTCACCTCTCTCCAGGAAAATCAGTGCTGATCATGGATGGAGCGAGTGTAAGTGCTCATGGCTTTGCCTAGAAACAGCCTAGAGTACAGAGAGAGTGCGGAGTTTAAGAACGAGCCACTCTGTTTGCTAACGCCATTCTTTGCCAGTCAGTCAGTTGCTTGCTCTCTGATTTCATTGCAAACCTCCTGCTTTGCTGTAACCAGCAGCTTTTATCATAGGGGTTTGAAGGCAGAGTTAGTGTGAGTAGCTTTCACTATTACTTGGAATCTGCAATTACAGTATAAAGCTGACGAGCCATTCATTCCTGCTAGACAAAACCTGAAATAACTGGAGCCTTTCATGCCATTCCTCAGAACTCTACCAGTTTTGTTTCATATTTGTCACACATGGTGGCAATAAAGTGTTGGTATTTTATTGATAGATTCACACATAGTTTGAAATGAGCTGATGTAAACATGTTACCTGTATCAATGAAAAAAAAAAAATACCGAAAGAATATGCATCTCAGGGCAGCTATTGGCCTAGTGATTAACATGCCCATGTCTCGTATATGAGTACCTGGGCTTAGGGCGTGGCTGCATTCCCAAATCGGCTGCCTGCTAATGTGTGCCCTGAAAGGCAGCAGGTGATGCTTCAGTGGTTGATTCTCTGCCACCGATTTAGGGGATCCAGATCTGGTTCTCGGCTTCCAGCTTCAGCCTGGCCACTGCGCCAGGCCCAAAGAAAGGAGGTATTTACAGTGTTTTGCTCTTTACAGAGCCCTGGCCAAACTCCCATAAGTAGATTATAATTAGCTCATCAGGCCAGCAGTTTTGGTCTTACAAGGATGTTTCTTCTTTTTTTTTTCTTTTTTTTTAAAGATGTATATACTTTTATTGCAAAGTCAAATATACAAAGAGGAGGAGAAACAGAGAGATCTTCCATAGGATGTTTCACTCCCCAAGTGACCGCAACAGCTGGAGCTGAGCCATTCTGAAGCCAGGAGCCAAGATCTCTTCTGGGTCTCCCATGCAGGTGCAGGGTCCCAAGGCTTTGGGCCATCCTTGACTGCTTTCCCAGGCCACAGTCAGGGAGCTGGATGGGAAGCAGGGCCGCCAGGATTAGAACTGGTGCCCATATGGAATCCCCTGGTGCATGCAAGGTGAGGACCTTAACCACTACACTATCACGCAGGGCCCAGATGGCTCACCTTACAAGCACTGGGATTCCATATAGGTTCAAGTCCTGCCTGGTACACTTCCCTTCCAGCTCCCTGCTTGTGGCCTGGGAAAGCAATAGAGGATGGCCGAAAGCCTTGGGACCCTGCACCTGCAAGGGATACCTGGAAGAAGTTCCTGGTTCCTGGCTTCAAGTCAGCTCCACTCCAGCCATTACAGCTACTTGGGTGAATCAGCAGATGGAAGACCTTTCTGCTCCTTCTTCTCTCCATAAATCTAATCTGCCTTTCTTTCTTTTTTTTTTTAAGATTTATTTATTTTTATTACAAAGTCAGATATACAGAGAGGAGAAAAGACAGGAAGATCCTCCATCCGATGATTCACTCCCCAAGTGACCGCAACGGCTGGAGCTGAGCCAATCCAAAGCCTGGAACCTGGACCCCCTTCTGGGTCTCCCACGTGGGTGCAGGGTCCCAAAGCTTTGGGCCGTCCTCGACTGCTTTCCCAGGCCACAAGCAGGGAACTGGATGGGAAGTGGAGCCGCCGGGACAAGAAGCGGCACCCATATGGGATCCCTGCATGCACATGGCGAGAACTTTAGCTGCTAGGCCACGCCGCCAGGTTCTGATCTGCCTTTCTGATAAAAATAAATAAATCTTTGAAGTTAGGTGCTAAAGCAAGACTGAGAGCACGTGGAATATGTAATTTCTCCCATTGTCCCTGCTCAAGAAGAAAGCTAATCAGTATTTCCCCTCCTAATCATGTCCATATTTTTTCTCCTTTTATATTATACCATGCTTAAAACAATATTCAAGTGACAACTAGGAAATTTTACTTCATGAACTAGATGGTGCTGGCATTGTGGCAGAGCTAAAGAAGCCACCACTTCTGGATGGACGGCACCATCCCATATCACAGTGCCAGACTAGTTCCAGGCTGCTCCACTTCCAATTCAGCTGCATGCTGGGAAGAGCCTGGGAAGAACACAGAAAATGGCCCAAGGAGTTGAACCTCTGTCACCCGTGAGGGAGATTAGAGTGGAGTTCTGCTCCTGGCTTCACTGTGAGCTAGTCCTGGTTGTTGTACCCTCTGGGGAGTGAACCACTAGATGTAACAGATTCATTTTCTCTCTCCGTCACACTGCTTTCAAATGAATAAATCCTTTTTTTAAAAAAGCTATGAAAGTAAATTTGATATGGCCTCTGCCCCATATGTATAAACCCACTGTATGTCTTTTTTAATCCACACAGGCATTTGGCACAATAGCCATCCAGTTAGCACACCACAGAGGAGCCAAGGTGATTTCCACGGCAGGCAGCCTGGAAGACAAGCAGTGCCTCGAAAGGCTTCGGCCTCCTGTAGGTAGGTAATGACTGTCCAGAACACACTTCAAACCTGGCACTGGGGCAGAAAACCTCCTGAAAGACTGCTGTGCGAAAGCAAAGCGGAACAATTCAAGTGAAAGCCAATTTGAAAATATGTTAAGAGCAGCAGATGGTTGGCACAGCAGTTAAGACACCATGTGGCATGTCCATATCCAATATCCAAGTGCCTGGGTTCAAGTTCTTGAGTCACTTCCAGTTCTGGTTGCCTCAATGCATACATACCCTGGGAAGCATGTGGGCTACCTGGATTGAGTTTAGGGCATCTAGTTACAACTCAGCTCTTACAGGTATTTGGGAAGGGAATCAGTGGATGGAAAATCTCTATCTTACTGTCTGTCTCACTTTCAAATAAGTGCGTTTAAAATGTAACAATAAATGCAACTTAGTTCTGTATTGACTCTAGTTTAATAGCTCAGTAGTTTTCTTAACATTTATTTATTTATTTGAAAGGGTTACAGAGAAAGGGAAGGATCTTCTATCCACTGATTCAACTCCTTAAACACCATAAGTAGAGTTGGCCCAGGCTGATGCCAGGAGCTATGAACTTCTTCCAGGCCTCCCACATGGAAGCAGGGCCCCAAGCACCCGGCCCATCCTCCACTGCACAGTAGCAGGCAGTTGGATTAAAACTGGAGTACCTGCACACAAATCAACACCCATTCAGGATAATGACATGGCAGATGGAACACTATGCCGCAGTGCTGCACTCTCAAGTTTTTTAAACCTAGATCTTTAAATTTGACTCATTGTTATGAGAGTACTCAAGTTTAAACTAGGTGAACTTTGAAATAATTTATAAAAACTTCAGGCTTCTTTGGTCTAATAAATAACAAATCAACATGTTTTTGCATCATTTTGTATGTTTCTCCACCGCCTTCCCTTTGATGTATTTCTGCAGTTGTCTATATGCATAGGAAACATGACAACTCATAGAAACAGAGTCAAGTACAAATCGGAAAAGGTGGAGGCCAGTGAGTTCTGACAAAGAGTGAAAAAAGTGAAAACAGGAGGACTGAGCCTGTGGTAGAGTGGTTAAAGGCCGCTGGGGCCAGCCCCATGCCGTGACAGGGCAGCTGAGTTCATGGCACAGCTGCACCTCCAGTTCCAGCTTCTGCTTCCTCTGTCCCCTGGCAGGCAGCAGAAGGTGGCTCCACGTCGTCGGCTCCCTGCCACCGATGCAGATTCTGCCATCAGCCTGGCATCTGAACATTTGGGGAGTGAACCCACAGACAGCAGATCTTTCTCTTCCAATGTAGGGTCGTCTTCCCCCCACCCCCCCGCCTTTTTTTTAATGGAAAAGGAGAAGAGAAAGATTAGGAACAGAAAAACAGGAAGAGCAAAGAAGAATAGCAGAAGAATATAACTATAGGACAGCCTGAAAAAGTGATGTTCTCTGAGTGTTAACGTGAATATCACTTCCCCAAGTCCCCTTTGCTGGCATCACAGAGAATTTCATGCCTGTCTAAGGCTATACAACCAGAAAAAGGACAAGGACTGAAATGGGCCGGGAACCCTGTTTGACACTGAGACACAGGTTACTTCCTTGTCGCATTGTGCTTCTGCCAGAGATAAACCGGCAGTGGGGAAAAACATACTACAAAACACTGCCAAAAACACTCCAGGAAGGTGAAATCAGAAGACAAGTGTAAGGGTGAATATGCAGCAGATGGTGCTGGGGAAACATGCACTGCACACCGAGCGTCTGCACCAAGTCACAGGACACTCCTCCCTTTCTGATCCAGCCTGCTACTGTGTATTCTGGGAAGTAAAGGTCACGGCTCAAATGCTGGGGCAAAAAGAAAACACAGCCAATTCTGGGCTCCTGGCTTCAGCTTTGGCTCATACTGAGAGAGAAAATCAGTCTCGGGCCCAGCACAGTAGCCTAGTGGCTTGAGTCCTCACCTTGCATCTGCTGGGATCCCATATAGGTGCCACTCAGTATCCTGGCTGCTCCACTTCCCATCCAGTTTCCAGCTTGTAGTGTGGGAAAGCAGTCAAGGACAGCGTAAGGACCCTGCACCCTTGTAAGAGACCCAGAAGAAACTCCTGGCTCCTGGCTTTGGATCAACTTACCTCTGGTCATTGCGGCCACTTAGGGAGTGAACAATTGGATGGATGACCTTTCCTTTCTGTCTCTCCTCTCTGCGAATCTGACTTTCCAATAAAAAGAAATGAATGAATCTTAAGAAAAAAAAAAGGAAGGAAGGAAGGCAGAAAAAGAAAGCAAGAAAGAAAGAAAAGAAAAGAAGGAAAGAAAGAAAGAAAGAAAGAAAGAAAGAAAGAAAGTAAAAAGAAAGAAAGGAAGAGAAGAGAAATGAAGGAAGGAAGACCCTCTCTCTGCCTTTCACGTAACATGGCTATAAACAAGTTTTCCTTAAAAGAACACTATAATAAATAGTGGTGCCAAAATTTTGAAATGCATGTGTGTGTTTCTCCTCCGTAAAATACATTTTCTGTGAGCTGTATTTTTCATAAAGATTATATATTTTTAATTGAAAGATAGATTTACAGAGAGAAAAGCCACAGAAAAAGAAAATATCTTCCATCCATTGGTTCACTGCCCAAATGGCTGCAATGGCTGGAGCTGAGCTGAGCTGATCCGAAACATGGAGACTTATAGGTCTCCCACACCAGAGCAAGATTCCAAGCACTTGGGCCATCCTCACCTGCTTTCCCAGGCTATGCGCAGGGAGCTGCATGGGAAGTAAAGCACCTGGGGACAAGAGCCAGTACGCATGAGGGTTGCTAGTGCCACACGGTGAAGGATTAACCAGATGAGCCATGGCACTAGTCCCTGCTATGACCGTCAATAAACTCTTGTCCACATTGATTTAAGAGATTTTATAGCCAAGATGAAGATTTTTTTTTTTAAGATTTTTTAATTTTTCTTGGAAAGTCAGATTCACAGAGAGAAAGATCTTCCATCCTCTGGTTCACTCCCCCAAACGGCCACAAAGGCTGGTGCTGAGCTGATCCAAAGCCAGGAGCCAAGAGCTTTTTCCGGTCTCCCACGTAGGTGCAGGGTCTCAAGGCTTTGGGCCATCCTTGCTGCTTTCCCAGGCCACAAGCAGAGAGCTGAATGGGAAGTGAAGCAGCCAGGACACAAGCTGGTGTCCATATGGAATCCCTATACATGCAAGGCAAGGATTTTGGCCACATGGCTATCATGCCAGGCCCTAAGATGAATGTGGCTTAATTCCATTTTCCACAAACGTTTTGAAATACTCTAGTTCAAGAACTGGAAGAAGAAGGAAGGGGAAGTATTTGAAAATAAAGTAGGGAAATAGAGAAAATATTGTTGACAAGAAAATTTTATTGACTAGTTCTGCCTTCTCTGTGTCACCAGAATCCCCTGCTCTTTGTGCCCTCATGTCCTTCCCCTCCACCAAATTCTAGGCTACTGTCGGACTGTAACTCTAACCCAAGGAGAGAAGTTATCAGGATACACAAATAGGAGCATCTCTGCCTCCAGATTCCAGCTTCTTGCTGATGCACACTCCGGGAGGGAGGCCGCGGGTGATAGCTTGAGCTTTTGTGTTTCTGACACCCACATGGAGACCTGGGTTGTTTCTGACTCAGCTACATCATCTGGGGAATAAAACAACAAAGTGTGCATGTATTCTCTCTCTCCCACCCTCTCTCTTTCTTTTCACTCTTTCCTGCCCCTTCTGCTTCTCAAAGAAAAAAAGATACAAAAAATGAAATAGAAATGTCTTCATTTACCAGTTTACATCCTTGTAACTTTTTAAATGATTCATTTATTTGAATAAGTTACAGACACAGAAAAAGAAAGATCAAGATCTTCCACTTGCTGGTTCATTCCTCAGATGAGTTTTTATACTTTTTTAGATGATCACAGTAGCCAGGACTGAGCAGGCTGAACCCTGTTGCCAGGAGCCTCTTCCAGGTCTCCCACGTGGGTGCAGGGCCCAAACTCTTGGGCTGTCTTGGGCTTGCACTGCTTTCCTAGGCCACAGGCAAGGAGATGGATCGGAAGTGGGGCAGCCAAGGACACAAACTCACAGTGTGGCCCCCAAATTCTTACCATTTTAAAATTCAATAATTTATTTTATCTATATAATAAAGTTCTATTAATAATGCTTTAAAACAACCTGTTCAAGTCAATTTGTCTCCCATCCAAGTGTTAATAAGCCCCGACCTTGCTTAGCTTCAAACGTAATCACTAATTTTGATAAAAATAACATGTACCTTTCCCTTACCTTTATGATTTTTCTTCATTTGGGAAAATAATCTCATTGACAGAATCAAGCAGCCTCTAATAGCTGAATTCTGTGTGGCACAAATATGATTTTATATTTTTTAGCTTTAAACAAACATTAAATCTAAACCTCCTGAGCAGCTGCCTGTTTCAGTTCCTCTTGTAACATGTATGTTCTGACATGAGGCAGACACACTCTGCTGTTTGCGGCTTCTGTCCTGCAGCCCTCGAGGCCGACAGACCCAGGCGTGTACCCCCTTCCACAAAAAGCTCATGTTTTTGTTCTCTGGAGCATGCCAGGACCAGTGTCTTCCTTCAGTTACTTCTTACTGACGTCAAGTTAAATGAGAAAAATGTAATTTGCATTGACTTTTTCCCCTTTGACTTCCTCTTTGTCATTCCAGAAAAGAGACATTTATTTGCTTTGCTTTTTCCCCCGAGTTGTTCCTGTTGTTCACGCTAAACAGAACAGTGCAAGTGACACATTTCCTGTCCTTCACAGCCCGGGTGATTGATGTGTCCAGTGGGAAAGTTCATGTTGCCGAAAGCTGTTTGGAAGAAACAGGTGGTCTGGGGGTCGATATCGTCCTGGACGCTGGAGGTGTGTACCTTGCCAAGTCAGTAGCCTCTGCAGTTATATTTATTTTAATGAATTTCAGAGAAACTGTTAGGACATGCTTATTAATGTACCTAACTAAAGTAAATGTTTAGTGTTAGATTTTATTTTTGTCTGTTTTAATTGTAGATTTTTCACTTTATTCCCATTGTGATCACTGGTCCTCTGGAAAAGAGACTATGCTTTTGCCTTTTAAATCAGATGTACTGAAAATGGAGAGACTGTGTTCCTAGACATTACAGGTCGTCTTGTGCTCGCTTCTCCCCAGTCATTGCCGCTCTCTGTGCTGCCCTCTACTGGAAACTGGCTTTCCATTTTCAATTTCCTTCGACTTTCTAGTTCAGGGAGCTGTTATGGGTGGGAGACTGGGTGGAGCTTCTCCCTTTACCCCAGATACAGGGGAAAAAATGTGGAAATAATAGTCTTACCTAGTTTCCTGTAGCCCTTGAACCTTTCTGCCATAAATAACTATGTAAAAAATTGTGACAAATAAAGAAAAAAAAAGTATTTAACATTTGATTTGCAAACAGTTAACCTGTACTACCATCTCTTAAAAACAAAAAAAGATTTAGTTATTTATTTGAAAGGCATAGTAACAGAGAAAGGAAGAAACATCTCTGTCCACATTCATCCAGATAGCCATGAACAGCTAGCTGGTGCTGGGCCAGGCTAGGTGGTAGGGCCCCACACACTTTGGCCATATTTCACTGCCTTGCCAGGTACATAACTGGGGAGCTAGGTCAGAAGATGACTTCTAGCCTTTTTATTAATTTGTTTATTTTTATTGGAAAGGCAGATTTACAAAGAAACAGAGAGACAAAGATCTTCCTTCTGCTGCTTCAATCCCAAATGGCTACAACGGCCCGAGCTGAGCCAGTCCAGAGCTAGGAGCCAGGAGCTTCTTGAGCTCCCAAGCAGGTGCTGGACCCCAAGGCTTTGGGCCGCCCTCTGCTATCCCAGACTGTAAGCAGGGAGCTGATTGGGATGTGGAGCAGTCGAGACATGAACCAGTGCCCGAATGGGATCCCAGCATTTGCACGATAAGGACTTTGGCCATTGAGCTATCCTACCAGGCCCAACTTGTAGCACTTCTAATGGAAAGACTTTGAGGTCAGTGTTGTGTGCAGTGGATTTCTCTACAATTTGCAGTCCTGGTTCCAAACCAGGCTGTCTCCTTGTGACCCAGTTTCCTGTTAATGTGCCTGGGAAGGCAACCGGTGATAGCCCAGTGCTTGAATTCCTAGCACCCCACAAGGGAGACCTGGATGGAGCTCCTGACTTCTGGCTTCAGTCTGCACAGCCCTAACTGGTGTGGCCATTTCGAGAGTCAACTCTCAGACAGAAGATCTCTTTCTCTGTCACCCTGCCTTTCAAATAAAGAATTTTTGGATGCATAGTTTTTACAAGCTTGGAAGTGCTCCTGTTTAACTTGGTTGTGAGCATAGCTGTGGCTATCACGTGTGTTTCTCTTTTAACCAGAGTTTTCAAGATTTGAAATTAACAGAGAAAAACCTTCCAGTGGCGGTGAATCTGTACTGAATTGACATTTTTTTCAAATGGACATCTCAACAGTTATGTCAAAATATGACTCACTTGAGTCTGTGACTTCTTTAATCAGAAAACAGCTCTTATTGAATTGAACTATTATCGTTATGCTTAAAGTTAACAGACTTATATATCTTAGGTTAGTTTACTTAGCATTCAAATTAAATTTTATTGTATCAATAATTAAATATTCAATAAATTCTTATGAGTTTAATTGTATCTGATTTACTTTGTCTTACCTTTTTCTGAGAAAAATATTTCTTTATTGCTATGTTAATAAATTAAAGATAACATGTTTGAGGAATAAATTTTTATCAGGTTATTATAAAAGGTTTCTTCTCTCTCGAATATTCACTTATAGTGAGATTGTATGGTAAAGATGATGAACCAGCCGTGAAATCCCAACTACCCCATAAACATGACATCATCACACTTCTGGGAGTTGGAGGCCACTGGGTGACAACAGAAGAAAACCTTCAGGTATGATCAGAAACAATGAAGCAGGACTAGCCCACGAAAGTCACGTAATTGGTATGGGTTAGTTAATATAAAATCAGAATTAGACCCTGGGTAGGTCTCCCACCCCCCCGCTGCGGCCATTTTTGAAAAGGCTGTTTAAGCAAAAGACCAAATTACAGAAAGAGGGGAGTCTTCACCTGCTGGTTCACTCCCAAGAGGGCCACAAGACCAGCAGGGCCAGGCTAAAGGCAGGACCGGGAAATGCATTCTGTTTATCCATGTAGGTGCCAAGACCCTCTTCCGCTGCTTCCTCCAGCGTATATTAGCAGAGGGCTGGGTCGGAAGCTGAGCAGGCAGGTCATAAATTGGAGTCTGTATGGGATGCCAGCATCACAGGCAGTGGCTTGACCCGTTACCTCGTAGTGCTAGTCTGGTGTTTTGTTTTGTTCTTTCTTACAAACATGTTTGCCAAAATCTTGAAATACTGAGTAGCAGAGAAACAATCAAAATTAGTAGCAATTTTTACCAATTTGGAAGTCATAACCTCTAAATTTGTTAAGAGTGTTTCAAATAACATTTTTTTAAGAAAGGTTTATTTATTTATTTGAAAGACAAAGTTATAGACGACAAGACAGTGATCTTCCACCTGCTGGCTCACTACCCAGATGGCCTCAGCGGCCTGGGCTGAGCCAGGCTGCAGTCAGGAGCTGCATCCCTGGGTGGCAGGGTCCCACGCCTTGGGCTGTCCTCTGCTGCTTTTACAGTTGCATAAGCAGGGAGCTGGACAGGAAGTGGAGCAGCTGGGACTTAAACTGGTGCCCATAATGGATACAATGCCATGGTAAAGGCCCCGCAATTTTTCATATCATATATGAATATAAATATATCAATAAAATTATGCTTTCTATCACAGGTATATATGTAATATTTATGTTTTTTCATATATGAAAGTTAATTAATTTTCCAACATCCTCATTGAAGGTGACTGGTAAGTAATGGCATAAACCCCTGCCACAGCATCATTAGGATTCTAGATTAGCTCTTCATTTTGGACCATGAAATAGAAAACTCAGTTTCTGGGTTCTTATTTACATTACTTATTGGAGCCAACACAGTAGTATAGCAAGTTAAGCCACTGCCTACACCACCAGAATCCCATATGTGCACCAATTCAAGTCCTAGCTGCTTCACTTCTTTTTTTTTTTTTTTTTTTTTAATTGGAGACTCAGATATATACAGAGAGGAGGCGAGACAGACAGAGAGGAAGATCTTCCATTGCTGATGCACTCCCCAAGCGGCCATAACGACTAGAGCTGAGCCAAGCCGAAGCCAGGAGCCAGGAGCCTCTTCTGGGTCTCCTCTTGGGTACAGGGTCCCAAGGTTTTGGGCCATCCTTGACTGCTTTCCCAGGCTACAAGCACGGAGCTGGATGGGAAGTAGGCCACCAGAACACAAACTGGCATCCCCATATGGGATCCTGATGCATGCAAGGCGAGACTTTACCTGCTAAACTAGAGCCCCAGGCTCACTGCTCCACTTCTGATCTAGCTCCCTGATGATGACCTGGGAAAAGCCGCAGAGGCTGGCCCAAGTCCTTGGGTTTCTACATCCACTGGGAGACCCAGAAGAGGCTCCTGGCTTCAGACCATTTCAGCCATTTTGGGGAATGAGCCAATGGTGGAAAATTCTGTCTCTCCTTCTTTCTCTTTAACTCTGTCTTTCAAATAAAAACAAATACATCTTTAAAAAAGAAAAAAGATTTGTGTGTTCATTATTTGAGGTCTACCCACTGATTGTGTAGACGTTTTTGTAGCTGCATTGTCCCTCTGCTGTTGAACTCACAGTAATGACAGTCACTGCTTCTTCCCCCAGCTGGATCCTCCAGATAGTCGGTGCCTTTTCCTCAAAGGAGCGACCGTGGCTTTCCTCAATGATGAAGTCTGGAATTTGTCCAATGTACAGCAGGGGAAGTACCTTTATATCCTTTCTGATTACTGAGTTGAGTGTCTGGAATGGAATTTAACCTGTACTTCATGCTAAACTTCTTTCATTATGATAAGAAATATCAGCTGATATTCACCAATTTGCCTTGCAGTTTCCAAGGCCACATAATTCCATCTATGCATTCAAATAGCTCTGTGAAGTAGAAACACTAGTGTTATTACCCATTTCTCCCAGGTGACGAAAGCTAAAGCAGAGCAAATTGAGTGCATAAGTGTGTGTCCAAAAATTCATAGGAAAATAGAATTAGAAGAACAGTTTATTTCATTCCAAAAACTATTTTAAAGTATGTGCAGTTTTTTCATATGATGCTTTTTCTGAAGATTTAGTTATCTTTATTGGAAATTCAGATACACAAAGAAGAGGGCAGAGAGGAAGATCTTCCATCCAATGATTCACTCCCCAAGCAACCACAATGAATGGAGCCGAGCCCATCCGAAGCCAGGAGCCAGGAGTCTCTCCCAAGTCTCCCACGCAGGTGCAGGGTCCCAAGGCTTTGGGCTGTCTCGACTGCTTTCCCAGACCACAGGCAGGGAGCTGGATAGGAAGTGGGGCCACTGAGATTAAAACCAGCTCCCATATTGGATCCTGGTGTGTGCAAGGCGAGGATTTTAGCTGCTCGGCTACTGTGCCAGGCCCCATATGATACATTTTTAAAAATTATTTTTCCTATTTTCCATAATACAGTTTTGCAGGGATAGGGATTCCACCCTTTCCTTCCCTTTTCTCCCTTCCCATTTCCCCCACCACCATTTTCCTTCATACTGCTACAGTAGTATTTTCCATGAGCTTTTTGAAGACTTGTGTGTGTGACATGTATACAGGCCTATCCCCCTAGGATAAACAACAGATTTGATCCAAAGCCTAAAAACAGTAAAAGGTAGTTATTATGTTGCAGCTGTTAAGTTTTTAGGAAATTTTTGAAACTTCATATAGTTAATTTGTGAGTTTAAGATATTTTGATGATTTCCCTTTTAAATTTTCAAAAATTTGAAACTTTAAAACTTTATTGGAAAGGCAGGGTGACTGACAGAGATCCTCCATCCACGGGTTCATTCCCTTAGGTGACTGCCAAGGCCCAAGCCGGTACAAAACACACCTAGTTCAGTAGAAACCGCCCCTGGGGTCCGCTCCCAGCCAGGCCTATGCGGTCTAGCACTGCGGGGATGCGGGGCAGCAGCAGCCACAGCTCCACGCAGGACTGTGGACAGGAGAAAGACAAGCAGCACTCACACTGTTGCCGAGCTGAGATGCTCACTGGCTTGCTCTATCACAGGTTTTCCACTTAGGATGTTTTCTGTGGAACATATTTGCCAACACATAATCCCCATCATAAAGGGCATTGGCACACACACACACCTCAAAGATGATCATTTCAAAAACTTGCAGCTGTGTTGATGACTGTACATTTCTTTTAAAAACATTATTTATTTGTAAGGCAGAGTTACACATGGAGTCAGAGATCTTCTATCTGCTTCTTCATTCCCTAATGGCCACAAAGGCCGAAGCTGGGTCAGTCAAAGCCAGGAGCCAGAAGCTTCATCCAGGTCTCCCATGTGGGTGTAGGGACCCAAGCACTTGCTTTGTTATCCCCTGCTTTGCCAGGTGCACCAACAGGATGTTGGATTGAAAGTAGAGCAGCTAGGACTTGAACTGGCACCCATATGACATGCCAGCAATACACAAAAGCAAATTTTAGCCACAATACCACATCAATAGCCCCACTGTATATTCTTTAAAAAAAAAAATTATGTTTGGGCCCAGCATGGTAACCTAATGGCTGAAGTCCTTGCCTTGCGAGCTGCGGGACCCCTTATAGGAACCAGTTTATATCCTGATTGCTCCACTTCCCATCCAGTTCCTTGCTTGTAGCCTGGGAAAGCAGCAGAGGATGGCCCAAAGCTTTGAGACCCTGCACACACTTGGAAGACCTGGAGGAAGCTCTTGGCTCCTGGCTTTGGATCCACTCCGCCGTGGGTGTTACAGCCACTTGAGGGGTGAACCAGCAGATGGAAGATCTTTCTCTCTGTCTCCCATCTCTGTGAATTTGACTTTCTAATAAAAACAAACAAATCTTTAAACAAAATTATGGTCTAATTTGCATTTTCAAAGAGCTGAATTAGACCTTCATCCTGATTTGTATAATTTCCCAGTCACTTCACACACTAGCTAGTTGCTCCTTGTTCCAGGTAATGGATTCCATGCTGTAAACATCTGGAACACTAGCAATTACACAGCTTAGTATTCCTGATACAATGTCAAATAAATTATCAACACTAATTTTTTCTTAATTTTATATCACTTTCATATTGAAATACACTTTTGTGCAAGAACTTTTGAGCCAGATAACATACAACTCATTACTTGTATATGTGGTTTGACACACGTGAAACACTGAAAGTGCTATACATTGTAAGAAATTAAACAGTACTTTCTTATGCATTGATATAGTGGTGGTGTCACTTGGTACGGGTGCTAGGCTTGTTGCAGCCTTCACATGTCTTTAGAAATGTAGGTTCTATTATATCTCAAATCATTGTCTTGTTCTTTCTAATTTTTAATTATTTTTATTTGAAAGAGGGAGATACATACAGACATCGTGTATGAGCTGGCTCTCTCACTCCCCAGATGCCCATGCCAACGAGGCCTGGATGGAGTCAGGACCCTGGGCCTCCCTGGAGGCCTGCCCTGGGCTGGCTGGGCTTACTGCCCTGAGCCCTCGCCTCTGCTTTCCTGGATGCATGTTGGCAGGGAGCTGCATCAGATGTGGCAAGGACACAAACCCAAGCGTTCTCACGGAGCCTGTGGGGATCCCAAGCTACACCCTATTACCTCACAGCTTACAGAAGTGAACTTAAGGCTTACAGAGTTTCTTTAACATTTTGAATTTCTGAGAGAATAAAACAGGGGGGGAGAGGAAGCAAAGGAAGCCTACTGAGCATTTGCATATCAAATGGTTTGTCTCCGCTTCCTGTTGGCACCTTGACAATCCTCGCAGCTACGTGTCTTAAAAGATGTGATGGAGAAGCTGTCAGCTGGTGTCTTTAGGTACGCTGGAGGAGCAGGTCACTGCTCTTGTTCACTGTGTGTTCCCAAGACAGTAAGACTGGCATTTGCACTTTTGCTTCAACATTTACAATACACCTCATGCCTCCAACTTGTATTATTCAGTTAATTAAAAAAAAAAGATTTACATATTTGAAAAGCAGATTAGAGAGAATGAGAAGGGATGAAAAAGGAGCCATCTGCTTCACTTCGCAGTGGCCGCAGTGCTGGGGCTGGGCCAGGCCAGAGCCAGGAGCAGAGTCTGCCAGGCGCAGGGCAGAGGCCCGGCTGCCTTGGGCCATCCTCCACTGCCCTCCAGGAGCACTAGCAGGGTGCTGGGTTGAAAGAGGACTTACTGGAACGCACTCCAGCACTGGAGCATGGGATGCTGGCATCGGAAGCAGCCGCTTACCAGGCAGTACCACAGCGCAGACCCTTTAGTACTTTGCTTAGATAGTTACTTATAACTATTGTTCCAAGTTTATCTAGTTCTCAAAGATGGAAGTGGCTTGTGAGTCTTCCTTCCTACATTCCATAATGTATTTCACCTTTGCTTTTCCTCAGCAAGTTTTCCATGGCAATACGAAAAAAACAGCAGTTTGAAAACTGTACATTTTGAATTGAATTGGTTTAGTTTTATCAATTACCAAAGCAGTGATTTTTTTTCTTACATTTTTTAAAGATTATTTATTTGAAAAGGCAAAGTTACAGAGAAAAGGAGAGGCGACATCTCCCATCTGCTGGTTCACTCCCCAGATGGACACCACGCCAGGACTGTACCGGGATGAAGCCAGGAACCCAGAACTCTCTGCATGTGGGTGCAGGAGCCCAAGGCCCTGGCCCGTCTCCCTCTGCTGCCCTAAGCACATTAGCAGGGAGCCAGGAGGCATTCATATGGGATGCCTGGGAGGTGGAGGCTTAACACACTGAGCCACAGCACTGGCCCCAGTCTTGAACACCTTTAACTGGGAAAGTCTCCCAGCAGAGCTTGTTTTCCACTTCAGCAGGGGCGATCACTGCCCAGCTTGTTTGAAGCAGCCCTTGTGTAGTGCCAACTAAAGTCACCATTTCCAATCCTTTTCTTCTTCCTCAGACCGCAACTAGATGAGCCCGTCCCACTCTTTGAGGCCAAAGTCTCCATGGAAGTTGTCCAGCAAACTCAAGGAAGGAAAAAGCAAGTTGTTCAGTTTTAATTTTTCTTGTTTCTGAAGCCTCAGGTGGATGAACCCGTACTAGTGTTTGAAGCCAGAGGCTTCCTTGGAACTGGTTGGGACCAATCAAAGACCATAAAAGCAAGTTGCTCCATCCTTAGACCCTGCCTTCTCGCTGTCTTCACGCAAAACACGCAGGGTTTATTGGCAGATTTGAAAAGTCTTTGAAAAATGTGCAACTGGTTGAGATGTTTTTATTGTTAGCTTCCGAAGAGAATATTCTGCCATCCGTTTTAGTTACCGTTTCTGTATCTTTTCAAGCCTTGAAAATATCCCACGCGCTGTTAAATGTTGTGCATTCGCCCGGGTTCCCCCGGATCCTACAGGAGAGCTTGTGCGGGGTTGGCCCGTGGGCGGAGCTGCGTGCTCTCTCCCGGGGGCTCCCGCCCAGCGCGCCGCCCGTCCCCGCGCCCCCGGCACTGCCGGGCCCCCCGTCCCCGGAGGGGCGCGCACCCCGCGCGAGGGCGCGCGCGCGTGCGCCTGGGCGGCGCCTGGCCGCGGCCGGCCGCGCATGCTCCGCGCCGCCGGGGGCGGGGCCTTCCGGGGGCGGGGCCGGCGCGCGCGGGAAGTGGCTGCGGGCGGCCGGGCGAGCGGGCCCTCAGCGCCGGCCATGGCGGTGTCCGTGCCGGGCTACTCGCCCAGCTTCAAGAAGCCGCCGGAGACGCTGCGGCTGCGGCGGAAGAGGGCCCGGAGTGGCGGCGACGCTGCCGCCCCGTCCCCTGCGCTGCCCGAGCCGGCGCCCCGCCGCGCCGCCCTGGCCGCCGGGCTGCCCCTGCGCCCCTTCCCCGCCGGCCCGGGCCGGAGCGGCTTCTCCGCCGCCGCCCGCCGGAACCCCTTCGCCCGCCTCGACAACCGGCCACGCGTGGCCGCGGAGCCGTCGGACGAGGCGCCGGAGCGGGTGAGTGGGGGCTCCCCGGCTGGGACACCCCGCCCGGCCGGCCCGCGGCCTGCGGACAGGGGGAGGCTGCCTTCCCGCCCTGAGACGTGGACTCTGACGCGTCCGCCGTCGTTGTCGGGTGCCGGGGGTCCGCTTTGACCGCGTTTAGGTTACCCCGGAGTCTGTGGGGTCTTTCGGTTTGCACGTCAGTGATTAAAGCCCACGGCACCATCTTTTTCTCGCGGACACTGAAGGCTCATCCAGGTGATGAGTAAGGGCTGTGGATTTGGGTGCACTGTGTGCTTAGGCCAGGCCGTGTACGTATTCCTAACAAGCTTCTTCATTTAAGTTTTAAAAGAATTTTTTTAGATTTTAGAGTCTGTCCAAGAAAATGACTTGCAGTGGGATGAGATGAGTCCTGAGAGAGCAGCTCTGACCGGATTTCCCCAGGTAACGCACAACGTGGTTGTGTGTGTGTGTGTGTGTGTGTGTGCGCGCGCGCCCGCAGGTGCTTTGCTTGGAAGGGTTAGTCGCAGTCTTGGGAGTGGTCCTCGCTAGCAGGATTGGGACACTGCGCCCACCCCTGACGACTGATGTGCGCATAGCAGTTGTGTTTTTCCTCGAGCCCTGGAAATGACTAGGTGCCTTGCTCAGAGCTGGCCACTCCACGCTTGGGTGATGGAACCCTCAGGCTCATCCTCCCTGCCCACCCATCCAGCACTGGGCCTGGGCCCTTCCCCAGGCACTTGTGTTTTGTTGAGTGTGATCAATGCATAATTTGCCCTGTTGGGAACAGGCTCTGCCTTCTTTCATGTGGGCTGTTAGAGAAAGTCGCTCCTTCCCTCATACTTTGTGCTGGTGTCACCTCAGAGAATGTAAGGTGGAAAAGATGGACTCGGGGCAGCGGAGGAAGTGAAGAGAGGACAGGAAATGCTGCTTAAACATGTCCGGCAGGAGGGACTGCTTTGTTTTTGGACTTTGAGAGGCTCACAGTGATGAGTAGGCTCTGGGTACTGCAGGGACCTGTCTACACTGCTGAGTGCATCTGCACCTTTGTGACTAGAGCACACACACACACCGTGCCACCTCACCCCACCCCTGCTACAACACACACACCACACCATTCCACCTTGCTACACACACACCCCACTCCATCCCCATCACAGTGCACATTACCCCAACCCCCACTACAACACACACCACCCCCTCTGCGACACTTAAACACAGCCCACTGCACCCCCAAATTCCCTCCTTCCCCACAGCAAATCCCGCCGTCTTGGAGGTCACCACTACACAGATTGTTTCTTACAATAAAGAAAAACTCTGCACAGTGTGTGTTACATCTTAAGTCATGCTTTTGTTTAGTAATCATGATGACAGTGATTGATAGTTGAGAGTGAAGGATTTTCTGTGATACACTATTAAACTTTGGTGTTCTTTGTTTTCTGCAAGACTCCTCAAGTGTCCCTCTCCAAGGCTGATAGTCCATCCGCAGAGAGTGCGGAGTTACCTGTGGACTGGAGTATCAAAACTCGACTCCTCTTCACCTCGCCTCGACCCTTCACCTGGGCCGACCATTTGAAAGCACAGGAGGAAGCGCAGGGCCTTGTCCAGCACTGTCGGGCGGCGCAGGTTGCTCTGCCTCAGAGCATACAGGTAATTCTAGTGTAATGAACCTGTGTTCTAAACTAACAAAGCAAATACATCAGCTGTTTTTATTTCTGACAGTTAATGGCAGACACTTGGCAAAGTATGTTTTTCCCAAATGACACTTTCATATAGCTTTTGTCAGATTAAGTAATTGGACATTACATTTAGAAACCTGGCCTAATAATTAATGTTGCATACAAGAATTCCTTGACCCAAACCTTTTCTTCTTCTGGGGCCAGCGTTGTGACTTAGTAAGTAAATCCACCCCCTGGAATGCCACATTCTGTTGTGGGCACTGGTTCAGTTCCCAACTTCTCCACTTCCAGTCCTGCTCCTTCTAATGCTCCTGGGAAAGCCTTGGCAGATGGCTAAAACGCTTGGGTCCTTGCAAAGACTTGGAAGGAGCCCTGGGCTCCTGACGTCAGTCTGGCCCCACCCTGGCTCGTTCTACCATTTAGGGAATAAACCAATTGATGGAAGATCTCTGTCTTTCTCTGAAGAATATAAGGAAACCTTTCCTTTCTAATGCACTTGGAAACGGGATGAAATGCAAGCGAGTATAAACATACAGGAACCAGATAGAGTTTCATATACATGTGTGTACATATATGTGTATGCCTATTTTAAAGATCTGTTTTTAGTGGAGAGTCAGGTTTACAGAGTGAAGGAGGGGAAGAAAAATTCTCCAGCCGCTAGTCCACTCCCCAAATGGCCGCAACAGCCTGAGCTGTGCCGATCTGAAGCCAAGAGCTTCCTCCAGGTCTCCCACACGGGTGCAGGGTCTCAAGGCTTTGGGCCATACTCAACTGCTTTCTCACGCCATAAGCAGGGAGTTGATTGGGAAGTGGAGCAGTCGGGATACAAAGTGGTGCCCATATGGGATCCTAGTGGGTGGAAGGCAAGGACTTTAGCCACTAGGCTACTGCTCCAGACCCTTACATAGGGTTTTCTTACATAATTAAGAGTATTTGCTATCTGGGTAGTGGTCTGGTAACTTTTATTAGAATTAATGAATTCTAGGGTATTTTAAAGAAATACAGTTGGATCACTTTTTAAGCATCTCATCAAAAGCAGGTTAAAATGAGTTGCTAAAAAATGCTTTGGTTTCTCTTTTTGATAAATCAGGATCATTTGCAATTGCATATGGATGTTTCTTGGTTGCTTTTAATTTTATTTGGAGGACAGAAAGGTTTATCATGTGTTAGTTCACTGTGCAAATGCCTGCATCATGCTGGACCAGACCAGCCTGAAACTAGCCATGTTGCAGGCAGGGATCCACTGACTTGGCCAGTGTCTGCTACAATGCAGGGTGACATTAGCAGGAAGCTGGAGTCACGGGTCGCTGGGATTCTAACCCAGCCACTTGAATGTGAGGATTTGGCCATTCCAAGCAGAGACTTAACAACTGTGCCAGATGCTACCTTTGAAATATTTGTGTGTCCACACACACACATACACGGAGACATGTATGAGTGCACTCATGCTAAACGGATAGTTACTATTTTTAAAAAGTATTTTTGTTTGAAAAGCAGAGTTAGAGTAGGAAAGACACAGATCTTCCATCTGCTATTTCACTCCCCAAATGCCACAGTGGCCAGAGCTGAACAAAGCCAAAACCAGAAGCTTCTCCTGGGTCTCCATGTGAGTCCAAGGTCCTGGAACTTAGGCCTTCAGCAGAGAGCTGGATGGGAAGTGGAACTGCCGGGAGTTGAACTATCACCCATAAGGGATGCCAGTGCGACAGGCAGAGACATAGCCTGCTACACCATGCCTGTAGCCCCAGAAGTTACTCTTGCTAAGGATGCTAGCACCCAGGGCTTTCTACCTCGGAATGACAGCTGTAATTATTAGCCAGGATGATTTTCCTAAAAGGATCAAGCCCTGGCAGTATTCCCAGACCCATGGTAGGGTCTGGAAGTGGTAACACGTTTAGCTCCTCCTAAGGAAGTCACCGATGACCACCTCTATGTTTCAGGACCCTAAGCTATGCACTGAGCTGCGTTGTGCCTTCCAGCAGAGCCTTGTCTATTGGCTCCACCCTGCCGTGTCCTGGCTCCCCATGTTCCCCCGGATTGGGGCAGATAGGAAAATGACTGGAAAAGTGAATCCATGGGCAGAGGATGAGACTCTGCAGCACATCTCAATGAGTGACTGGTAAGACGTGTAAAGTCAAAGTGTGCAATCTAGCAGGGAATTCTGCTTTTTTAAACATTATGTTCAAATATCCTGTACGTACCATGAAATACATGTAACTGTAGAGAAATGGCTTTTTGCTCTCTGATCGTATGCATAACCAACATCCTAATTAAGAATGTTCAGGACTGGCACTGTGGCACGGTATGCAAAACCACCACGTGCAAAGCCAGCATCCCCTGTGGGCACTACATGCAGGGGCAGCAACCCCTGTGGGCCACAGGTTGACTCTTGCTGCTCCACTTCCAATCCAGCTCCCTGTGAAAGTGCATGGCAAAATAGTGGAAGGTGGCCCAATTCCTTAGGTCCCCACACTCACATAGGAGATCCAGAAGTTGTTCTGGTTTCCTGGCACCGGACCAGCCCAACTCTTGGATTTGCAATCATTTGGAGAGTAAACCAGCCAATGAAAGATCTCTTTCTCTGTCACCCTCTCTCTGAATTGTGCCTTTTAAGTGAATACGTAAATCTTCTAAAAAATTAATAAGAGAGCACATCCCTAATACTCTTAAGAGTCTGCATTTCCTGCCCTCTATTTTTTTTAACTTGGGAAAGAAGTGAATAGTGTAATTTACATGGCTTATTAGCAAGACTTTCATTATTTGTGCTGCATAAACATAAGGATCTCTATAATCTTTTTTTTTAAGAGTTATTTATTTTTATTACAAAGTCAGATATACAGAGAGGAGGAGAGACAGAGAGGAAGATCTTCTGTCCGCTGATTCACTCCCCAAGTGAGTGCAACGGCTGGAGCTGAGCCAATCTGAACCCAGGAGCCAGGAGCTCTTCCAGGTCTCCACACGGGTGCAGGGTCCCAAAGCTATACCTAATTGTGGAATATAAGTAAATAGTCCATGAATCTCTAAGACACAATTTTTTTTTAATTGGGAAAGTAATTACAAAGAGAGAAATGCCATCTGTTTTCTAGAACATTCCATAAAGGCCAGGGCTGGGCCAGACCACAGCAGTAGCCAGGAATTTCATCTAGGTCTCTGCTGTAAGTGCAGGGCCCAGGCACTTGGACCATGTTGTGCTGTTTGTCAGACCCATTAGTAGGGAGCTTCTGAGGTAAAACTGCCCTGTGTCCATGTGTGATGCCCATACTGTAGGGACAATTTACCAGCTGTTCACAGCACCGCCCCCAGACAGCGTTTCGTTCAAGAGTTCTTTTTGTTAAAGCAAAGTCACACGGAGAGAAAGAAAGAGATCTCCTTCTTTTGGTTCACTCTGCAAATGGCTGCAATGGAGTATGGAGCTGAGCCATTTCAAAACCTGCTTCTGGGTCTCCCACATGGGTGTGGGGTTGCAAGAACCTCTACCGTCAACATGGAGCTAGGTGGGAAGTGGAGCAGACGAGAGAAGAACTGACATACATGCAGCGTACTGGCACCACTGAAAGAGAATTAACTTGCTGTGCTGGCCCCAGGTGTGGGGTTTTGTTTGCTTAAGATTTATTTATTTATTTTAAAGATTTATTCATTTTGTTGGAAAGGCATATGTACAGAGAGGAGAGACAGAGAGGAAGATCTTCCAGTGCTGCGCCAATCCAAAGCCAGGAGCCAGGAACTACTTTCCAGGTCTCCCATGTGGGTGCAGGGTCCCAAGGCTTTGGGCCGTCCTCAACTGCTTTCCCAGGCCACAAGCAGGGAGCTAGATGGAAAGTGGAGCAGCCAGGACACCAGTGAGCATACATGGGATGCTTGTGCTTGAAGGGGTAGGATTAGCCAGTTGAGACCGGGCCCCCAGATGTTTGTGGGTTGTTCTTTTTTTGTTTTGTTTGGAAAAGAAGTGGAGCAATCATGAAACAAGCAGTGCCCATATGTGATCCCATCACATGCAAGTTGAGAATTGAGCCACTAGGCTGTTGTGCATACTGGCCAGATGTGTTCCTTAAGAGTACATATTGCTCATGGCTTCAGATTGGCTCAGCTCTGGCCATTGTGGCCATTTGGGGACTGAATCAGTTGATGGAAGCTCTTTCTCTCTTTAAGTCTGCCTTTCCAATAAAACAGGGACATGGATTAGAAGTGGAGTATCTGAGACTTACCCTGTGGGGTGCTGGTGCTGGTGCTGCCAGTAAAGGATTAGCCTCCTACGCCCTGGTACCAGCCCCAGCTCTCATTCTTTAATATTACTTCTCATCAGTGACTAATCAGTTTCTCATCAGTAGCATTCCTAGAGAATGTCCACTGATTATCAATTATGCAAAAAGAAATGCTTAGTGTCTAAGTGGTAAATCCTTACCTAAAATATTGAGAAATTATCAGCATGTTTTTACTACGAATTTGTTAAAGCCAAATTATGTGCAGTTGAAAACTTAAAACCAGAATCTGAAATGTTTGTGTTTTATGTCAAACCAGGTAAGGCTGGAGCTAGTTTATGTAAAAGTGTAAATGTTAAATGTTTAATGATATCTAAAAATTGTTTTGCTTGACAGGTCCGTAAGCTTTACTTCTCTGTATAATCTACTGAAAACCAAGCTCTGCCCCTATTTCTACGTTTGTACCTATCAGTTTACTGTCCTGTTTCGAGCAGCAGGATTGGCAGGAAATGATGCCATCACAGCTCTCATATCCCCCACAACCAGAGGATTGAGAGAAGCTATGAAAAATGAAGGTAAATGTTCAGGTTGAAAGTGATGCTTTATTACAGTCGGCACTTACCTTGAAAACTAACGTTTGAATTGTCTGTGTAAGTTGATTGTTATTTTTACAAATGTGTATTTCTTCATTCCCCACACCACTACCCCATGTAATCATTAACCTGTTGCGTATAGGTATCATTAAGTTAATGGTGTTCCCTTTTCTGATTCCAGAGTAAAATGCATAATGTGTAAGAAACTTCCTATGTGAATATACTCTTCCTAAAATTCTTCTATAATACAAATAACTTACCCTATTTTCCTAATTTACTTATTTGAAAATAGTAACAGAGACCCTTTATCTGCTGTTCACTCCTCTGCTGCTTTCCTGGGCCATAAGCAGAGAGCTGGATCGGAAGTGCAACAGCCAGGACACAAAAGGACATCTAAATGGAATGGCAGCACAGCAGGCAGAGGATTAGCTGGCTATGCCACTTTGCCAGCCCCTCAACTTTTTTTTCTTTGTGGTTTTGAGTTTTTGTTTGTTTTTGGATTTATGTATTTTGATTTGAAAAACAAAATTGGGTTACAAAGAGAGCTTCACCTACTTGCTCATTCCCCAGATGGTCACAGTAACCAGGGCTGGGCCAGGTAGAAGCCAGGATCCTGGAGCCCCTTTCAGGCCTCCCGTATGAGAACTGAGGCCTGGCACTGTGGCCCTCCTCCACTGCTTTCCCGACCAGCAGCTGGATCAGAAGTGCAGAAGCCAGGCCTGGTGCCCATGTGGGATGCCGATGCTGCAGGCAGAAGCTTAACTTTCTACGCCACACACCAGCCCAGCATTTAAGCTTTGATTCACTTGAAAAGCAAAAAAAAAAAAAGTTAAATACTTCTAAGAAAAACTGAGCTACATGTTTCTTTTATCATTATAGGTATTGAATTTTCTCTTCCTTTAATTAAAGAAAATGAGCAAAAGAAGGAATCCTCTGGAACAAGCTTGGGACATGAGGAGTATGTGATTAAAATAACCTTTTGAATACCCATTAACTTAGAGATTCAGTGAAATGAATTTGTAAAGTGGAAACTTAACTATTTCCTAGGGAGCAACCAGTGAGTGATGAGGATGAAGAAGAAAGCTTTTCCTGGCTGGAAGAAATGGGTGTGCAAGATAAAATTAAAAAGCCAGACACACTGTCCATCAAGCTGTATCCTTTCAGTTGCTGTTAGTCAAAAGTAATCTGCTTTAAGTTAAAAGTTTTAAATGGACTGTTTTTGTGGTTTTCTTAAATGCACCAGGTTCCGCAGCACACATTTGGGTCTCTGCACACATGAAGACCCAGAAGAAGTTTCTGGCTCCTGGCTTCAGTCTGGCCCAGACTTTTAGGGCCATCTGGGGAAATAAATCCACAAAGGAAAATCTGTCCCGTCCTTTGGAAAGCAGAGAGAGTAATGACATCCATTTGCTTGTTTACTATGTATTTTTTTATTGAAAAAGCAGATATACAAAGAAGAAGAGACAGAGACGAAGAGCTTCCATCTGCTGATTTACTGCCCAAATGGCCTCAACAGCCAGAGGTAGACCGATCCAAGGCCAAAGCCAGGAACTTCTTTCCGGGTCTCCAATGCAGGTGTAGCATCCCAAGGCTTTGCGCCATCCTCTGCTGTTTTCCCAGGCCACAGGTAGGGAACTGGATGGGAAATAGAGCAGCTGGCCACAAACCAGTATCCTGTGGGATCCTGTCCATGTCTGCCTTTCATGTGCATTAACAGCAAGCTAGGTTGGAGTCAAAGAAGCCAAGATTTGAACCGGCACTCAGATGGGAAGCCGACATCACAAAGGTTAGCCTGCTGCAATGTTGGCCCCTTTTTGACTGACTGACTTTGGAGATAAACTTAAGAATTGTGTTAGGGCTAATTCCCCATTATGACATTAAATAGTAGTAACTGCCTAGGAATCAAACTGAATTGTTAATTTTTTTTTTAAATGAGATTAGAATTTGTGTATGAAACATTCCCATTTTGGGGAAAGTATTTCGCTGCTAAAGAAGAAATTCCTTGGGCCCGGCGCGGTGGCGCAAGTGGTTAAAGGTCCTCGCCTTGCACGCCCGGGATCCCATATGGGCGCCGGTTCTAATCCCGGCAGCCCCGCTTCCCTTCCAGCTCCCTGCCTGTGGCCTGGGAAGGCAGTCGAGGACGGCCCAAGGCTTTGGGAACCTGCACCCACGTGGGAGACCCGGAAGAGGCTCCTGGCTTCGGATCGGCTTAGTATCGGCCCGTTGCGCTCACTTGGGGAGTGAATCATCGGACGGAAGATCTTCCTCTCTGTCTCTCCTCTCTGTATATCCGCCTTTCCAATGAAAAAATAATAAAAATAAATCTTTAAAAAAAAAAAAAAGAAGAAATTCCTTTTGGTTAGCAGATGTTGACTATTTGATTCACACCTAATTTGCAGTGAAGAGGGAGGTCTAACAAGAACATTTCAATTTTGTTAAGAAAGAAAAAGCCCCAGGTGATTCAAAATCACGGCAACTTTGGGCATTTATTTTGGACCTGCGTTTACAATTTCCTTGACTTTTCTTGCCAGGCGTAAAGAGAAGCATGAAGTACAGATGGATCACAGACCCGAGTCTGTTGTTTTTGTGAAAGGAATCAACACTTTTACATTGCTCAATTTTTTGATCAACTGCAAGAGTTTAGTTGCTACCTCAGGTCCACAGGCAGGACTTCCACCAACGCTGTTATCCCCTATAGCTTTCCGAGGGGCTACAATGCAAATGCTAAAGGTAATTAAGGAAAAAAACCTAGACTGCTTTTCCAATTTGTGATACTTTGATAAGATAAATTTTTTTTTTTAATTTACTTGAAAGAGTGATAAAGAGTAACAGAGCTGTTCAATCCGTCTATTCACATCCTAGTTGATTTGTACCACCAGGACTGGCCATCCAGGATTTCCCATCTAGCCGGAAAGGCCCCGGGTTTTTGTACCATCTCTCAGTGCTTTCCCAGGCACACTGGCAGGTTGCTGCTTCAGAAATGGTACTGGGACTCTTATTTGTCACATGATTTTTTAACTGGCAGTACTACAGGGATGACTCCATATTACCACATTTCTGGAAGGGCAGATATATTCTTCCTGCTGGTTCTCTGGCCACATGCCCATTATGGATGAACAAAGCTGAAGCCAGCAGCCAGAAATCCCCTAATGACTTCCCACATGGGTAGCAAGCACAAGTTCCCCAACAATCACCTGTTGCCTTCTGGGATGTACATTATCAGGAAGCTAGAGCTAGGCAGAACTTTCTTAACAGAAAGGCAGATTTACAGATAGGAGGAGACAGAAAGGTCATAACATTTTCTATTTTTTTTTTTTAAGATTTATTTACATTTATTGGAAAGGCAGATATACAGAGAGGAAGTCTGAAGCCAGGAGCTTCTTCCAGGTCTCCCATGTGGGTGCAGGGTCCCAAAGCTTTGGGCCGTCCTCGACTGCATTCCCAGGGCACAGGCATGGAGCTGGATGGGAAGTAGGGCCGCCAGGATTAGAACCTGCGCCCACATGGGATTTCGGCGCCTTCAAGGTGAGGACATTAAATGCTAATCTATCGTGCCGGCCCCCCATTTTTTTTTTTCTGAAGAGGGCTCAAGATAGGAAAAATTCATTCTCTAGGCTATGCTTCAACAGAGACCCTCATTATATAGTGGGTACCAAGATTTTGCTCGTTTTCACTGATACTACTGTAATGTCTTGATATGTACTTTGGCTCCATACGTTTGTATGGAAAGCCTAAAGGAAAATGAGCAGTTTTGAGAAAGAGATTGTAATTTTTTTTCTTTTAATTCTTCATAAAGGCACGAAGTGTGAATGTGAAAACTCAAGCTCTTTCTGGATACAAAGATCAATTTAGCTTGGAGATCACAGGTCCTGTCATGCCTCATGCTCTGTATTCTGTGACTGCACTCCTCAGATCTTCCCAAAAAGGAGCCTTCTCTGCAGGACTATACCCACACGAGCCAACTGCTGTTTTTAATATCTGTCTTCCCGCGGACAAAGAGGTGCAGAAGGTAAGGAGACCAGGACCAGGAAGGAAGGAATTTCTGATGAGCAGCTCATGAAGCTACTGTCAGTTGCTCCGATTTGCCATGCCATGCAGAATGTATCTATAACTTATTTCTCTGGGCTAGATTTTAAGAAACTAGCTGTTGAACCAGTAACAGTAACTGACCAGCCTTCTAGACGTAAAACTCACTGGATTTTCCTATCCTAAACCAAATGCCTGATTGTAACCATTTCTAAATAAAGTGGTGTTGAGGTGGTAACTAAAGCCTCCAAAATTCGCTGCATTCATCAGTGTTCAACTTGAAATTTGTCAATGCAGCATGTCATAGATTAACTTCTATTTATGTTGATGTTGCATTACATGAATGTTCAAAAACTCATGTATGTTTTACTGACTGGCATGCATATTTCCACAGGAGGTGGTTCATAAAGAGCTTGCAAACTGTGGGTTGCATTTGAAGACTGTGGACCAACTTAGTCAAATACCTTTGCTTGGAAAATCATCTTTACGGAATGTGGAAATGAGTAACTACATTTATAGTTGGAGATCCTGACATCAAAGTAAGCCTAAAAGGAATCTTTGAGGAAAACAAAAACAACCTAGCAAAGAAATTCAAGATTCTTTGGCCTTACATTACTTTTGAAAACTAAGGATTTGCTAAAAATGCAGAAGTGTTTATAGATGTTACTTTTATTACATGCACCGGGCTATAGGACTGAGGTTTGAAGTCAATATTTGTTTTATTATGATGCTGAATTTCCAGATTCTGAGTGCAAGTTAAACGTTGGGAATTGTTAAATTGTCACCTGAGTAGAAAGCATCATTAATTCCTTACAAATGGGGCACTAAAGTATGGCAGTGATGTCACTAGTGGCTTCAGTGCAAACCACTGCTCTCCTGTACACTTCCTTCAACTCTTAGCATCGACTAAGCTGACTCTTGATGCCTCTATTTTAGCTCTTAAGATGCCGATTTATAATTCCTCTCTTGAGATGTCATTTTGAATGCATGTCAACTCAAAGGGTAGTTTGTGTGTGTGCCATCCAGGAAAGAAAGTACGTTCAACCGCCCATCATGCCCTTGAATGTCTCACAGGTCCTTGTGTGTGCTTCAAGTTGTTGTTTTTAAATAAAAGTGTTTAGAAACTAAAAGCATTGGGTAAAGAAGTAACAGTATTTAGTAAGGTATGTGTTTATAATCCAGAAAATAAATCACCACATTTGTTCCAGAGAAGTTTGTATTTGGGCCTTAAGCTTTGAAAATAAAGTTTAGAGACATAGCATATGAATACCACTGTAATACACAGGAAATACTCTATCAGACCCTAAAAATTAACAAACTTTCATAGTCAACAAAATAGTGGCTGGTTGCCAATTTTATTAGGTAAGTTGGTTACAGCATTTAATTATTTTATGTCTATCTAGGTGTAGCTGAAATTCAAAATGCACATCAAAGTAAAACTATATCACAACTCAATGCCATACTAAACATACTTGGCTCTGCAGAATTCTAGTCAGACTTTCATTTTGATTCCACTCTCACGATCCAAGTGGCTTTAATGGGAATGCAGGACTCAGTGCTGATCATTACACAACATATCACTTTTTATAACTTTTACAAAATTTTAAGGGAAGATGGTGGCCATTAGCCCCGTGGAGCAGATCTTGCTTGATTACCTCAATAACACTGGCCCAGTATCTGTCCAGCAGAACCCATTGTGAAATAGTACAAGGTGCACAGCCCTTCACTGATTACAGGCAAGTGTTACAGCAGCCTAGCCATAGGAAGGGAGTTACATCATAGTACAAAATACAGTATAAAAGCGTTATTAACATTCCACACTGAAGATCACTGATGCCTTCAAACAACTGTTTGGATGTTAGCCACTTAAACAAATACATCACTAAGGTAAACAATATAAACATACCAAAACCCTGTATGGTTAAATACAATTTCCATGGTACAAAAATCAAAGCCTGGAGATGTTTGTACAGATTGCTTTTTACACAATGTCTTAAATTGCCAAATATTTACAACATTAAAGAGGAAATACATTGTGATGCAGAGTAAAATTATCTGAAATGATTAATATAAAACCTCAATCTATCTACGTGAGGCACTCCTGAAGCAAGTGGCATTAGCCATGAGGTCCTTTGGTACAAGGCCCATTGCTTGAAGAACCACAGTAGCAGCTGTGGCTTTAGCATGCTTCTTATTAGGGCTGGCAAAGCTGGGCTGGTAAGCGCTTCCATTTATCAATACCTATTCAAGAAAAACATACAATTGGGCTGGTAAGGGCTTCCATTTCTCAATACCTATTCAAGAAAAACATACAATAAGAACAGCATCAAACTTTAATATCTATTAGCTTTTTTATTTTTTCACTAAATGCTAAAACTTAAAACCCATACTATATAAATCAAATTTAATCACAACCCAGAAATAGCAAATCATTGCAGGAAGGACTGAATTTAATGGCTAGTCTCCAAATCAGAAAATAAAAACAGATCCATACCCCATATGCAACTAGAAAGTATCAGTAAATTTAACCGATAGCACTCCCTCTAATTTTTTAATAAGATTCACAAATGACCCCTTAATGTTTTTTTTTTAAATCAACAACAAAAACCACTGCATTCTACCCACAAATAATACACCCAGCCCAGTAACATGGTATTAGTCATGTAATTTATACCATGGCCATCCCTCACCCTCTATCATCAAGTTAATGTGTATAAGTAATTCAGAAATGCATATTTACCCTAAATAGAAAATGTTTGCGATGGTCAGGGCCACTATCATGGACCAGGAGGAATTCAGGTGGTTGCCACCTTCTCTTATTACAGATTTCCATCAAGGCAGACACAGGATGTTTGCCTGCAAACAAAAATATATGAATTAGAATTCCACTGCTTTTGCTACAAATTACAAATTCAAGGTGAGACGCACACAAAAGGGTTTTCTCACCTGACAAATCTTTCATTGCAGCAGAGAAGTTCCCAGACCTCTTTTGTGCTCTTTCCCCTACTGCAACAAGACCTTTAAGATGGAAAACAGCAATGTTCACCAAATAAATTTCTATTATTTTAATTCCCAACACAAACTACAAACATGGAGGAAAGACCTTGAAGCCAGAACTCAGATTTACTGTGGATGTATACTTAGTGTATCAGTAGGTTGTTCTGCAGTACCTTTATCAGTAGCTTGTTTTCAATCAATTATAATATACAAAAACCATTAAGAATCTCATATATGAATAAGCATATATATTGAGAATCCACGTCCTTTGTAATGTCAGCAACAGTGATGATTATATTTTATTCACTCAAAAGTAGCTTTCAAAAGGCCAATTTGTTACCAAATCAGAGCTGCCTATATTACTAACCAAAAACAATATTATTCTAACATTCACAAGTGTATATTAGTGGAACTTCTCCAACATTCCTAAATCCTATCCCAGTAGATTTCCCAAGCCTGTTTTAGGAGACAGAGTGTTGCCTGAGAACTCAAGGCCATGTTTAATAATTTCAAGATTGCTCCTGGGAGTTAAGGTAGTTCCTTTCTAGTTTCAGAGCTCATCTGTTTCCAAACTCGTTAAGCCAGATTAATTACTCAGGTTGCCTCAACTTACTGTTGGACTTAAAAAGAACAAATCGGCATTTCAATTCTCCACTTTTCTGAACTTTGGAAACAACCTTCTAAGACAATGGCCATCCCTCATGATTCCACTTAGAATATTTTAAGGAACAAAATCATGAAGATTAGGCTGTTACCTGTGGGTACACAAGCTATATATTTTCTACTAAGCTATCTGAAAATAGCAAGAGTCCTAATAAGGCAATGTAGAAAATTTCCCCAACAGAAATATTCAGTTTGAAAAGAAAACAAGCAGAAAGACTTGTTAAGACAAAATAGCATTTTAAAGAGAGCAAAAGGAATTTGTATATACTTTGAACGGAAAAACAAATCTAAGCATATGGTCTGAAGCAAGAGAGAATGGAGTAGAAACCCCCTTATCGAACATGAAATCTAGTTAACTCTGCACACCTAGGAGGTATCTGCAGAAAGATAAGGAAATCCGACATGTAGAAGGAAGTACACAGTCTGAACAGCAATATTTCACCTTTACGATCTGTCTTGAAATCAACTAGGATGGGTTCTTTATTTCCTTCTTTGTTTTTCCCTAGTCCTTCTCCTTCTCTCCAGCCCATTTTCCTCATCAGAACGGCTCCCATTCCTCCAGTCACTGGGGCAGCTCGTAAGAACTGATCCTATCCAAAGAAAAAAAGGTAAAATGTCCAAATTTTACAGTTAGAACATCTATATGGTAACTGACAACTTTTCAAAAAGGAAAAAATCTTATTTTACTTCTATATCTGTTACAGCAATTAAATTTCATTGCTTCAGTGCTTAATCGAAACTGCAGTGTATGTACTAGTGAATTCACATTAACACATGGTATTGATAGTCACAAAAGAGGCAAATAATTGATAGTGTTAAAGCAATGGTCCCTCATGCCCCCCTCCAAAAAACAATCAGAACACTCCTGTTTCCGTCCACTATTTAGGTTCACTGGTATTTCTTCTTAGCTTGCAAAATAAAAAGAAGGCAATGTTAAAAAAGTAAACAATATTAATTTTCCCGGTGTACCTAGTTTATGAATAAAGCCCAGAAATCATTTAGAAACTGTTTGGACACTGAAGAAGTATACTGCTGTCATCCAAAGTTTTCTCCCCATTCTACTAAAGGCAAGTATAAACATTTTACTTAGAAAATCCCTATGAAGCAAAAGATAGCTCTTTAAGATATATTTACACAATACACACATAAAATACCCTGCCAGTACACCAAACGAATCTGAATTCTTTTAAGCCTAGCTTGATGTTAAAAGACTTTGAAAAAACTCCTTAAATGTTTACATACCTAGGCCTCGGCAGCAGCAGTGTTGGGAATAGTACGGCTGGCACTGACCGGGGCAAGAAGACAGCTACAAGGATTTGGCCCTGAAACAAGTTTCCATACAGAGGGGTGAAAGTTCACAGGTTATTCTGTGAACAATCATCTCTCTTGTATCCAACCCACTGAACCATAATTTCCATCAAAGCAGCAAAAGACTTAATGTCCTAAGATGCACAACTATGTATATAAGCATGATCAACAGTGAAGCTCAGGTGCTGGAAATAACTGACACCTCTGTAATGGGCATCTTTATATATGTAAAAGTGAATTCTGGTGAGCATTATTGCCATTTAAAAACCTCTCCAAATCATCTTTTATCTCCCCTTCTTAACAAACTTTAAGATTTACATTCTCCAGCAAACATGTAGCAGTTACTAACTTATCAACAGAGGAAGTAAAAAGTTTCAACAATTAAGGAAATAGTATTTTCATTTCCTATATTGATAGTTAATACTAAATACAAAAAAGCCACTGTAACAAAAGAGCATAAATTTATTTCTCAGCTTTGTAATTAAATGCTGAGCAGAAAACATGCCAATGGTGTGTGACTAGACATTAAGTTTAAAAAGGTGCTCTGATGGAAGGAGGCAGCTCTAGAGGTAAAACATACCCCTGGTTCAGTTTCCTTATTTGGTGCAGGCCATGCAGTGTGGATGTATCAAGAGAAAAGTTAGCTGATGCTTGGGAAATCAACTGCCTTGATGCTACACGCCTAGAATGACTTTTACTTACTTCCAGGTTCATCCGCCCCTCTTTTCCAGGATACACTCCTAAAAAAAAGGGCAACTGTGCAGAGTACAAAATAAACCCCCAGAACCCCCAGGTTTCCAGTTATGCTTCCGTTCTCTGGTAGTTTCATGTTCATCCAAGTGTGTATGCAGGTAAACAATCAAAGCTGACTAATGAGACCACAATAATCTTATTGATCAGGTCATGTCCAGACCATTCAATTCCAGAAAGCAGAGGTTCTTTAAAAACCAAATCAAAAAACACATAAAAATTTTACTGATGGATGAGAATATTGATTAAACTAATTTTTTCCTCTAAAATGACGGCAAAAAAAAAGAATTAATTCAAGGATTGTTGGTATTTTTCTGGACTGAAAATCAGTAAGCAAGCAAGAAAGAAGCTAAATGACTGATCAAGTTTTCTAAACGGAAAATTTATCGGAAGACCATATCTGAGGTAAATCTTCAATTGTCCATTGACAATATATGGACTCATTAAAAAAAAAAAATCCTTTGGCAAGTAACCTTTCATATCGTAATTCTACAGGAATACACTTTTTATAATATCTACTCTCCAAAGGAGTCTATGAGAAACAAAGACAAAACCAGTAAAACCACTATGTCCTAAACATATTCACATTTAAATTTTGCGAACTGCCTAGAATACTCAACTGTTTCAGAGCAAACTATTTGAGGCAATTAAATCAGAGAGGATTTCCCTTTTATCTTAACAGGATGACGAAAGTATTATAGATATGTAATGTTACAAAAAGTACATGTGATACAGATGGAGACCAACGTTTTGTGGTGGACTCACTTTCCAATGTGCCCACCTAAAAATTTCTAAATTTCTAAATTTACTATGGACCTACTTTGCATGCCTAAGCTTTATTCCCAACTTCATAAACTACTGACTTCTCAAACTTCAGGAAATTTTGACTACGTATGCATTTACAATTCTTCCCATCAAGTTAGACCCATGTTTTCAAATTCTACACTAACCTATTTTTAAAATAGAGTATTTTATGATAAGGTTTTTAAAACTTCCAGGCACAAACCCACAATAAAGTATTTAAAATGTTTTAGCAGGTAAAATGAGAATTCATGCTTCACACTAGTGTCTTAATGAGAATCAACAGCAATAAAACTATCACAATTGAAATACTTTATGTCAAATGCCTAAAGCATCAAAAATCTCACTTTCTCGGAGATCTAATCGTTCACTGGCACACACTGCATCTCTATATTTACCTAGTCAATTATCGATTACCACTCCATAAAACAGTAGGAAGGACTTGTCTCCACCAGACACTTGGGAGACTTTGAAATTTCAAAGAATTACTTGCCCATGATCACACAAGGAGTCAGGTGTACAGCAGGACAAAGAAACCTTCCCAATCCATTAGACCACGCCGCCTCCCAGTTTTCAGCACTGCTATGCTGCCAGTACTCCTGAAACAAATTTCCCATCACCCATCCAACCAAGCCACATCCCTTCAGCAGACTGCTTTTTCTTCAGCAAGCCTTTCTCAGCCACCTAGGACTCCCCCGACAATGAGGCAGCCATAGGTGGAGTTCACAGGGGTCAGTGCAGGAATCCCAACCAGATGCACCTAGATCTTCATGGCACGAGCTGTCCGTTTTCGCCCTTGACTTTAGGTCTTAGATATCCTGTTTATTTCATAAAGTCAGTGGTTCTCAAATTGATCCTATGGATCACCATAGGCCACCAGTGCCTAAATGGTGTTCCACAGAGGGCAATCTCCATCCCCACCCCATCACCCCGACACCACCCTTCAGCACTGCCCACCCCACACTCTAGCATCCCCCAGCGTTCCAGTCCCACAGCAAGATCACCACATGCAGTGCTACGTCTAGGGCCTCCCACCCACTTGCTGTCATCCACAGCTGACAACTTAGAGGAATCCAGGGCTGGAGGTCACAAGATGTGAGAAGTAAAACCCAAGGGCTCTTACATAAGGACGCAAGCACTAATGCGAGGGCAGGACAGAGGGGGAGAAGGAAGAAAATGAGAGGGGTGGAGGGCTCGGGGCAGTGATCTACCAAGAATAAACCTGCAATAAAGTTTCCCATGATGAAGTAAAAATTTGAGAACCACTGCTTTGGAATGATTAGGTTAGTAGTCCAGCAGGAACTGTGGAATATTCTGAACAGCACCTGATACGTTAGCATTCAAAAAGTTAAATAAAACCACCCCCACCAAAAACAGCAACAGCAATTAAAAAAAAAAAATAACCGCAGGATACAAGTGGCTCTTGAGCCATATTTATACATTTCCCATGATCTTGTCCATCTTCAATGTCCATCCTGGAGTACACACACAGCAGATTTACTATGAAACTTTGGTTAGAGTCACTGGCCTTGTCATGCATTTTTTTAATGAAACATTTTCTGAAAACTTTGGACTTCGTACTTAAGTATTTTATGTATGTACATATATTATATACCTTTTTAATCCAGGCTTGGGCACCAGTATTGGCCAGTTGTTCTTGCGTCAGAACCTGGACTCCTGTACTTCCTGTGAACTGGCCAGGGATAGAGTTCAGCTGAGCCCAGGCATCAATCTGAGAAACAGAAGGAGCTTTCATTAGCTTAGTAAATTACTACAAAAACTAACATTCAGTCTTTAAGAAAATGTACTGAATCTATACATGCCTATAATCATAACCATAATTCTTGAAGTTACGTGGTTTAGTCAATTACCGATAATAAAATTTGAAGTGTATCTTTAAACACAGCTATATATCCATATATAATACCTTCAAAATACCACATGCAAAAAAGAAAAAAGGCAAATAGCTTAAACATGGAGGTGGATCGTTTCCTTTCTTCCAGCCTCTCTTCACTCAAATACAATGTAGTGAATGTCAGGATGTCCCCTGAGTTACTGATTACTTACACTCACACTGGGAATCCAGAATTCATGACACAACTTAATACAGGAAAAAAAAAAAAAAAAAAAAAAACACCAAAAAAACCAGAATAATCACCAGAACTTGGTGTGATAAACTATCCGCTGTCATTCAATTCACCTTTACTAAATACTGATCACAAATTTTATGTCTTAAACATGAACTTACTGGTACTATATCATTAGTATCATTACTAAAAGTGTGGACTGTGATTTCTGATTGTTTGATTGCTTGGGTATGTCCTCCACTGTCTAGCTGCCTGAGTGGCAGTACCACTGCTTTTGACCTCATTTCCTGTCTGAAACACAGGACAAGCATTTCCTAAGGCAGTTATGGGCACTAAGCTAACTGTAAAATGTGAGATGAGGTAATTTTTATTTTCCCCTGAATCAGTTTCTGCCTCATAGTACACATATTTATTCAATGGTCATGTTCTAAATCACCTTTCATATACGCCAGTGAGTTAAGAAAGAAACATGTATACATTGGGCCGGGCACAGTAGCCTAGTTGCTGAAGTCCTCATCTTGCACACACCAGGATCCCATATGGGTGCTGATCCTAATCCCAGCAGCCCTGCTTCCCATCCAGCTCCCTGCTTGTGGCCTGGGAAAGCAGTCAAGGATGGCCCAAAGCCTTGGGACCCTGCACCCGCATGGGAGACCCAGAGAGGTGTTGGCTCCTGGCTTCGGATTTGGTTTAGTTCTGGGAGTGAATCATTGGACGGATGTTCTTCCCCTCTGTATCTCCTTCTCTCTGAATTTCTGCCTTTCCCATAAAAATATATAAATCTTTTTAAAAAAAGTTATTAACATGTATATACCAATTACCTAGTTGGTGAGATTACAGTATCTACATACCCGTTCCTGAGCTCGATTTAACATGCTCATAGCTTCAAGGTCAAATGCATTCTCGCTTAGTCTTTTCTGAGCGAGTGCTCGTTCACTCATCGCTGTAGAGATGTCCACAGGCTAAGAAAGAAAACAAAGATAATTATCTCAAATTATCATTGGTCCCTAAATCCTAAAAATGTTTTGTCACTTGTCAAAACATAATCTTGTGAAGGGGAAAAGTCATCCCAACAGGTAAGAAAATTAAAAAATAAACACCAGGTAAGGATTAAGGTAAGTTAAAAGTACTACAGGCAATTAAAAATGTTATAGGTGTTATTTTCTATAACTGATCAGAAAATTCCATTATTCTTATGTGTAAATCCAGGTCAACTGACACAATTTTTAAATGGAATGTTTAATAAATTTATATATTTATCTTGTTTTCAAAGCTCCTATCTTCACCTTAGAAAACTAGATATTGAAATAAGCAGAGGTGATTTAACTGTCAAAATACCCTCTCTAGAGCAAATCTGCAACATTTCAGACTTATAGGTTTAAACGCAGAAGAATCCATCAAGTAAGTAATGTTTTCTGCTCTAAGATTAAGAATTCTAGTTTATTTGCATCTCATTAACATAAATCTTGGTTTTTATGAGGTCCCAAGCAGTATTTAGCACATGAACATAAGCAGCAAAGCGTTGGAGGTTGCCAGCTCTCAGCTTCTCACACAACGATTAACCCCGTATGGGTTAACCCAGTGAGAGCTGCACCTGTCCCACTGCCCCCTATTTCTCACTTCCAAGATCAGAACTGGGACCTTTAACACCACTTAAGCCAGTATTTTATCAGTATTTCACAAGAAAATGTTAAGAAATGTTACTGTTTTAAATAGAAAACACTGCATGACATTTGCAAATAACACCTAATCAATTGTTTACAAGTAGAAGCTAGCCATAAAAATATATGTATTTATAAGGATTCACTAAATATCCGTTTTCTATTTTTAGAGAGCTTAATCCAATATCTAAAGTCACAATTTTCAACAAAATACATTTTCAAATACCTGCTTAGAATAAAAGTAAAATTAATCTGAATCTTATTATCATTTGTATTAGACTATGTATCTTATATTTCTGGGACCTTTAAGAAATAATTAGCCTAAGCAGATAAAAATTTTAACAGTACACTCAGATTTCACATAACGTGTAAATAATCATTTCTGGAACTGAAATATTTTGTTTGATTCCCTGTAACTTTAAATGGGGATGGGGGAAGGAGAGATATTTCAGGCTAAAATGTATGTTGTATACCCCATACCTAAGAAATTTCCTGTATTTGTCTAGCAGAACGCACTAACTTGGCAAAAAAGACAAGTACTGTTGTCATTAACTTTGCAGATTTCCTTTGTTTTTCAGAGCAGAATAAATCTTAAATCTTAGGAGGTTTGGACATAAATGGGTTACTATTCTGTGAAGGATAAAAATCTGAAAGGATACTGAGGAAAAATTTACCTACCATCCGGAGGCCCAAATGGGCAAGCACCAATCACCACACTATATGAGCAAGAGGTTTCAAAGTTTTTTTCTAATTAAAATTCCAAGCAAAAGTCAATGGTCTTATCTATCTGTAAATTAATTCTTCTAGGTATTTTTAATATAATATTTTCTATTAAGTTTATATGTTGTTGTGAAATGAATTTTAATATAGCAGTTTTGCTGTTGAATGGTTGCTTAAGAGGAAATAACTATTTTTTCCTGATGTAATATTTATTCAGCAAGGTTACCAAGTGAGCTGTAAGTTAATGTCAAAAATTTATTCAGCTTAATATCCAGTAGACTCAGAAGGCCCAAGATTATCTAAACCTTTTAACGGTCCTCAAGAATTCACATCAGAAAGTCTTTCCAGCTTCTGAATCTAATTCAGATTATCCAATAATACATAAGCAACTATTAAATCCCAAAGCATTAATACATTAGTGTTGCACTAATATTAAGTTCTCAATATTTTAAACAGAAAATAACAATCCTTCTTTGAACCACTATTACACTATAGAACATTCTTGACAGCTGCTAATCATTTGAAAACTTATATATAAAAAAGATTTTTCAGATGGTAACTAGTGGACAATATTTAGTATGTTAGTCATGCTTCAATATATTTCAGAAAATGTGGGAAAGGCACTAAAATATCTTCAAAGCTCTTCTGACACTGCCAAGAAAATCTTACCTCCAAAATATTATCCTGTTGTCATCAACATTTCTACTGGTCAGATTGCATATTTACTGTGTAAAAATTATTGTATGTGATCATCTATAAGTATAATGAAGGGAATGTTCCACCAACTATTAAATATATTACTCTGCATAAATTTAAAATGTCTAATTGCTTTTCATCTATGTCAACAACACAACTGACTAAAATCTTCCAAGATGTTATGAAATACATAGTGCAGTGGTTATAATGTACCACACATTTTATGTGTGTCTGATTTTTTACATTACTTATTATTGAAAATGGCCTCAATGCCGTTGCAATGCTGTGTTATTCTACATTTATTCACATAAACAATTACCCTTTAACATCAGCTTAAAGGTTACAGATGACCAAAGATAACTGCTGGAAAGGGACTTCTCTGGCATGTTAAACTTTTAGACAATAGTAAAATGAAACATAGAAGAAAAATTTAACTTCAAAAAAGAAAAATTCTGATTAGGGTATAAAACCTGTTATAATATTTAGCAAAGATTTCTAAAATATAAAAAATGACAATATACAAGGAAATACAAAATGTTCTATTATGTGGTTTTTTTTGGCAGAGTGAATTTTTTTATTGTCTCAAAGAATTCTCAGGTGTAACAAAAAATTATTACGGAAGAAACTTTTTAATTTTGTTAATCAGCTGGGAAAGTCTAGAGGAAAAAAGTTGATATACTAAATTACACAATCCAGAACCGTGCTTAATGTTTTTTAGAGTTTTTATTTCACTGTAAGTTAGCTTTCCTAAACTTTATAGAACTTCTAACAGGAAGGCAATCAACAGACCTCAACAATGACTACCACCAAATTGTACTTCAGTTACAGACTAAGTGTAAACCTTGTATTCAGCAAGTCTTTGCAACTATTATTGAAAATGGCCCATCTTAAATATTCACATCCCCCTGAGTATCGCACCAACTGGTTTCTGCAATCAAAATGATGCCATGGTAGCAGGGCACACGTCCCGAGTCATTTCATGCCATTTTATCCACAAAATCTATTACTTTTACAGTCATGTACAAGAAGCTGGTGGGGCTTAGGGATTAAAGTAAAGTTAATTTGGATCTTATGGAGACAAAAATCTATAATCTTTATCTAAAAGTGTTACACTTAAGAATGACAAAGTCCATTTGCATTTATTAAAATGAAGACAAATTTTTAAAATGCTGTTCAGTGAAAAGGCTGACCACTTCAAAGAACTTGGCATTTTACTCTAGGACCATTTCAAGCCTTATGGAACCAAAAGCGGTCAGTCCTCCTGGGTAGCATCACTGGAAGTATTCCACAGAGAGTGACATGTAAAGCTGTAATTTTATAGACCTACCTAGATAATAGTCAAATATCTAAAACATTTTATACTGTGATCATTTTCTCTGGGTGTTTAATCATTATTCTTAGGTCATACAGCAGGAATTGGTCTATCCTGCCTAAAGTTTTGGGACTCTAATTAAAATTTAAAAGCTAGCCTACACATACTGCGTCTAAGCTTCTACCAGGAAGGAACTGTGCAGAGTTCTGTATTTACTCCCCACAGGAGAGATCTGTTGCTTCCATTAGTCCATTCATGTTTTAATAGGTTTTGTTTACTCAAATAATTTTAACCAACCTTTCCTCTAGATTTCTTCAGGACATTTCTTCTAACCTTTTAATCTCTGACAATCACTTCTGACGACAAACAAGGTTAAAGAATTGTACTGTCAGTGTTGTAATTGAAAATGAGTATTCAATTTCAAATAAAATCCACACACACATTATCTTGACCAAAATAAAGTGTAATCATCAGGATCTACTACATCACTTTCCGCAGGTTCAACTGAAAAGTCAGGTTATGTTCACACATCTTCTCAGGAAAATTCCTTGGAACTCCGCGCTATTTACAGATCTTCACTGCAAAACGCTTCTTTCATGAATTGTCTCCCTAGCTATTTTTTTTTTCCCAATTCCATTAAGTGCTTTTTCTGCAAGAAATTACTAAAACTGTACATATCAGGATTTCTAAGTCTCTTATCATTTATATTCAGCTACTGCAAGATTAAGGCAGCTGCAAATGTCAGTTAAACCCTTCCATCTCGAGATGTGCAAGTAGCCAGATTTGAGGATTAGCAGCAAGTCTCACTACCTTGCCTAAAATTTTGTCCAAACCAGCTATCCCCACCAAGCCCCAATGATGATAACTTGTTTAAGTGTCAAACTCCATGTGAATATAAATCATAACCCGCGACTTAAGTTGCACTGCCTAGTTATCACTGTCTAGCATTATTATATAGAACTTACTCCCTTGCAAAAACCTGCAGGTTAAAAACAAATATCCCATGGTGATAATGTCACTTATAAATAGTTTAATGGGGGGGAAAAGCTGATATCTAATTTTCTGATTTGGGTTCTGTTCACTTTCTGACTTTATTTTATAAAGAGCATTTATTTGTAGAACTAAGAGTGTTCACTGGAAAATGATGACATGACCAATGTAGGGAACCCGAGGTGGAAAGGACAGGCACCTCTGACCTTCACATGCCAGCACTGCAAGTCCGTACAGACTTTGAAAACCAAGGGCAACAGTAATGACTAGTCTATGGCATCAGTTAAAGCGCCCACCTCCCTATTCAATCTCCACCCTCCCAGGTCCCCCAAGCGTGATTTTGCACAACAAGTTAAATAAAAGTAAACTGTTTTTATTAAAAGATACAGCAAAGGTACAGATACAGAGATACATACAAAGATACATATATATATATTTACATATATATACAGTCTTGCTGTTTTCATGTGCACTATATTTAGTAGCACAATCAGGCGGCATTTTAATGGGTTGTTTTGACACTTAGCATTCTCACTGCGTCATTTTGACAAGATACAACTATAGCCTCGTGGAGATTTCAAGGTATGAGTTCCACTTCTCCAGCTTTTAATAGTAGCAAACAGGGAAAGTAAGGGAGTGGAGTACCAAGGCTAAACATTAGGTTAAACACAAGAATTCAAAAGGAGCCAAGGCAGCACAGGGAAGGCAGGAATTTTTTAAATTAAAGGCTATGTGACAAACAACCCAGAGAAATACTAAGCAACCATCATTTAAAGGCAACGTGCTGTGCATCCAAGATGTTTACTTCAGCCTACAATGACCTTTACGAAATCCAGTTCTTGTGTTGAACCTAAAGATCTGCCTTTCATCCCTCAATCCCTCCACCCAGTCAATGTGCTACCACCAGAATCTAGAGCTATAAAGTCTTGAAGCAAAACGGGAAGCTAAATAGTTATACCTTGGGCTACCTTCCCACAAGTGCAAGGAGGGCCCAATGTTGGGTAGGGATGTGATAACACTTTTCTCTGCAATTCGATGCTTTTCACTTTGTGGCTTGTTTCCACAAAGTGAATTGCATCGAGTTACTGTCAAATGAGAAGCTGCGGGTTGTTTCATCTGTCGTTTAACCCGGCCCTGCCGTTTAACCCGGCCCTAAGAAGAGTGAAACAGAATCCAAATCAGATATAAAATAACAAGCAAATGGCAGATTCAGGTATAAAAAAAAGTAAAAATTAAAATAATAATATTCTCTACTTACCTCTGAGGGCAAATTGCTGCTGAAAACATTATCGTCATCTTTGTTTTCTTCCCCATTCTTCTCTACAGGAACCCACTCGCCATACACACTGTCAGCCTCCTTCTTTCGATGCTGAGATCCAGAGGACACAGGAAACTCCTTTGTTAATGTGACTTGGCTTTTTGGCGGAGTTGGCTTTGCTGCAGCAATCTAAACAACAAAGTGATCCTCAATCAATTCTCAATGCAATAACTACAGTAAATGGTTTCTCAAGTTTTGCAACATTATAAAAAAAATGTTTTGCTATTTCTCACATAAATAAGGAATAAATCTCCTGAGTTTTAAGTAGTTATACAAGTTGTGCTCTCATCAAGCCATAATCACTAATACTCACATTCAGATTGAAAAAAATGGGTTTGGGTTCACTGAGTTTAAAGGGGTGATGATAAAAAGGAGGTTCTTCTTCTTCTTCATCCGAAACGTGAGGTTTGTTCACTATCACATCATCATCTTCTTTACTTTGTGCAATTTGTTTGCATTTCTTTAAAAGTAAAAACAAACAAAAGATAAATCTTATATTTTATGTAGGGTAACATGTACTTCCTTCAAAACAAACAAACAAAAAAACCAATCAAAACCAACTTTCAGAAGTAAACAAGAAAAGTAACAGGCTACAGAATGGTAACCTAGCATATTAGCTATTTAAACACACTGGCTGGTCAGTCATGAACAACATTTATTGAGCACCTACTATGTGCAGAGCACTGTACTGGACACTGTTTGGGGAATACAAAAAAAAAAAAAGAAGACATGGTCCCTGCTCCAACAGGAGCTTACAATCTAGTACAAGAGACAGAATACATACACATGAAATAATTGAAACTTTTACAGAGCAACACAATAACAACTGCAAACTGATATAATACAAACCGAGTACATAAGTGCCAAAAGAACAGGGGGTTTAAGAGAACAGAGTCAGGCAGAGTGGAGAATCAAGGGTATCTGAAGATTTCTAAGCCAGTTTTCATAATGAAGAGTAAGAACTGGTGGGGAAAGGAAAAGATGTCACTCTAACTTGGTGGTTGCAAAAAGGCAAGACATTTGTTAGAACAAGAGGGCTAAAGATGAGGCTAAAAACATAGCAAAAAACTAAGTGGCCACAGAATTTGAGAAGCTTTTATTTGATAAGTAAGCAGTAGAAGCTTTTATTAGGCTCCCAACTTTTAAAAACATAGTAATTCATGTTACAATAAATCTAAGTGAGGAAACAAGTTAACAAGCTTTATGATCCCCAAATGTACGGCAAAACACAGCTTGGAGCATTTTTAATAAGGTTAATAGCAATGTTGTCTCTCCATGAATGCTTTGGAATAAAACTTAAAAAGAATGAAAAATAAGGCATGATGGAGAGGGTGCAGCTGATGAGGTCTGACACATAAAGCAGTCAATTCCTTCCTGAGGAGCAAAGGAACAGACCACATTACCTGGCTTTATAAAAAGGTCTGAGCAAAGTTGGGTAGACCTGTCTATACAAGCAGTAGAATTCATCACATCTATTATCAAGTGAAAATTTACAATAAAAAGCTTATTTAGCCAAAAACACAGAGTGTATCAAGCTTGTAATCAAGGGGAACAGAATATAGACAGTGGCAGGCTGGCATAAGGCTAGCCAATAACAAGTTTCAATATATGAAACAGTGTGGTATTTCTGGATCCTAGCAGCAATTATTTTAGCATCTCTCATAAAACAAAACAATGCTTTTAAAAAAAAAGCCTCATTTGAAAACATCAAAATTTTAAAAACAAAATTAAGTGTTTATAATATATGTTACTGCCAAAACCCGAACCGCAGGAAGAACTGATAATGGCCGGCCATTATCACCAATGGCTGGTACCAAACAGCCAAAACCCGAAATGTTGATGCGAAAGAAGTTCCTTTCAGGCAATGGCCAGCTATTCTCATTAATTTCCAAGCTCCGGTGGCAAAAGATCATTTCTGAAGATTGTCTGTGTCTTTGCGTATATGCAGTGCACTCGTGGCGATCAGTGAACACGTCGTGAATGGAAACTGTAGGCGAGCTTCTGCGTGTTGCTCACTCAACACCTCCTCCATTCAAACGAACCGTCCCACTCCTCAGTCAGTTTGGCTTCTAAAACTGGAAAGCAAAAGTAATGGGAAGTAACTTAGCTAGCGGAGCTTAGCCATCCCGGATAATGGCCTGCTAAACAGAGCTTCTGCCGCTGCCACAGCTGTATTTCGGGTTTTGGCCGCTCAGTGCCAGCCATTATCAGTTCAGCCCACAATTCGGGTTTTGGCACGCTCCAGAGTCAACATCCCTGGAATAATCCAGTAAGAATGATACAAATTCTGTCTAGCTTACCTCAGTTAGCTCTTCTATAGTAGCTCCTCCTGACTTTTTAGCAACTTTCTCTTCTATTGTAGGTGGAGGTGCAGGCTTTAGGTTGGGCGGTAAAGGAACACCAGCCTTAGCACACATGGCAGCTGCATTAGCTTTGGCTATTTCAAGTAACTGAGCTTTATCTGCAAGAGGAAAAACAGAAGCAGTTTTCCTAAACAGATATACATTTTATATTACCAAAAATGTGTTTATGCCAACAAAACTAAAAGCATCCATTTTCTTCAACAATTTTGAGTTGTGATGAAACTACTGTGGCTCCAAGCTTTTAGATGGTGGACCCTTACTTCAAAAATTAAGTAGACAATAATAAACTTGCTGTTCAAATACTAACAAACAGCTAATTCTAACAACTGTAATAAGCTACACACTTTAAGATACAGACCTGCGAAAGTCAACTATCTCTCAGATTATCACAATTTCAAATTACCCTTCTAACTTGATAACTCAGTCTTGAATACCAAATTCAAGAGCCATCTCCAGCAAGCTTTCAATAAATCAATTAACTTTCTTCTCTGGTGCTCCCAAGTGCCTCACTTACTTCAGTTTAATAATCAGATCTGCACTTGTATGTAGTTCTACCATTTCATACAAAGTGATGTACCAGGCACATCTCTTCCACTAACATTGTTACCACTTTGGACACTGCTCCTCTGACTGGAATAAGAAGGTACTCGGAAACTTCTTGTTGACCTGATTCTGCCTTACCATCTCTTTCTTCAGACAACCCTAACCTGAAAGTATTCAATCTACTTGGATCATTAATTACTCATACTTAGTGATGGCAATCATGCATGTACCAAGTTTTAACAATCTCTGCATACTACAAAAAATCTAAGAAAATGAAGCATCAATTTTTTAAAGCTGAACAAAAACATTTCATCTTCTATAGCCACCATCATCCTCTCAGTTTTAAATACCTTCCACTACTAACTATAGCAACCAGAATCACATTCATAAACCTATTTGTCAGGAAACCTATAATGAATATGTTAACTCATTAAAAAGAATCAGTACTTTAGGTTGCTTACAACGACCTACATTGGAATACTTCCAATCACAATCTGAATACCAACCCTGTTTTTAATATAAATCAACTTCACTGTTCGTTTTTTAAAACAGCTCAAGCTAAAGCTAAACATTCAGGAATCAAAGCAATTCACTTCTACCATGTTCCAAAGCAGATCTCTTAAACTCCAGTTACAATGCTGTTACACCTTAGTTTCTAAACAGATTAAAAGTAGCAATTAAAATTTAAGGTATTTACCCTAAACCAACTAACCCAAAAATTCCACTGAGTCAAGATCATAGAATCACTCACCCAAATCTGTCAGACGTTTGGGTGACCTGCCCCTTTCAGAAGACCGGGACCTTTTACGACGGATGGGAGATCTGCTAAACCTTCTTCTCAAAGGTGTTCTTGACCGCCTTAATCTGACCGGTGATATGCTGAAGCTTCGTCTTCGAACGACAGACCTAGATCTTCGCCGCCGGCTGGGGGTGCGGCTCCTGCGGCTGGGGGTGCGGCTCCTGCGGCTGGGGGTGCGGCTCCTGCGGCTGGGGGTGCGGCTCCTGCGGCTGGGGGTACGGCTCCTGCGGCTGGGGGTACGGCTCCTTCGGCTAGGGGTGCGGCTCCTACGGTTTGGGGAAGCACTGAAGCTCCTCCTCCTACCCACAGACCTAGATCTCCTCCTCCGGCTCGGAGTGTGACTTCGACTCCGACGACTCGGGGTGCGGCTTCGAGCTCTGACTGTTTTCCGGTTATCCCTGGAGCTTGATCTTTTTCTTTTTCTTTCCCTGGATTTTGATCTGTGCTTTGGAGATCTTTTCCGCTTCTCTTTTGATACAGATCGCCTTCCTCTAGATTTGGATCTGGACCTGCTGCTTCTCCTCCTCCGTCTAGAACGTGATCGTGACCGTGTCTGAGAGCGATGAGACTTGGACTTGGAGGATCTCTTCCTTGCCCGAGAACGAGATTCACTGGTACGCTTCCGAGATTTATGCTCTGAAGATTTGGAACGCTTACTCCGAGATCTTAATGAAGAGTCTCTTTTCTTCTCTTTCTCACCTTTGTCTCGGTTCTTATTTTTCTTGCTTTTCTCGTGTGTGTCCTTAACCTTAACAAAAATCTCATAGTCATCTTTCTCCTCTGAAGAGGACTCTGAAGCTCTCTCTGCTGTACTGATTCCAACGGGACTGACAGGTTTGTCGCGTTCAGCTTCACTTGCAAGTAAAGGTCCTTCAATACCAGCTCTAAGGCTGGCAAGCCGCTCCATGTCCTTGGGAAGTAAAGGTCTGACTAGATCTGCTTCATTAATATCTTCAATTGTTGCAGGAAATGCTGCATCAGCTGTGTCTTTGGTAGGGAGAGGAATCTCTTTCTCTTCTCCACTACTTTGTTTAGGACTGCCAGCAACAGCTAACATCTGCTCACTCTCTTTCCCAGGTTGTTGCTCTTCCCTGTCTGTTACAATATTACTAGATGATAAATCAAGATGAATGTCTTTAGCAGGCAAAGGGCCTTCTATGTCAGCTTCACTACCCCCACTGGGGCTAGTGGAAATTACCATGTCATGTTCAGTGTCTTGAACAGCTAAAGGTGCATCAACATCATACTTACTAAGTGAACTAACAGCACATGGTGTCACATAGTCAACACCCTTACTAGTTCCAACAGCATCAGGTTCCATAGCAAAAGGACCAGTATTAGACAGAGTTCTTCCTACATCAACTTCAGTAACTCCAGCACCCAATACTGCACATTGTTCAGTCTCACTGATGGGCAAGATTTTCTCTTCGCTAGCACGAACAGTGTCAACAGCAGACACTGTACCATGCTCCATCTCTTTCACAATTAAATGACTATTTGTAGTAAGGTCTGAATTCACACCACATTCATTTTCATAAGAGTCATTTTTCAGGTGTCCTTCGACATGCGGCTGTTCACTTGAATGCAAAGTCATCATCTTCTGCATGCCAATCTCTGGAGCAAGACTCTGATCACCAGAAAGTAAATGCATTCCTTTGACAAGTGGTGAAGACATACCACTAGACTCCAATATTACTGGTGTAGATTCCAAAACCATCTCAGTTGATATAATTTGTGTCTGCTCTGAAATAGTGACAGAAGATTCTGAAATTGTCACAGTAGTTTCCTGAACAGAAACAGATGGCTGTGAAACAATCATAGCAGATTGAAGGACTGACACTGCTGGCTCCATCACAGGAACAGTAGGACCCAGGACAGAAGCTGACACTGGAATGGTAACATGCTCCGGTTCAGTCACAGCTGGAGGCGCTATGACAGTCACAGCCATTGATTCTGATTCAGCTCCAGGAGGTGGTTCCAAGACAGATTTAGCTGGCAACTCTGGGACAGCCACAACTGTGGCAGGAGGCTCCTGGACAGCCATAGGAGCAGCCTCTGAGACAGCCAAGCTTGGCGGCTCCATAATGTTCTCTGGCTCTGGAGCCGTCACTGCTGGCACCAACAGTGGCACAGAAGACTCCGAGGCAACATGCTCCAAAGCTCTCATGGAATCTGAGTGTTCTACTGCCTCTGAAATAACAGGAGGCTCTGATATTGCCTGTTCCACTGACATCATAACAGTTTCAGTCACTGGTCTTTCTGGAACAACTTCATGCTCTGCAACGACAGCAGGCTCAACGGGTGTTGACACAATGGAGGACTCTGGCTCTAGTGGTGGTTCTGGAACAGTCATAACAGCCTCTGATGTCAACACTGAGGACTCCGACACTGACACTGAATAGTGAGCAGACACTGCTGAAGACTCAGCAACCTCACTCTGACTCACAGGCGGCTCGGGCTGTGACACAGCCTCTTCGGGAGGCAATGCTGGAACTTCCGTAGGCCAAGTACTTTCAGCTGCTAAAGCCGAGTCCTCAGCAGGCAATGCTGTACCCTCTGGTGGTTCCTCAGGAGGCAGTGGTGGTGTCATTGGTGGCTCTTCTGGTGGCAATGGTGGCATTGTTGGGGGCTCTTCAGGAGGCAAAGGTGGCACCATATATGCCTCTGTGTATGTATCAGTGTAAGAATCAGCATAAGAATCAGCTGCCATAGACATCATTGAGCGATCAGTGTAAGATGACATCATAGATCGGTCAGCTGCAGAGTACGATGACATCATAGACCGGTCAGCAGCAGAGTATGACGACATCATAGACCGGTCTGCACTCATGGACATCATGGATCGATCAGCCATCGGAGACATCATGGAGCGCTCATAGGCTGACATCATGGAGCGCTCATAAGCTGACATCATGGAGCGTTCAGCCATCGGAGACATCATGGAGCGTTCATAAGCTGACATCATGGAGCGCTCATAGGCTGACATCATGGAGCGTTCAGCCATAGGAGACATCATAGAGCGCTCGTAAGACATCATAGAGCGTTCATAAGAAGACATCATGGAACGTTCTGCAGCATAGGACATCATCATAGACCGTCTAGATGCTAACATGAGGGGTCTAGGTGCTAACCTGTATGGTCTGGGTGCTATTCTGTAGGATCTGGGAGCAATTCGATAGGGTCTAGGTGACATCCTATAGGGATCAGGAGTTAGTCTATATGGGTCATGCCCTAATCTGTAGGGATCCTGTCCTAACCTGTAAGCTTCATGACCTAACCTGTAAGCATCATGACCCAACCTATAAGGATCCTGAGCTAATCTGTAAGGATCCTGTGCCAACCTATATGGATCAGGAGATTTTGAATCCAACATAGCAGAGTCTTGGGTACTAGATGCTAACATCTGGGCATCCATGGTGCCTGAAGCTAACATCTGGGCATCCATGGTGCCTGAAGCTAACATCTGAGAATCCATAGTGCCTGATGCTAACATCTGGGAATCCATAGAGCTGGTTGCTAACATCTGGGAGTCCATGGTGCTGGTTGCTAACATCTGGGAGTCCATGGTGCTGGTTGCTAACATCTGGGAGTCCATGGAACTGGTTGCTAACATCTGGGAGTCCATGGAGCTGCTTGCTAACATCTGGGAGTCCATGGAGCTGGTTGCTAACATCTGGGAGTCCATGGAGCTAGTAGCCAACATCTGGGAGTCCATAGTGCTAGTGGCTAGCATCTGGGAGTCCATGGAGCTAGTGGCTAACATCTGGGAGTCCATAGTGCTGGAGGCTAGCATCTGGGAGTCCATGGTGCTAGAGGCTAGCATCTGGGAGTCCATGGTGTTGGATGCTAGCATCTGGGAGTCCATGGTATTGGACGCTAACATTTGGGATTCCATGGTGTTGGATGCTAACATATGGGTCTCCATGGTGTTAGAAGCTAACATATGGGAATCTTGGGCCATCAAGGGATCCACGCCTACTGTTACAGAAGTCTCCCCCACTAATGTAGTAGGCAGCTCCTGTGCTACCGTATTATAGGATTCCAGCGCTGTCGTCGAGGGAACCTCCAGGGACTGCGACACGGTCATCGTTGACAGCTCCGACGTTGTCACCACGGACTGAACAGAGATCTCCAGCGCCACAGTTGCCACAGGCTGCCCAGGCAACTCTGGTGCCCCAGGCTGCCCAGGCAACTCCAGCACCCCTGTTGCCAGAGGCTGCCCCAAAAGCTCCAGTGCTCCAGCTGCCCCAGGCTGCCCCGTGTACTCCAGTGCCCCAGTTGCCATGAGCTGCCCAGGCAACTCCAGTGCCCCAGTTGCCACAGGCTGCCCCGACAACTCCAGTGCCCTAGTTGCCGAAGGCAGCCCTGGCAACTCTGGCACCCCAGTCACTGAGGCCTGCCCAGACAACTCAAGAGCTGTTGTTGCCACTGGTTGTCCTGGCAACTCCAGCACCATTGCTGCCTCAGGCTGCCCCAGCAACCCTGCTGCAGTTGTCACCTCAGGATGCCCAGGATGTTCCACCGCTGTCATCCCCACAGGATGCTCCAACTCTGTCGTCGTCACAGGTTGTTCGGTCAGCTCCATTGCTACTGTTACTGCAGACTGCCCTGGCAATTCTACTGCTGATGACACTGCAGGCTGCCCTGGCAACTCCTGTGCCACCACAGGTGGCTCTGGTACCTCCTGTGGCGGCTCCAAGCCCACAGATGGTGCTCGAAGCCCTGGCAATTCCTGCGACAACTGTGGCAATGTTGTCACAGAGGGCCCCGGCAACTCAGGCACTGATGTCACAGGGGGCCCTGACAACTCAGGCACTGGGGTAGAGAGGGGCCCTGGTAACTCTGGTACCGGGGTAGCAGAGGGCCCAGGTAACTCCAGCGCTGGAGTCACAGGGGGCCCCTGCAACTCCGGCATGGAGGTCGCAGGTGGCCCCGGCAACTCCAGCGCTGAGGCCACCGACGACTCCGGCAGATCCAGCGTTGTGGTCTTCGGCAGCTCCAGCAACACCTGCGGTCTTGTTGCGGACGAATCTGTGCTCTCTGGTGGTATTTCTGCAGGCTGCTCTGGCAATCTAAGCCTTTCAGTTGCAGATGACTCAGGAAAATCCATTGCTGTTGATGTGCTTGGCTCAGGGTGCACCACAGTAGGTGCCTCGGATACTGTCACAGGGGTCTCTGGTGGCTCTAGCACTTTTGCTACTAGAGGTTTTGCCAACACGATCTTGGATGACTCAAAAGTTGCACTCTCCAACGATTTCAGCAGACACTGCTTCTGATACTCCAATGACATTGCTGCGTCTGGCTCAGATGACTTCAGTGCTACTGTGCTAGTAGGCGGCAGTGCTGTTGCACAGGAATCCAGACTCTTGGACGCGGATGGTTCCAGCATGACTGCCACAGGCTGCTCTGACTGCTCTGAGACTACTGATGTTGATGCAACGGACAGTTCTGCAGTTTTTGTAGCTGGCTTTAAAGTTTCTAAGATGTGTGGCTCTGAAACCTCCATCGCTACTAGAGGAGGTTCTAGCAAAACTGCTGGCGGTTCACTGCCCTCAGAGCGGCCAAATACGCTCACTGGCTCCAGTGCCACTGCTGAAGGTTCAGCATCAAACTTTAAAAAGGAATCGGACTCTAAATCTACATTCCCATCATTATGAGATTTCAGCTTTGACTGAGATTGTTCTGGCTGCCTTTTGTATTTTTTTTCCTTTTCTTTCTTCTTTTTCTTCTTTTTGTTTTTGTGCTTTTTATGCTTCTTTGATTTTTTGGCAGGAACTTCTTCAGTAGGATCTGTTTGTACAGACACACATCTACTTTTTCTTGAGGTCTCTTTCATTTCTAAAATAGAAATTAACTTTGTCAGGTGGTTCCCAAAGTAAATTTCGGTAACTCACCTAAACCCGTATTTTCACTCCACATTTTAAAGTACCAAACATAGCATAATACCTCGTGCTAAATTGAAACTCACTAAATAAACAACATGAAGACTGTCACTTCAATTTGTGTTTCTACAGCTAGAGTCTTAACCTGAAAATAATTATTGGATTATAATACAACCATAGACATATTTGCTTTCTAAACTGGTACATTTCCAGCTCGCAAAATACACAGCAAATTACATTTAAGCTACTTCTATCATGCACATTTCACATTATGTTAATTCCTGATTTTAAAAGGCAGAATAAGAGAGCAGGAGGAAGAAACAGAGGAGGGGATGATCAATTTTTGGCTCCCTGTTTCACTTCCCAAATGATCACAGCAGCCACATCCCGGCTCAGGCAAAGCCAGGAGCTAGGAACTCCATCCTGGTCTCCATATATAGACAAGTATTTGAGTAATTAAACCATTTGCTTCTGCCTTCCCAGGTACTTCAATGAAATCTGGATCAGAAGAGCATGGCCAGGCCTCAAACTATCAAGGGATGCCCAGGTTCTAAGAGGCAAGTTAACAGATGCTTGCCACACCATCAGTCTCAAATTTTATATCATCTGCTAAATCTAACTGATCCAAGCGATATCTTGGCACTCACTCTACAACAGAATGTCTACTTTTAAACCTAAATCAATCACTGGTGAAAGACCTTGGTCAAGTTACTGACAGTGTACCTTCTTAAGAGGCAGATAATAAAAGAACTGTAAACTCACGCAAAGTGCGGACAATGCACTGTGGCAAAGCAGGCTAGGACAGAACCTACAAGGCAGGGGATCCCTTTCAGGAACTGAGTTTGCATTCTGGCTACTCCACTTCTGATTCAACTACATTTTAATGCACCTGAGAAAGCAGCAGAGGGCTACCCTGAACAAAGACCTGGAAGAATCTCCTGATTTCTGTCATCAGCCTGGCCACTGCAGCCATTTGGGAAGTGAAACAGGAAACAGAAGATCTCTGACTCTGCATTTTAAATAAATCACACAAGGCCATGCAAAGCACATAAAAAATGACAGTAAACTCTCAGCAACATGCAAACATCTCATCACAAAATAGAAAGCCTTAAGCAAAACTTGAATTTTAGCTGATCATGCCTACAATATATCCCTTTCATTAAAGTAGCCAAAATAAACCTTAGGTAACCCAGATGAAGCTGGTAAGAAATTCCAGCCATTCACTAAAAATGCATGGCACATGGCAGATTTTTTGGTTGTTGTTTTGTTTTTTAAGATTTATTAATTTATCTGAAACACAGTTAACACAAAGAAAAGCAGGTTATCTTCCATCCATCTCCTGATTTATTCTCCACATGCCCACAACAACTGGGACAAGGCCAGGCCAAAGCCAGCAGCCTGGAACTCCATCAGAAACATGGGTGACAATGGCCCAAACACTCCGGTTATGCTCCTCTGCTTTCGAAGACACTCTAGCACGAAGCTGGATCACAAGCGGAGCAGCTGGTACCTGAACCAGCACACATACGGGATGGTGACAATGCAGATTTTGGCTTACATTGCTGTGCCATAACACCAAGCCCCTAGTAAAACGTCGTATGTTCTAACAATTTTCTTTTAAGATTTATTGTATTTTTGTTGCAAAGTTAGATATAGAGAAGATTTTCCATTCATTGATTCACTCCTCAAGCAGCCACAACAGCTGGAGCTGAGCTGATCCAAATCCAGGAGCCAGGAGATTCTTCCAGGACTCGCAGGTGCAGGCTCCCTAGGCTTTGGGCTGTCCTTGACTGCATTCCCAGTCCTAAAGCAGGGAGGTGAATGGGAAGCAGAGCAGCTGGGACACACCCATATGGTATCCTGCCCATGAGGACTTAAGCCACTAGCCTATGGCACTGGACCATTAACATTTTCTATTGTTTATTTCATGTATCAAAGCCCAGGCCACTAATTCAATCAAACATACCTAGAGCCTTGGATCTACAGAAGGCTTAAAATTCTAAGGCCCGGCATGGTGGCCTAGCAGCTAAAGTCCTCGCCTTGAATGCACCAGGATCCCATGGGTGCCGGTTCTAATCCTAGCTGCCCCACTTCCCATCCAGCTCCCTGCTTGTGGCCTGGGAAAGCAGCAGAGGACGGCCCAAAGCTTTGGAATGCTGCACCCACATGGCAGACCAGGAAGAAGCTCCTGGCTTCGGATCAGTGCAACTCTAGCCATTGCAGCCGCTTGGAGAGTGAACCAATGGATGGAAGATCTTCCTCTCTGTCTCTCTTCCTCTCCGTGTTTCCAATAAAAATAAACTCATCTTTTCAAAAAGTCTTCTAAACATTTAGTCATAGAAATGCTAATTATCCAAATCAGTTTGCCTTCATTATGCTTAACTCTAGTGGACAGGAAATGAATAAAAACTCGAATTCGGATTTTATTATTATTTAAGGATTTATATATTTTTACTGGAAGGAAAGATTTATAGAGGGAGATACAAAGACAAAGATCTTCCTTCTGCTATTTCACTCCCCAAGTGGCAGCTGGTCTCAAGCCAGGAGCCACATGCTTCTTCCGAGTCTTCCATGCAGGAGGACGATCCCAGGTCCCAGACCACAAGCAGCGAGCTGGAAAAGAATGTGAACAGCCAGGACACAAACTGGAGCCCACATGGGATTCCAGGTGTGCAAGGTGAGGATTCTGCAACGAAGTTGATAAGCAGGGGTCCTAACATGCATTTAAAAATAAAACTTCCTATGTGGTATTTTTGTAAATGTGAAGATTTTTTTTTTAAAGACTCATTTATTTATTGGAAAGTCAGATATATACAGAGAGGAGGAGAGACAGAGAGGAAGATCTTCTGTCCGATGATTCACTCCCCAAGTGAGCGCAACGGCCAGTGCTGTACCAATCGGAAGCCAAGAGCCAGGAGCTCTTCTATGCCTCCCACAAGGGTGCAGGTCCCAAAGCTTTGGGCTGTCCTCCACTGCTTTCCCAGGCCACAAGCAGGGAGCTGGATGAGATGTGGAGCTGCCGGAATCAGAACCAGCACTCATATGGAATCCCAGCACATGCAAGGCAAGTACTTTAGCCACTAGGCCACCACGCCGTGCCCACTACATGGTGTTTTTAAAAATTATTACAGGGGTGGACCCTTGGCTCGGCAGGTTCAATACACACCTCCAGACTACAGCTGCAGACCATAAGAGGCAGCAGGAATAGCTCCAGGAACTGGATTCCTGCCAACCCAGCTGGAAGACACAGACTGAGTTCTAGCTCAGTCAGGACCACCAAGGTCCTGAATCAGCAGACAGCTCTCTCTCAAAACATAAAAGCACTACAGATTAGATCCTGGCTACTGAGCTCTCAAAACCAACATGTAGGAGCCAGCACTGTATGGTGGTAGGGTAAGTTGTGTCCTATACACCCTGTATATTTTACAAGCTTGAGTCCTGGAATTTCCACTTCTAATCTAGCTCCATACTGATGCACCTGGGACACCAGCAGAAGGTGGCTCTAGTGCTTGGGCCCCCGGCACCCAGGTGAACTTCCTAGCTCCTGGTTTGAAGCTAGCCCAGCCTTGGCCACTGAGAACATTTGGGCAGTGAACCAGCCAATTAGGGCTCAGTGGCTCTCAGTTCACTCTGCCTTTCAAAGAAAGAAATTTTGCAAAATTCACTTAACAATCAGTAAAACAAATCGCACTCAAAATACTGGTCCCGATAAGAAGAAAACTACTACTACTAGCAAATGAACCAAACTTGCCAAAGCTCATGTTTCAGTACAATTATACTTTCAAAGGAGGACTTATCCAAGAAAGTCTTGAGTAATCAAAGAAAAGTCTAGGGGCCAGTGCTGTGTTAAGCCACCACTTGCAAAGCCCATATCCCTGACCAGAAAGCCCAGTTTGAGTCCTGACTATTTAATTTTTGATCCAATTCCCTGACAATGCACCAGAGACTGTAAAGATGCTCACCAAATACTTAGATCCCTGTCACTCTCCTAATAGGAAATCCAGTTTTCCATATTCCTAGCTCCCATCCAATGCTGTCCTCTGTGGAATAAACTAGCAGATGAAAGCTGTCTGCAAAATGTCTTTTAAAAAGGACAGCACTAGGGCCCAGCACAGTGACTACACTCGCGTTGAATGAGCCAGGATCCCGTGTGGGTGCCAGTTCCTGTTCTGGCTGCTCCATTTCCCATTCAACTCCCTGCTTATGGCCTGAGAAAGCAGTAGAGAACCCAAAGCCTGAACCCATGGGGGAAACCCAGAAAAAGCTGCTGCTCCTGGTTTCAGATCAGCTCAGCTGTGGCGGTGGCAGCCACTTAAGGAGTGAACCATCAGATGGAAGGTCTTTCTCACTGTATCTCCTTTTCTCTGTAATTTACCTTTCAAAGAAAAATAAATACATCTTAAAGAAAAAAGGGGGGAACTATTCCACCTTAAATTTATGAACGTTTTAGATTTAAGCTACATTTAAATAACTTTCACTAAACAAAAATATCTCTGGGGCTTCTGTTTACTGAGCAATGGGTTAAGCCAATACCCAGGACCCTAGGTTCCCATTAGAGGCCTGCTGGGATACAGCTCGCTCCTAAGGCCTCTGGGAACACAGCATGGGATGGCTTGGGTACTTGGGTTCCTGCACTCTAGTAGTTGACCAAGAAGCAGCTCCTGGCTTCACCTTGGCTCATCGCTGGTAGTTGCACCCATTTCAGTGAACTAACAGATGGAAGCCATTTTTAGCTCCTTAATATGAATATATTCATTTTTTAATTGGAAATATAGAGTACAGAAGGACAGAGAAATCAATCTTTCTTCCATTTGCTGGTTCACTCCTCAACTTGGCTGTCACCTCCTACTGAGCCTTCAGCCATGTGGATACTGGTTCATTTCTTTACTGCTGCACCACAAACCTGCTCCATTTTAATGGCCCAAGCATGAGACCCAGATGAAGCCCCTATCCACTAGGTTCAGCCTTACACAACCCTGGTAGCTGCAGCCATCTGGGAAATCAACCCAAGGACAGAGATTCATCTGTCTTCCCCAACTCTTAAAAAAAAAAATAAGATAATAATAAACTTTAAAACATTTTTCCAGACAGCTGATTATCTCCAACTTACCTGGCTTACTTCGTAGTTCGGTATCTAGGACCCCAGAAAGCACTTCTTCTATCTTCTGTACTATTTCTTCATTTGGGAGATTCCTGGCAGAGGCAGCTGCTGCATCACCTGCCGGGTTTCCTTCAACAGGTGGATTTGTTTCACCATTCAGCTGGCCTTCATTCTTTCCACTTAATAAGAAAAGGCATCAGATTAATCTTTTATCACACCATACAAAAAAGTACTACCTAATTAATATCATCTTACATTATACTGTCCCTTGGATGCATGTTTCCCATTTCAGACCTTACGATGTGACTTCCTTCACAATCTTCCAATTAGGACATATCCATTTTTAAGTAAAGCGTTTAATAGTCAAGGTTAGGAGAAATTCTTCAAAACAGGTTTTCAAGCATTCTTTTCTTTTTATTTATTTATTTATTTAACATAAAAATGCTCCAGAAAGCTGACTTAAAGCTTTTCAGTTACCTTTACAGCTTTCTCATGGGTTCAACCACAAATCCAAAGACACATATGATGTAATAATGGTAGACACTACAGCCACAATAAAATCACACCTGTGCACACGTGACATCAGCAGCAGCAGTATTAAAGACCAAAAGCACTGGCTACCAATATTGAGTAAAAAGGACAAACTGTGGTCGCTGGTCAGTTTGCTACTGAAATGGCATAAGATTTAAAGGAAAAATAATTTACATGATTTTTACCTGCTTACCTAAAATATGATAAAAACAATGTTGTTCAAAAAAATTTACATAATCAAGTGACAACTCAACAGTAAATGGATAGACAGCTTAGCATATTTTCAATTCACAAACTCAGAAAATTCTTAATATAAATTGTCATTCACCTCCTCATTCTATTTTTATGTGAATCTGTAAATTTTGAAAAACACTAATTCTAAATATAGTTCAATTTCATTTGTTTCAATTTTGAGTTTGCTGAAAACACATAAAAGGATTACACTCCAGTATCTAATAAAACACTGAAGGATCAAAAAAATCCAGTAAATTGTCATTAGAAAATATTTAGCTGGTTTCCTAATATAATAGTAATTACAGTGTTCCAATGGTCTCCAATATTTAGCTTGGTTGATTCCAACACAAATCTAAGATCACTATTAGTTATTCTGATTTAGACATTAGAAAATTAAGCACAAACTTAGCTGGAGATCAAAACTTGTTAGAGGTAAGCCCCGCTTCCAACCTGTCTGTATACAGACAACTGGCTCAATGTCAATGTCAGCACCTGCACTGGTGAGTGAAAAAGCACAAGAGGGGAAAAAAAAAAAAAAACCCTCACTGAAATGGAAAAAACTGATAACGAGCTATAGATAAGGAAAAAAACTCTACTTTTCTATAAATGAAATCTGAAATTTTTAATTTTCTTTCTAGAGCAAACATTTCTGCACTTTACATATACACTACATGGTTACATCCATTAGTTATTACAAATTTGATCTCAGAAAATTACTATTTTAAGCCAGTTCCTTGGGTGATTATGATGTTATATTAAGATTACCAGGATGCTGATCATAATTACTGCAAAGTAATTTTCAAACCTAAACATGCAACAGCATACAGGAGAAGCCAGTGCAGTCATGAGGATGTTCCAAAGAAACCGCGATGAGCAGTTATTCACATATTAGGTGGAAATCAAATAATCTCATCTCAAAAACCGTGTCATCTCCATGCACAATAAAACAATGAATGAAAAACTGAGAGGGCTTCAGAACACTAACTGCTTTTCTATTTCATAACCACAAAAAACTCGTATCCGTTGTTTTTTTTCTAAAGAGCCAAGGCTTATTAAAATAAGCATACACAAGTCCTCATCGCATGTGACATGAAAGCACCTAGGAATGGCAAATTCTCTTCGCTTGGGTCATTTCTGGTCCTAAATCCTAAAAAGCACCACAATGAGATGACACATTTCCCAGTTAAGCCAGCCATTACGAAGAAACAATCCTAGCAATAACACAGCTCTGTCCCAACCATCCTGCGTCAGGACCCTTAATTTCCAGCTGCCCTATATCGGGGGAGGCTCCAAATCACAAACTTATTACTCTCAACTTTCCAGATAGCAATTCGCGAAAACAACTGGACGTGGAGAGAGATTTACGTTTCCCTTCTTCCCGTCTCCGGGATTTCGAGAAGTGGATCTTGTCTAGAAAGCAAAAGGCCTAACTGCAGCAGCACGAATCAACAACGCGACCCACACAACTCTGTGTAAGCACTTGTTTCTTTGGAGATCGTTCCTCCCGAAGGTTCCGGGAAACCAAACGTAAAATCCTAACAACAACCGCAAAGACGGCGTGTGGGTCGAGGATGTCAACGGACGCAGCGTGGAGGGAGCGACTCACAAAGTCCACTTTCGCTCGTATCCCAAAGTTCCTTTCCAACCTCCCCCCCCCAACTCGAATATTTTATCATCCCAATGACTAATATTAACTTGAATGGTTTTAAATTCGAAACTCTGACCTATCAGAACGCTGCGTGGTGGCCAACGCCGGGCCGCTAGGACCGAATCGTCTAATTGAGGAATCCCGACCTCGAAACGGTCCCAAAGCTCGCCATTTCCAGCACCGGACTGAAGATGACCAGAAACGGCCGTTGGGGGCCCCGGGCGGCCCGCCGGCCCCGGGCGGCCAGCTCGGCGAGGCCGGGAGGGGGAGGGGAGCGGCGGCGGCGGAGGTGGAGCCGAGCGAGGGCCTAGGCCCGGGCCTCCGAGCGGCCCGGCAGGGCCCGGGGCGGACATCCCGGCGCAGGCGGCCAGCGGGGCGTGCGGGGTGACCCCCCGAAGCGGGCGAGTCCTCGGGGAGGGCAGGGAGGGGGCGGATGGGGGGCCGAGGGGAGGGCCCGGAAAATGGATCCCGGGCCCAGGCGGGGCCGCAGCGGAGCCTGAGCCGGGGAACGACGGCGTCTCTGGAGAAGGGTGCCTCGGAAGCCTAAGCGAGGGCTCTCGCGTCCCTTCGGAAGCAGAAAAGTCTGGGAAGGGCTTACCTAGAAAGCTCCTGTTGGATTTCCCGGAATTTACTGACCACGAAAGATCTAAAAATCTGCTCGATGTCGGCCGCCATGGCGTCCGCTCCGTTCTCTCAACTCCTCCTCGCTAGTCCTCCAGGCTCCCAGCATGCCTCGGGAAGAGGCGCAGCCGGCCAATTCCTGCTCTCGCTCTCCTGATTGGCTCCTCGGGAGCATCCAGGCCGGCTCGCTCCGCCCATCAGCCAATCAGAGCGCCCGGCCCCGCTCTCCCCCGGCTGTTTCTGAGCGGCTCGGGTAGAGGTGCTGACGTTTGCGCCGCGCACGGCTGTGGCCGCCATGTTAGTGTCTGACGCAGGCGCCATTACAGGAGAAGCAGCTCCATGGTGGCCCTGTTGGCCTAAGTTGTCACCTGTCTACGGTGTTTGGGGCATGTTGACAGTCTCACTCTAGCGGGGAAAGCTAGCAAAAAGGATAATAGGGCGTTAGACATGGGAGCTCCGTGTGAGGGGCACGCCGAGTCGGCGACATGCCTCCGGGAGCCAGCTAGCCCGCCTCCGTTCCCACTTGTGTGAATAAGCATTCATTTCTGTGTGATCTCTCCCAATGCCCTCCACTTCAGTCGCCTTGATTTGGTTAGCAGTAGGGCAGGGCTCCTGAAGAGACCCGCCTTGGAGACCCGACGCTTTGGGGGTTCGTCAGGCGTTCCGCGTGTCACAGTTACCCGGTCGGTTCTGACCGGCGTGAACAGCACACAACTAGCTCGAGCCGGGGTAGGGGGCATGGCGTGGGCCCCTCGCACGCCTCAGAGTAAAGGAGGAGGGGAGCTGTTACGTGGCACCCCACAATACAGTGTTTGAAAAAATAAAAAAACAAGAAAATCAAACACGCCCGGCTCTGCCGGAGAGCCGAGGCGACCGCGCCCGAGGGCGGGAGGGGAGCTCGCCGCGCTCCCTGGCCGCGGGGCCTTCGGACCGCGCCGGCCAATGGGGCGGGGACCCTCGGCGGGGCGGGCCCGCCCGAGCGCGCCGGATCCCGGCCCGGCCGACTTCCGCCGAGCGGACCCGAGCGGGTGGCGTGCTCGCTTGCAGTCGCTTCTTACACCCCGTGGCTTGTAAGTGGCGTGGGTTTATACTTGGAGGCAAGGGCTTTCGTACAGGAGGAACAGAAAGAAACCCAAGAAAGTGGCTGGGCTGCAGAAAGCTTCGCCTGCTCCTCATTGCGGTAGATGGGAGAGGGTGGCCATGTGCTTTTCTATTTTAACTTTTACTCTTTTGCATTTGCGAGCTTTCTGCCTTTCCCTGTTTTGTTTGATGGCTAGGCCTTTTTTGAGTTTTCATGATTTTTTTCCTGGCTGTAACCTTCCTTTGGTGTACTTGACTTATGCTTTTGTTCATGTATCCCGTTGTCTGGTGTTCTACTTTTGTGATTGGGTTCTGCTGTCTGCTTTATTCAGCAGGTCTTTTGAAATGATGTTACCTTGCTCCTTTATGCTCTTTTCTACTGTAGTTACAGCAAGTTGTGGACTGTGGGTCTCAACCCTAGCAAAGCCCTCTAAGCTAATCTTAATATTTGGATTCTTTCCACGTGGGTGATAAGGCATTCCATGATCCTCTGCAGTACCCAGGAAAGACTAAGTGCCCATCTCTTGTATGTTAAATGAAGCTCTGTCTTCAACGATTTCACTTTTGCACAGGTTGAAAGTCTATTATGTACAAGTGCACAAAATTGAAAATGCACATTTTAAAATTACTTTGATTCATTTTTTTCTTACTAAGACTCAATGTTTGAACCTTGTTAAAGGAGCTGTAAATGTCCAGCTTCCATTTCTAGTGGCACAATATTGGGTAAATTATAAAAAGATTTGTTCAACTTACACCTGAAGAGGTACGAGGCCCAGGACCTGTAACTGGTGGAGGCCGTCTTGCTGAGAGACTCCCAATGTGGCAGGAACCATGGTGTGAAGTAGTGTGTCTGAGTAGTCCTTTCCTGAAGGGCTTTGAAGAAAGCAGTCGCAGAGGCTCCACCCCAGTGCCTTTATCCCTTCATCCTAATCACATGGATCCACCTCTGTAAGGTTCAGTCTCCATCTTCATGCTGCACTGTGGGGATTAAATGGCAACGCTTGAAGCTCAGACCAGGACAGGAATTAAATCACTGTTACCTTCATAACCTACCTCTAGGCCTGCCTGCCTAATTCTTAAAATGCCTCCCTTTCCATTAGTACGATAATCATATCTGCTGGATTATGAAGTCTAGTTTCTGAAGTGACTGGATGAAAAGTGTCACTTGTGCCAAGTACAGTGGATGAAGTCGTGCTTGAGGATTATTCCTGGACTGTGTACGTGCTGTCTTCCTGACTGTGGTTTGTTCTGCGTGCAGGTTTCGTTGTCCGTTGGCACTCACACAGCAATGACAGCCCGAGTTCTGGTCATCGGCAACGGAGGCAGGGAGCACGCGCTGGCCTGGAAGCTCTCACAGTCCCATCATGTCCAGCAGGTGTTGGTTGCCCCAGGAAATGCAGGGACTGCCTGCTCTGGGAAGATTTCCAACACTGGTAAACAAGTTTTGTTTTGCTTTTGTGATTAGTTTATTTTACTTAAAGATCAGAGTTCCTAGGAGCAAAAAGACAGAGAAAAAAGCTTCCAACTATTGGTTCACTAAAATGGCCGCCATGGCTAAAGCTGAGTGGATCTAAAGCTGGGAGCCAGGAGCTTCTGGGTCTCCAACACAGGTACAAGTCTTCCATCTGATGGTTTGTTCCCTAAGTGAACTGAAGCTGAGAGCCTGAAATTCAGTCCAGATCTCCCACGTGGGTAACAGGAACTTAATCACTTGGGCCATCACTGGCTGGTTCCCAGGATAGACGTTAACGGGGAGCTGGAGTCAGGAGCTAGAGTTAAGTGTTAAATGCAGGGGCCTTGATATGGGGTGCAGGTATCTTGAGATCTTGACCATTATTAGGCAGAACATCTGCTCCAATAATCATCTTTTAAAGTGGAACAGAACAGGGACTGTCATTGTTACAAAGCAGGTCGAGCTACCACCTGTGGCATTGGCATTCTGTGTGGGCACCAATTCCAGTGCCAGCAGCTCCCTGCTAACTTGCCAGGGAGTACGGCAGGGGATACCCAAGTGGTTTGACCCCTGCACCCACCTAGAAGACCCAGAGAAGTGGAATGTAATTTCCACTGCTGATGATAACTGCCCAATGTACCTGGTTCTCGTTGTATTTCCTTTCCATAATTTTACAGGAATTCTTATGCATGCTAATCTGAATACTGGATACATACCATATGTTGTGTTTGCTATCTTGCTATTCAGAATATGCTGTTTTCCTTCAATTTTTTTAAACGGCCATCAATAAGTTACGAATGGGGCCAGCATTGTGGTACAATAAGTTAGGCTGCCACCTAGTACCCCAGGGCATCCTGGCTACTCTGTCTCAGGCCCAGCTCTGTATTGTGCCTAGGAAACAACAGAAGATGGCCCAGGAATTTGGGTCCTTGACACCCACGGGGAGACATGGATATAGTTCTAGGCTGCTGGCTTCTACCTGGTCTACTCTTGACTGTTGGGACTATTTTAGGAGTGAACCAGCAGGTAGACGCTCTCTCCCTCTTTATCTGCTCTTTATAGTCAGTAAGCCTTTTTTAAAAATGAATTTTTAAAAAAATTAGTGAAAGTAAGTACTTGTCATCTGTACCCTGAGACAACAGCATGCTCACCCATAGTCCCAGTGCAGTGGAACAGGAGAGCACCTGAGGAACCAGCCAGGATTAGTATGTGGTTGGAGTTACTGCTCATTAACCATACTTCCAGCAGGAGAGAAAATAAATCTGGCCTGTAGTGGGACAAGAAAGCTGTATCTTAAAATGGCCATTCACTGCCTAAGTTCAACAAGTCTACCCAGAGAGAAAAACTGTCCTCCTCATGAATTTGCTTAATTCTTTGATGTTTGCTATTTTTTGCTTGTATATTTATTACCCAGCATTCACAACAATGCATTGTAAGCATTCTAAAATTTAGGAACGCAATTGATTTTAACATCTTCATGGTGGTACCTACAACAGTGTCTAATGCGTACTGAGTTTTCAGTAAATCTTGAATGATGGCATTGAAATACCAGTTTTGGGGTACATTCTGTGGTAATGATGTGTTTTTGAGTTAATCAACAACGTGTCTTGGGCACCATGACTTGTGGTGTTTTTGATAAGTTTACTAGTTAGTGCCTTCTTCATTTAACTGGCTGCATAATTACAGACAACTGGACTTTATTGCCTACCCTAAAGTACTCTGCTGAATTTCTCCTGCTGCAGCTGTCATCTGTGTTAGTAAACACAGCAGTTAGCAGGCATACAAAAGGAAAGCATCTAGTGTTAACTTAGATCACCGAGTAAACTTCACTTAATACTTTTGTGACTGTGCTGTGTTCTGTGTTCATAGCCATCTCAGTTGACAACCACGCTGCCCTTGCCCAGTTCTGCAAACACGAGAACATTGCGTTGGTGGTGGTTGGACCCGAGGCACCCCTGGCCGCCGGTAAAGTGCATTCTGTTTGTTGGGATGGTACATGCAGTGCCAGCAGGAGCTTACGGATCACTCATGCAGTTGATTTTACAGATGGGGACTAGTGTAATAAATTCCCCACAGGGTTTTCACCATCTTGGATTTTACAGATTAAAGATGTTTTGAGCTACAGATCAGATTTACAGCTGTGGGAAGCATTTTCTATATCTTTGTTCTGCTCTTTTCTGTTTACTAAACCATGTATTCAGATGTAACAGAGCTTTTGCTGAATTCCAATGACCTCTTGATAGCCTTTTGATCATATCTAAGTCTCTGCCACTATCCATCCACCCTCTCCAAGCCTGGAGGGAGTGTAGTGCCATTTCACATTCCATCTAAGGCTCCTGGAAAATCCCTAATTTCCTTATTTCACTTTGGTTCCGCAGGGGTCGTTGAGAGCCTGACATCTGCGGGGGTGCGATGCTTCGGCCCCACAGCAAAGGCAGCTCAACTGGAGTCTAGCAAGAGGTTTGCCAAAGAGTTTATGGATCGACACGGAATCCCAACTGCACGCTGGCGAGCTTTCACCAGCCCTGAGGAAGCCTGCCACTTCATCCTGAGGTAGGTGGGAGGCAGCAGGGGAAGCACAGTCAGGTCTGTACATGGCGCCACTGTGTCAGACATGCAGTTCTAGGTCTTGAGGCTGTCATGAATTTATAGAAGGGTGATTACGGAGAAAAAGATTCCCAAAAATGGAATCATATGTATTTAGGTAATCTAATTGTCTTAGAGAAAGATGAGATTTTAGTATTAATTGCTGACTAGTTCCTAGGGAAGAAATATACCTGACTGGATAGTCATGTGTTTTCACAGCCAAATTGATAAACATGACATCTCACAGCATGAAGGATGTGGATTTTTGACATAACAAGTTAGCAAGAGTGAGGAATCATTGCATGGTCATCTCGATCACAACTCCATTTCCAAATTTTAAAATTAGAATTCCTTTGTTCTCTGTTATTTAGAAGATGAGTGAATGTTAGGGGTCGCTGTGTTGCTGTTGTTGGTTTTTGTTTTGTTTGGTGGTTTTCATTAACACTTGCTTCTACCTGGCATGTTTTCTGTTCACTTGGTCAATTTCATTCTGTATTCATTCTTCATTCTACAGGGTTTCTTTGACCCTGAATATTATTATTTCCTAGTAGCCAGCTGCCTTGGGGGCGTGACAGTTTGTTACTTACTTTGGGTAAGTCTCCTTACAGTTTCTGGAGTCCCACTAGGAAGTCTCCAGCGTGTCCTTCCAGAAATGGTCTGCATATCGGCATTGACCATTGTTCTTGTGTAGCCACCTCTTCTGCTTAAATGAGAATATGATTTGCTGCTTTTTGTCAAAGATCGCTGCATATCTGCTGAATGCATCTATTTAATCCAAAGATTCTTGCTTATGTGATCTCATATAAGTGATAAAAAGCATAATTGTACAGAGGAACTTCAAAAAGTGTTTGGAAAGCAGAATTAAAGGACAAGTCAGCATTCCATGAAATTTTTGAAGCACCCTTATGTGTATAATCCTGCTGGGAAATATATGACAAGAGTGTTGGAATGATAATTTTTTTTCTGCTTTCTTGTTGCTATATATCATTACACAGTTCCATTTAGCGTGTTCATTTCTGAGGGTTTATTGAGTACGAAGCTTTGCTGTGTCTTCACAGTGCAGACTTCCCTGCTTTGGTTGTGAAGGCCAGTGGTCTTGCAGCTGGGAAAGGAGTCATTGTTGCAGAGAACAAAGAAGCAGCCTGCAAGGCTGTGCAGGAGATCATGCAGGTGGGCTGATTTTTCTGCAAAGGTTCATTCTTTTCCTGTCTGGTAAATGCACTCTTAGATTTACAAAATGATACACAAGCACGCTGGCAGGTATTCTTTTTAATAGTATATGTTATAGTCATTCTGAATAAAATGGATATTACGCGTCCGAACTGCAGCCTAACTATGTTTTTTTTTTTTCCTTTGAATGAAATTCTGACATCCTTTATTGTCTGCTGCTGAAAGGTAGAAAATTGTCGTGCTATAAAACTGAGTACTAAATTCTCAAGCCGTTCATGAAGATAAAAATAATTGTCTTGTGTGTTCCCACATAGACAAATGAAGCGTAAGCAAGCTACTTTGTTTTACTCTCATGATCCGTCTTGGGCCTTATAGTTGTGCCCTCTTAGAGAAATCTACTTTGTAAATCCAGTTTACAATTAAAAATAATACACTTCTAATGAAGAATATGGATTAAATGCTAAGTAACAATTGAAATATCTGCTTTTTCCTAATTGAAGATTGGAAAGCAAAGTACTAGGGACATTGATAGATGCTCATTTCAGCTGTACCACTGTCAGTTCTGCATCACCACCACATTAAAGAGCATCGGGCAGCATTAGCAGGTGCATTAGTTTACTAACCCTCTTTTTCAAATCAATACTCAGGAGAAAAGCTTTGGAGCAGCTGGAGAAACGATTGTTGTTGAAGAACTTCTTGAAGGGGAAGAGATTTCTGTACGTATATTCATGTCTTGAACTTTACCGAGTACGATTCTGACAAATATGTCCCCAAAAACAAATTGATTTACTCTGGCCACTTCATGTAAAAACACAAATCCAGCAGCTACAATGAAATTTGAATACATTAAGTGAAGTACAAAATCAAAAAAATTTTCTTTCTATAATTATCTCTAGTATGCTAATGGGAACACTAGGACTTAAATATTATTAAATCTGGGTTAATTCAAACATGTTTGTTGGGGTGCCTGTGTGCTGTGTCAGAGTGCCAGATTTGATTCCTGCCCCTGATTCCCACTTCCAGATAATGTAGACTCTGAGAAGAACCGAGATGGAAGAACTAAGAACCTATTTGGATTCCTGCCATCTCCTGGGAGGCCGGGCTCCCCCAGCCAAGCCGCAGCTACTATGAGCACTTGGCAAACCAGCATATAGGAACTGGCTCTTAGATAAACAGAAGGGTTTTGTTTGTTGTTTTCATTCATGTTTCTTCTGTTACATGCATTTACTATGTAACAAATAGGGAAATAAGTTACATTTAACAGTTTGTTTTTTTTTTAAGATTTATCTTATTTTTTATTGGAAAGGCGGATATACAGAGAGGAGAGACAGAGAGGAAGATCTTCCATCCGATAATTCACTCCCCAAGTGAGCGCAACGGCCGATGCTATGCCGATCCGAAGCCAGGAGCCTCTTCCAGGTCTCCCACGCGGATGCAGGGTTCCAAAGCTTTGGGCCGTCCTCAACTGCTTTTCTGGGCCACAGGCAGGGAGCTGGAAGGGAAGCAGGGCTGCCGGGATTAGAACCGGTGTCCATATGGGATCCCGGGCGTGCAAGGCGAGGACCTTAACCACTGCGCCATCGCGCCAGGCCCAACATTTAACAGTTTTGATGCCTGGAAATTTAAACAGGATAGGATAATATTGAAATATTTCACTTATAGAGTATGAACGTTTCTCTGTTTGAGCGAGAGAGAGAGAGAGAGTTCTTCAGTCCACAGGTTTGTTCCCCAAATGGTCGCATCAACCATGGCTGGGCCACGCTGAAGCCATGAGCCTGGCACTTCATCCAGGTCTCCCACATAGGTGCCGGGGATCCAGCTATTGGTCACCTGCTGCCTCCCAAGCTGTGCATTTGCAGGAAGCTGGATTGAGATGTGAAGCCAGGACTTGTACCAGGCATCCCAATATGGGATGCAGATGTTGCAAGCACCATCTTTTATTTATATATGAAAATTATATATAAATTATATTTATATAAATTTTATATATTATCATTTTTTTAAATAATGATAACAGGGTTGATCATGGGGGAAAGGATCAAGGTTTAGGGACAATTGGGTGAATTCGTTGCATCCAAATTTGCCATTCTTATTCTTACTGGGGTAAGGGGAGAAACAAAAGGAAAACCACTCACAACTTTCCACATGTCCCAGTACCCAGGGATGAGGAACTGCCACCTTATATCAACCCAGAGTCTCCAGGTGTGCATATTCAGAGGGTTCTGTTCAAGTGGTTTGGACGGTTCTGAATTGCTGCTGACTTCACTGATCCAAGGATGATGTCACCCTCCCAATGACCATTGGCTCCAGTCACCAAAATTACTTGCTGTTATCGTTTGTTTGGGGTTGTTGTCCAGTTAATTCTGTTCTGCTGGCGGGCAGCATCTTAACCATCAAGCAACCTACCCCATACAGGATCTACTTGATATATGCAGCTTTGGGTTAATGTATTTCAATCAGTATTTCTTCAGAAATAAACTTTTCCCTTAATAGGCCAAGTACACATGCTTCACCTTATTTTTTAATTTTTCTTGTTTGAGTTAACTTCTGTTGTCTCCGTAGTGTCTCTGCTTCAGTGATGGGAAAACGGTGGCCCCCATGCCTCCAGCACAGGACCACAAGCGCTTACTAGAGGGAGATCATGGTCCCAATACAGGGGGAATGGGAGCCTACTGTCCAGCACCTCAGGTACTTGCCAGTAGTAATTGCTTGGTCCTCCGAGTGAGTTCTGAACGTAATGCTTTTCTGGCTTTGTTTCTGCGAGCTGGGTGATTGATCAGAAGCTTCATTTATCTACCACAAGTATTATGGCCTCAAATCCTTTTTAAGAGCCTTTGATGACTGGTTAGGGCAATCTAACATGTGATATGTATTGAATAGATCTTCCTGCCATCTCCTTTCCAGACTCAGTGTTTAATCACTGGCAATGCATTGCAGTCTAGAATAATCCATCCTGCTTTGGATAGCCACAGCCCTGCAGCTAAGTAATCTGTGTAGATATATGAGTATTAAAATGAGAACTGAAACAGATCCTAATTTCTTTAAGACTTCACAATTTCTCAAGAGTTTTTATTTTTAAAGTGTGTATTATTGGATTGTAAATAGGTTACCACTGTAGATTTAATTAATGATGATGATAATTGTTTCTGATAAATATTGCTTTTGCATATTTTTATTCAGTAAAAGACTAAAATCAAGCCACCTTTTCAAGGGCTTTACAAGTATTGAAACTACACACTGATAATAGTGATTTTAACATATAAGAACCAGCTCTATGTCTAATTTTGGATTTTTGAGGTTTGTTTTTTGTTTTTAATATATATTTTTTTAATTTAGAAAGTCAAATTTACAGAGAGGAAAAGACAGAAAGCTCTTCCTTCCACTGGTTCACTCCCCAAGTGGCCACAGTGGCTGGAGTTGAGCCGATTCTGGTTCTAATTTTTTTTTTTTTGAAGATTTATTTTATTTGTATTGGAAAGTCAGATATATAGAGAAGAGGAGAGACAGAGAGGAAGATCTTCCATCCAATGGTTTACTCCCCAAGTGACCACAATGGCTGGAGCTGAGCCAATCCAAAACCGGGAACAAGGAGCTCTTCCAGGTCTCCCACGTGGGTGTAGGGTCCCAAAACTGGACCATCCTCAACTACTTTCCCATGTCACAAACAGGGAGCTAGATGGGAAGCAGGGCCGCTGGGATTAGAACCAGCAACCATATGGGATCCCAGTGTATTCAAGGTGAGGACTTTAACCACTAAGCTATCCCACCAGGCTCTGGTTCTAAATTTTAAGCAAAGTTTATAAAACTAGATTTTTCAGTTATAAGCTTGTAAAATATAACGGAGTATCCTCAAAGGATATGCAAAGAATATCATAAAACAATTTTTGGTGAGTTTCATTAAAGGAAAATGACAGAATATGTAACAAGTTGTAATAGTCATGTAAAGTGATTGGCATGAGCTTTGCGCAGTGGCAGGATCATAGCCAATGAGATTTATCTGAGGCACAATTATTGCTAATTAAAAAGTGATTGGCATTAATATTTTTACTATAAATACATAATCTAGTCTCTAATGCTTCACCAGCTTCAGAGAATATATAGTACTTAATGTTATGATGTTTGATGAGTCATTGAGTAATTTACAGAGCAAAAAGTATGTACGGGAATGTATAGGCCCCGCCACTGGCTGTCTTCCAGTTCATTACTGTTCTGTACAACTAGGGCTAAGGTGCTTATCTGGTGGATTTGTGAGATTAGGAAAGAAGTTCTCAGCCTACTTATCTAGTAACAATTGGTAGTTCTCCTTGCCCGTTCGTTGTCCCATATGATACTGAGCATAAATTGGGGTTTTTGGTAAATGTCAGTTAATACTTGTTCTTTATGTTCCCCAGGTTTCTAAGGACTTGTTACTAGAAATTAAAAATACTGTTCTTCAGAGGGCAGTGGATGGCATGCAGCAGGAGGGCACTCCTTACGTAGGTAAACACATCGATAAAGCTGTGTACACTATGGAGGAAGTTTGCACTTTGGGGAAAACTTGTTGGGACTAGCATTGCTTTGTAACAGGAAAAACAGCTGCCTTTATTACTGGCATCCCACCATATGGATGCCAATATGTGCCCAGCTGCTCCACTTCCAGTCTAGCCCCTGCCACCAATTTTTTTTCTCATAATCTTTATTTTATTTATTTAAAGGGCAGAATTAGAGCATGAGAGAGAGCGAGCTTTTCCATCACCTAGTTTACTCCCCAAATGCCTGCATTAACTAGTCCAAAGCCAGAAACCAGGAGCTTCATCCAGTACCATGACTCTCAGAAACGTGTATGTTAGGTTTTATACTCCTAATTACAATGTCTTCATTACAGATTTCTTTTTCTCTCTCTGTTTTGTGACAAAGGGATTTTGTATGCTGGTATAATGCTCACCAAAGATGGCCCAAAAGTTCTGGAGTTTAATTGCCGTTTTGGTGATCCAGAATGCCAAGTAGGTAACAGTTAATTAAGATACTATTGTTGTGTGTTCTCTGTGTGTTGTCTTACTCTTGGGATTTGTGAACTTTTGAGTATTTATCTTTGAGAAATTCTTGCAAATTCTGCTACTGGCCTGTGAATCAAAATGTCTTAGGAAAACAGGAATTTATCTCAACTGTGTATTAATTCTGTTCTTCCAGGTGATCCTCCCACTGCTTAAAAGTGATCTTTTTGAAGTGATTCAGTCCGCCTTAGATGGCCTGCTTTGCACGTCCCTGCCTGCCTGGCTAGACGACCACACCGCTGTAACTATAGTCATGGCAAGTCAGGGTTATCCTGGAGCCTATGCCAAGGGTGTGGAAATCACGGGTAAGCAGGGGGAATGAGAAATGGTTTGAAAAGGGACCAGTAACCAGTGCCCCCAGCAGGCCTCCCTGCCCTGCTGATACCTGTATATGCCTTCACACCCGAAAAGGTGTAAAGCCACTAAAAACTTTGCAGAGGCTGTTGTATCAATCATTGCTTATGGGAATGTGTGTTCAAACGTTCAAGATAACTGGCTATCACACCACCTGCTCCCTTGCTGCCTGTCAAATGAACTGCTCACTCTGCTTAGTTCTGCTTACTCCTTTTATTATTACTAATTTATTTATTTGTAAGACATTTTTATTGGAAAGTCAGATCTACCAAGAGCAAAGACAGAGAGAAATATCTTGCATCTGCTGGCTTACTCCCCAGATGGTCACAAAAGGCAAAACTAAGCTGAGCTGGATCCAGGAGCCTCCTCCAGGTCTACCACTCAGATGCAGGGTCCCAAGGGTTTGAGCTCCATCTTCTACTGCTTTCCCAGGCTACAATCAGGGAGCTGGATGGGACGTTAAACAGCTGGGACATTAACTGGCGCCCAAATGGGATGCTGGCACATACAAGGCGAGGATTTAGCCAGTAGTACACCAAGCTGGGCCCTCTGCTGGCCTTTCTTCATTCTTTTTTTTTCGAATCTTTTTATTGGAATGTCAAAAATATACAGAGGAAGATCTTCCATCCAGTGATTCATTTTCCAAGTAACCGCGGCAGCCAGAACTGAGCCAATCTGAAGCCAGGAGCCAGGAATTTTGGGTCTTCCACGCAGGTGCAGGGTCCCAAAGCCTTAGGCCATCCTCAGCTACTTTTTTCAGGCCACAAGCAGGGGAGCTGGGCCGCTGGGCTGCTGGGCCTAGAATCGGTGCTCTGGCCACCACACCACCCATCCCTCACTCTTAAGAGATGCGATCCATTTGCCTTTCTGCAAAGCAAATACCCCTAGCAGCTAAAGTCCTCGCCTTGAATGCGCTGGGATCCCATATGGGTGCCAGTTCTAATCCCGGCAGCTCTACTTCCCATCCAGCTCCCTGCTTGTGGCCTGGGAAAGCAGTTGAGGATGGCCCAAAGCTTTGGGACCCTGCACCTAAATGGGATACCTGGAAGAAGTTCCAAGATCCTGGCTTCGGATCAGCATAGCATCGGCCATTGCGCTCACTTGGGGAGTGACTCATCGGATGGAAGATCTTCCTCTCTGTATATCTGACTTTCTAATAAATAAATAAATCTTTTAAAACAACAACAACAACAAAAAAGGACAGGGATCTATCCCCAAATGCCCACAGTAGTCGGGCCTGTGCCATAAGTCGGTGACTCAGTCCACGTCTCCCATGTGAGTAGCAGGGACTCAGGTGCTTGAGCCGTCTTCCACTGCTTTCCCAGGCTGTTAGCAGCAAGCTGCGTCAGGAGGAGAGCTGAGACATATCCAGTGTCCATAAGGGATGTCAACGGCATAGAAACCGGTTTTACCGTCTGTGCCACAAAATGTGACCCTGAAACAAATTATAATCCCAAGATTTATCATAACAGTTTTGTGGATACAGACTAGGAAAAAGGAAACCATATACTATTGTACTGCTTTATTTCTGGCCTTTATTCTAAATAAAGTGGTAGTTGCAAAGCACTCAGCCGTGCGTCACCGTTGGTCTCTTGCAGGGTTTCCTGAGGCCCAGGCTCTGGGACTACAGGTGTTCCATGCGGGAACTGCCCTCCAGGAGGGCAGAGTAGTGACAAACGGGGGAAGAGTTCTTGCTGTCACAGCCATCCAGGAGACTCTCAGCTCAGCCCTCGAGGAAGCCAAGAAAGGACTGACTCTTCTGAGGTTTGCGGGCTCCATTTATAGGACGGACATTGGCTTCCGTGCCCTGGCCTTCCTCCAGCGGCCCAGGTAAAGTCCCGGGAGGGAGACGCTGTGGCACGGCTCAGGCCTGCACTGAGGCACCGAGCTGTGTCCAGGAGGCTGCATCTTAGTCTGTTTCACTGAAATGTTTAATAATATAAGGCCAATGGTAGTAAGCATTCTTATCTTTTGAGTTAGCACATAGTTAGATATTCTGGTTTTTAAATTAGGTTTTCATTGAACAACTCGGGGTGAGTGTATTTGACATCTACCTTTTCATTTAATCTGTACTGTAAATTTTTCAGTGTCATTTAATACTGTATTTATATCTATGGGTGAGATGTATTTTTGACTCCTTATTTTATGACATGTACCAACTATCCCTTTTTAAATCAATAAAATACTGGTTGCAAGTGTGCGTGTTTTGATCCTTAAATATGATGTTTAATGTTATTTATTAAGTTTAGCTATTGGTAATGAATATATTTTGGGGCAAAATGAGAAGTTTTTAACAACTGCATTCAATCTATACTGTTTCTATGAAACAGATTTTTATATAAATAGGAAGGTGTTTAATAGTTACAAGATTCCACTGAAATAACCTAGTTCAGTGGACTGCAATGTTCAGTGTGAGTCTGATATGTTTAAAGGTGAAGAGCTAAGGGGCTGGAACAGTGACCCACAAGCTAATCCTCCACCTGTGGCCCCGGCATCCCACATGGGAAACCTAGAAGAAGCTTCTGGCTCCCAACTTCAGATAAGCTCAGCTCTTGCTGTTGTGGTCATTTGAAGAGTGAACCACGGATGGGAAAAATCTCTCTTCCTTTCTGTCTTGTATTTCTATGTCTTGTTCAAGTAAAAATAAACAAATCGTTTAAAAAGTGCTCAAGTCCTGGCCTTGCCTTGCCTTGCATCCACCAGGATCCCACGTAGGCACCAGTTCATGTCCTGGCTGCTCCACTTCCCTTCCAGCTCCCTGTTTGTGGCCTGGAGAAGCAGTAGAGGACAGCCCAAAGCTTTGGGACCCTACACCCAAAGGAAGAAGCTACAGGCTCCTGGCTTCAGATCAGCTCAGCTCTGGGCATTGACGCCACTTGGGGAGTAAACCAGCAGGTGGAAGATCTTTCTCTTTGTAAATCTGACTTTCCAATAAAAATAGATAAATCCTGAAAAGAAAATGAAAATGAGATGCCACAATGCTAACTGGTGAAAGATTTTCTAAACCCGCAGAACTTTGTTTCCTGTCTGAAAGTAACCCTGAACTGCTGACATTGCATTCACTGCCAGTATTTTCCATTCTGACAGCTCCTTGCAATAAAATTTCACATAGATCACTGCCTCTCAGACCAAAGTCCTCATTTTAGCTAGATAAGACTTTTGACGTGGGGAGGGGGGAGGTTGATAATGTTTGAAAGGCAGAAAGAGGAAGAGACCTAGCCGTTGGTTCACTTCCCCAAAGGCTGCAACTGCCAGCACTGGGCCACGCTGAAGCCTAGAGTTCATCTGCTTCCTTTACCTGGGTGAAAGGACCTAAGTACCTTGGCAGTCTACTGCTGCTTTTCCAGGCACACTAGCAGGGAGCTGAATCGGAAGTGGACCAGGCAGGACTGGAACCCCATATGGGGTGTCAGCACTGTGGGCAGGAGCTTAATGCACTGTGCCCCCCCACCCCCAGACACACACAAGTGCCATTCACAAAATTCACTTCTTTTTTTTTTTTTTAAGATTTATCTTTATTATTTTTTCATTGGAAAGGTGGATGTACAGAGAGCAGAGAGGAGAGACAGAGAGGAAGATCTTCCGTCCGATGATTCACTCCCCAAGTGAGTGCAACGGGCCGATACTATGCCAATCCGAAGCCAGGAGCCTCTTCCGGGTCTCCCACGCGGGTGCAGGTTCCCAAAGCCTTGGGCCGTCCTCAACTGCTTTCCCAGGCCACAGGCAGGGAGCTGGAAGGGAAGCGGGACTGCCGGGATTAGAACCGGCGCCCATATGGGATCCTGGGCGTGCAAGGCGAGGACCTTTAACCACTTGCGCCACCGCGCTGGGCCCAAAATTCACTTCTAAATGGTCTCTTCTGACATGGTGGCTGTGTATAGGAAGAAGAGATGCATTCAGTATCATTATCCCATACTGCTTTGGTCAGTGTTCAATCTTGCCACTCACAGCTGTGAGGAGAGTGGTTGTTATTAACTATTGCAGTAAGAGCTTAGTTTCATTAAGGGTATTTTTGTAGATTTAGTTAAGTCTATTTAAAAGTCAAATGGTGGTTGCTTAAGAATGGGGAGTTACTGTTTAAAACATAGTGTTGGCTTCGCAAGGTGAAAAGTTCTAGAAATGAATGATGTCACATGATGGTTGTGCAACAAATATTGCTGAATTACACCCTTAAATATTATCAGATACAAAAATGTTTTAGGTATGCAAGTATTTGGCCACAATAGGAAAAGTAAATGTTTACATGTCAGTATATTTATGAGGAAAACCAGGAAGATGGCTGAGATCACTGGGGCCCTGTCATGGGTAGGGATGCAGCGGGACCACCTGGGGAGTTTGGAGAAAAGCCTCTGGCTCCCCAGGGGCTTCCTACACCAGTTAAATCCGCCTGTGCCTAAGCCCAAAGCCCCAGGAGGTGTAAAATCCCTTCAGCCGTCTTGCTTTGAATAATATTTTAAGGTTGAATAAATTTCTTTGGCAGTTACACGATGTCTTGTTTTGTTTTTTAATTCCTTAGAGGCCTGACTTACAAGGACTCTGGAGTGGACATTGCAGCTGGAAACATGCTGGTGAAAAAAATTCAGCCATTAGCCAAAGCCACCTCTCGGGCAGGTAAAGTGTGTTGTGTCCTCGGGCTGACTGAGTGCGTTCATCTGGGCTGTAGACTTAACTGAGGAGCACTTCCTGAATTAGTGCTGGGTGACTGGAAGCTTTGCTCCAGTGAAACCAAGCTTGTAGCCTTCCTTATTTTATATAAAGATGGGCAGAGAGACCTGTCGTCTGCTCTCTCACTCCCCAAACGCCTACAGCAGCAGGCTAAGCCAGGCCAAAGTCAGGAAGCCATAACTCCGTGCACTCTCAGGGACTGTAGTCCAGCGTCTCTGCTCCCTGCCCCTGGGAGAGGGCTGGATCTGAGCAGAACCCCTGAGCCTCGGGCCATGCACGCCTGTACAGAATGCACATATCCCAGCAACCCCTGCACTGCTGCACAGAACAGCTGTCCTGGCAGTCTGTGGCTTTCTTAACTCTAATATTAAAGGGTTTTAGTTGCTTTTCTCTGTTGAAGGTAAGAGAAACAGATCTTCCGTCTACTGTTTGAGTTCTCAAATGCTGGCAGTAGTCTGAGTTAGGCCAGGCCGAAGCCAGGCTCCAGGAATTCCATCAAGCTCCCCTCGTAGTGACAGATGTGCACTAGGTGGGAGCTGGATCAAGAAGAGTGACAGGATATGCACGGCCCTCTGACGGAATGCAGGCATCTGAATGAGAGCTGAACCCTGTCAACTGCATACCAGAAAAGATTCTTTTTTTCTAAGATTTACTTTTATTGGAAAGACATTTACAGAGAGAAGGAGAGACAGAAAAATCTTCCATCTACAGATTCACTCCCCAAATGGCCACAACTGTTGGAGCTAAGCTGATCCAAAGCCAGGAACCAGGAGCTTCTTCCAGGTCTCCCACACACATGCAGGATCCCAAGGCCTTGGGCCATCCTTCACTGCCTTCCCAGGCTACAAGCAGGGAGCTGGATGGGAAGCAGAAAAGGCAGGACATGAACCATAGACCATAAAGGATCCCAGCACATGAAGGGGGGGAATTAGCCAATTGAGTCATCATGCTGGGCCCCAGAAAACATTTTTGACCAATGATTTTATGTGTTGATTATTTATTTTAACATTTCTCCTATTCTCAGAATGGGCATCCCTTGTTTTGCCATTCTTCAGAAGAGTGAGACATATATTCATGTGTAATCTGTTGAAATGCAGCAATTAATTAAATTTCTCTAACAGGCTGTGATGTTGCTCTTGGAGATTTCGCTGGTCTTTTTGATTTGAAAGCAGCTGGCTTCAAAGATCCTCTTCTGGCCTCCGGAACAGATGGTGTTGGAACAAAACTGAAGGTAATCAGACACCTTTGGGAATAAAGGCCTTCTGTGAAAAATAATGGTGTTAACTGTACTACCAAATACTGTTTTCCTTCTCAACATACATAAGCTAAAAAGAATTAACACTAAGTAACCATATAATATTGCCCAAATGTCTGCACATTTGTAACAAAAGAAAATTATTCAGGGATATATTTGGATGAAAGGATATTTCAGAGGGTAAATCAGTTTTGGAGCACGTGTCTTATCATAATCTTATTTTTTTTAAAAGATTTATTTATTTTTACTGGAAAGTCAGATATACAGAGAGAAAGATCTTCCATCTGTTGATTCACTCCCCAAGTGGCCATAACAGTCAAAGCTGAGCTGATCCAAAGCCAGGAGCCTCTGGATCTCTCATGCAAGTGCAGGGTCCCAAAGCCTTGCTTTCCCAGGCCACAAACAGGGAGCTGAATGAAAGGCTGGGCAGTCAGGACATGAACCAGTGCCCATACGGGATCCCAGCGCATGCAAGGCAAGGACCTTAATCGTTAGGCTGTCGCAGCAGGCCCATAATTTTATGTTCTTTAGTCTAGAGTAGCTAGACAGTTGCATTTGTTAGCCTCTCCTGATAAACAAAAAAAAGTTTCTGGATGTTTCAGCTAGTTCATGGAAAAATTGTTAAAAGACAAGTATATTATAAGAATTTTCAAATCTGTGTGGTTTTTTCCTGATTTTCCGTGAACTTTTCCATGTGTCTTTAAGTTTAGATTTGCTCTCTAATGTGGATGTTCATGTTCCTGTGCAGATTGCTCAGCTCTGCAATAAACATGACACCATTGGGCAAGACTTGGTTGCGATGTGTGTGAATGACATTCTGGCGCAAGGCGCAGAGCCCCTCTTCTTCCTGGATTACTTCGCCTGCGGGAAACTCGACCTCAAGACAACTGAAGCCGTCGTTGCTGGCATCGCCAAAGCATGTGGGAAAGCTGGGTGTGCTCTCCTTGGTAGGACCATCCACTGGGATCCCAGTCCTGGCTGCGTGGAAACGTCGTCAGTGCCAGTGTGGCTAACAAGGAAGGCTGTATGTCACCAGATGTGGCAACTGACAAAACAGATTACACCACCTAAATTAACCGTAGACCCTGGGGCACTGCACTCCACTCAAGGGCCTGTCCCCCTGACCCAGGCACCTTGACTACCTTTTTTGGGTTTTGTTTTTTAAAGATTTATTTATTTTTATTGGAAAGACATATTTACATACAGAAGGAGAAACGGAACTATCTTTGATCCGTTGATAGCCAGAGCTGAACCAATCCAAAGCCAGGAGTCAGGAACAACTTCTGGGTCTCCCACACACATGCAGGGGGCCTTCTCTGCACCTTTCCCAGGTCATAAGCAGGGAGCTGGATGGGAAGTGGAGCGGCTGGGACATAAACCGGTGCTATGGGACACCAGTGCTTGGAGGTGAAAGATCAACCAGTTGAGCCATTGCACCAGCCCCAACTAGCTTTTTCAATCCCTGTACTTCAGTCACCACTGCAGGCAGCCCTAAAGGTACTTTCCTCCTGGCTGCCCCTGCAAAATTGCATTTTTTCCCACGTAAGTAGCATTAGTAATTAAATATTTATAGAAATGCTGTGTAGCTATTGCTCACCTCAAAGAAATTATACATATCTGAGAAGAAAGATATTCATTACCCTGCTCTGATCATTACACATGTGTGTGTACTGACATGTCATACCAGTGAGCCAGCACAGTGATAAAGCAATCTTAATCCTCTTCCTATAATCGTCATCCCATGTGGACGCTGGTTCAAGTCCTGGCTGCTCCACTTTTGATCCAGCTCCCTGCTATGGCCTGTGAAAGCAGCAGAGGATGACTCAAGTGTTTGGGCCCCTACACGCATGTGGAGAACAACACACATAAAGCAAATTACACAGAGTATGCCCTTGGTTAAGATGCCAGTAGAGCTCTCCATCCCCTACTTGGGTGTTTTTGTTCACTCTCCAGCTCCTGATGGCAGCTTCCTGCTAGTGTGAGCCCTGTGAATCAGCACATTGAGGAGTTCCTTCTCTCCCTCTGCGTCTCTACATCTGTTTCTGTAAAATAAATTGTAAAAAAATGTTTAGCAATCCATGGAGGCAAAATATGAAATAGTGAAGAAATGCAAAATGTGCAATATTCATTTTTAACAAAGAATATTACTTAACTATTTGCACATTGATAAAGTAACAAAACTATCTCGTCTCTTGTGTTAATAATTTATATAGGCAGATCTGTCCTAGAGCCAAAAATTACCCATTAGTCATCTCTTGGACGCTTTGCGTCTTGATTGGAATATAACCTTGCGTGATGGAGAGTGTTAGGCTTTGTAGCCCTGGCGCCTGGAATTGAGCAGTCCTGGGTACGTTGCTGCTCTAAGTCTGTGCCGCCATCTGAGTACAGAGTGATTGTGAACATCGGGTTTTTGTGCAAGCCATCTCTGAAACTGAGCTGCTGCGGAAAGGGTTGCATGTTCCACCGGGTGTTCAGCCTATGAAAGCTGTGCTATCTGGAGGCTGTTAATGGGCTGACACAAGTATTAACCTCCTCCTGGCTCTTGGGGAAATTAGTGCTGTTTTCCTGAAAGTCACACTTGGTTGAAAGTTTGTTGTGCAAATAATAGAGAACATAATGGTGCCACATTGTTTGTGTTAAGGGTGGCTTGTCTCACTATTCCCTACACAGATTTATAAATGTTAAAAGATTTGCTTGCACTTGTCTCATCCTTCCAGGAGGTGAAACAGCAGAAATGCCTGACATGTATCCTCCCGGAGAGTACGACCTTGCTGGGTTTGCTGTTGGTGCCATGGAGCGGGACCAGAAGCTCCCTCATCTAGAAAGAATCACTGAAGGGGATGTTGTTGTTGGCGTAGCTTCATCTGGTCTCCACAGCAATGGCTTTAGCCTTGTGAGGAAGATTGTGGCCAAATCTTCACTGCAGTACTCTGCGCCAGCACCTGCTGGTTGTGGTGACCAGACCTTAGGTGAGTACACTTCATGCTCAACCCATCCCACTGCACTAGATCTGAACCCACTTGCTGTTTCATCTCTCTCTGACCCAAAGCTAACATGTAATGCAGTGTATTATTAACCTACGATCTGGGTGCTGGGACAGTGTTGTACAGCAAGTGCAGCACCACACATGTTGTTCTCCATTTTGGGGTTGCTCTCTATGCTTTGGTTTTGCATTCATGGTCCAATTTTTTTTTTTTTTAATCTTCTATCTTGAATATTCAGGGGACCTGCTTTTAACTCCAACAAGAATCTACAGCCATTCGTTGTTACCCGTCCTCCGGTCAGGTCATGTCAAGGCTTTTGCTCATATTACCGGTGGAGGATTGCTGGAAAATATCCCCAGAGTCCTGCCTCAGAAACTTGGTGTAGATCTAGGTAAGGTCATTAAAAGGAACATATATTCAAAACAATTGAGGAAAAAAATATGTGTTATGGATAGTTAGCACATACAGGCTTATATGTGGAAAACTCTTAATCACTGAAATTTGTTAGTGGAAAAATGACACTTTTCTACCACTTTGTGCTTTATTGTGCGTATTTGTAAGTCATAAAATCTTCTCATGTAATTGACTAATGTAAAGGTACAATGCTCTAGCATTAGATCATAGTGGAGTTAAGTAGCACTTACAATGCCAGCATCCCATCTCATAGAGCACCAATTCTTGGCTGCTCTGTATCTAATCCAAGTGCTTGCTAATACGCACACATAAGCAGCTAAAAATGACCCAAGTACTTGGGTCCCTGCCACCCACATGGGAAACCAGGACGGAGTTCCTGGTTCCTGGCTTCAGCCTGGCCCATCCCTGGCTATTCTGGGTATTTTTACATGAACCTAAGAAGACGGATGGGAGTGGGTGACATATGTGAGTAGCAAAGCTTATGTCAAGAATGTTGCTAATGAGGAAAAGTAGAAAATACCAGCCACCTTTCCTCCCAGTCTTTTAGGATAAAGAGACAAAGTGAGAAGTGTTCGGGTCATATTCAACTAATACACATTACTTGAAGGAATAGAAATGGGGAAAGATCACATAAAATAGTTTCCCAGTGGGGTGGCCATCATGCCACAGCAAGTTAAGCTGCCGCTTGAGATTCCTGCAGCCCATACTAGAGTTCTGGTTCTAGTCCCTGCTGCTACACTTTGAATCCTCCCTGGCAGTCACATGGGAGACCTGGATGGAGTTCCTGGCTTCGGCACCCCCAGGCTTTTTTGTGCAATTTGAGAGTGAACCAGTGAATGAAAGATCTTTCTTTGTCTCTCCCTCTCTGTCACTGTCCTGTTCAAATAAATAAATCCTTGGGAAAAATAATGAAGATTTAGAACTAAGTATCCATAACATAGCATTAAGATGCTAGTTAATATACCACATCCATGTTCGAGTGCCTGGCTCAGTGCTCTGCACTGTCTTGATTCCCGCCTCTGACGCATGCAGACCAGAGAAGGCAGAAATGATGGCTCAGGTTTCTGCCGTAGGTGGGGACCTAGATGTACTTTTTTTTTTTTTTTTTTTTTAAAGATTTATTTTTATTATTTTTTTATTGGAAAGGCGGATATACAGAGAGGAGAGACAGAGAGGAAGATCTTCCGTCCGATGATTCACTCCCCAAGTGAGCCGCAACGGTCGATACTATGCCGATCCGAAGCCAGGAGCCTCTTCCGGGTCTCCCACGCGGGTGCAGGGTCCCAAAGCTTTGGGCCGTCCTCGACTGCTTTCCCAGGCCACAGGCAGGGAGCTGGAAGGGAAGCAGGGCAGCCGGGATTAGAACCGGCGCCCATATGGGATCCCGGGCGTGCAAGGCGAGGACTTAACCACTTGCGCCACCGCGCCGGGCCCTAGATGTACTTTTGAGCTTCACTCTGGTTCAGCCCTGGCCGTCGCAGACATTGGCAGTGAACTAGCAATAAGGCAGAGCTCATTCCTGCTCTCTGACACACTCTCCCCTGTCTCCCTCTTTCTGCCTTTCCAATAGATGTTTTTTTTTAATTTCCTTTATTTAAATGAATTAGAGGGATATGATATTGAGCTTACACCTCTGTGAAGCATGGCCTTTCTTTATGTGTACATTTTCTGTAAATCTGAAAATAAGCTGCCTATCTTCACAAAAGGATGGTCAGCCAGCTTTTCTTGGAGCATGTCTGATTGTCCAGGGGACTTCCAAGGGTCTAGTCAGTTCATGTACCAGAGAAACCCTAATTGTGAACAGTGTCAACAAAAAATATTTTGAGATTTCTAAGGTACAAATGTGTCCCTTCCACCAAAAAAAAAAAAAAAGAAAGAAAGTTCTGAAAAGCCAGTTGTACTTTACTCTTGCTTATAATTTATCTGCTTTTGTGTGTGAGTTCATCCTTTGTACAACATTTCAGCTCATCAGGCCACTTCCTGCTTGTTGCAGATGCCCGGAGCTGGAAGATCCCCAGGATCTTTTCATGGCTGCAGCAAGAAGGGCAGCTCTCGGAGGAGGAGATGGCCAGGACGTTTAACTGTGGGGTTGGAGCTGTACTTGTGGTACCAAAGGAGCACACAGAGCCACTTCTGAGGGACATTCGGCAGCGCCAGGAGGAAGCCTGGGTGATTGGCAGCGTGGTTGCCCGAACTAAAGGTAGTTGCTCTATGTTTGTAAATGTCTGATGTGCCAATTAACTGAGCCCCACCATGACACTGTGGCTGTGCAGTTATGGCTGGTACTCCCGTGACCTGACAAGCCCCAGTGGAAGCCCTTGTCTTTCTGCCTCAGTTGCATCTGTGCACGCCTACTCCCCATGGAGTCACTTCCTGAAGTGATCCCCCTGTTTGTGAGATGTCATGGCTCACTTTCTGGTTCATCTCAGTCGAAGGAATAGTGAAGGAGCACCCTGACAAGGCCTGAATATTAGTTGGGCCTCTAGTGGAAATGTTAGAACTTGGCAGTGGCACGAAATCTCAGGTGAGCTTAATAAGGCTGTCCCAGATTGTTTTCTTTGTCTGCCTTTATTTCCTCTGTTGAATAGGCTTCATTTTCAGACAGGTCTTCCAGAAGCCAGAAATATAGCACCTTCTAGCTCACCTTACAGCCAGGAGCTCTGTATCTTACCATCCCATAGCACCAACCTGCCCAACACCAGGAGGTTGTGACACTATCATGGGTGGTCTCATTGGGAAGATTGGTCAGTTATTGGAGACCAAACACTGGCAGACCCATAACAAAGTCACAGTAAGCTTCTAGATAACAAGATATCCTGTAGCAGTAGTTGAAGCACGGGAGTACAAATGTTTGCCCTTGTCATTATGAATGAGTAATACCAAAAAATACCAAATGATAAATAAGACTTGTTACTAATTTTAGTGCTTGTGAATCAAAGAACAAGATACAGTATTGTAAGGTTTTCATAAAATAGTTTTTCTGTTACCTGTATTGCCAACTATTGTTAATGCATTGAAGGTTCCCCTTGTGTAAAAGTCAAGAATCTGACTGAAGCCTTGCAAGTGGACAGGTCAGTGCTGGAGAACAGCTCCCTGGAAAATCATTCCCCTGCCCATCCAAAAAAGGCAAGAGTGGCTGTCTTGATATCCGGAACAGGTAAGATGTGGCTTTGTCGGAGCTGCTGTGCTGGAAGCTGCCCTTCCTTCCCTAAAGGAAGGACACGCTCAGGTAGTCAGGATGCTCTCAGCAGTCTCGGTGGGGGGTCACCAGCACGAGGAGGGGGCTCCTTTCAGCATCCACCGCCTTTCAAGCCATGTCATGGGTGTGACCCAGCCACTTGAGGACAGAGCAGTGGGAGTGAGAAGGATGATTAAACAGAAATCACAAGAGACAGGATAGAAATCCCAATGTCTGCTGTGTTCAAACTTTGTGAGAACGTCTAAAATCAGTTGAGATTTGTTCAGCTATTACTCATTAAGAATGAAAATTTTTGTTTCACATTTTTATCAGCAGAGTAGTAAATAAGAGTACTGTGTTCCCCAATGAATATAGCATCTCCCCCTTTATATCATTGCTGCGAATGCTGTTGTCAATACACACCTTGTGTAGTTTCAGGCATGTATCTGATTATTTAGTGTATATTCCCAGAGGTATAAGTACATATTTTAAGGTCAAGTGCTGGTGACGAGAGAGGACGATAAGGGCCATAGTGATTTATGCTTTTTCCTTACTAAAGCAGTTTATTATATAAGCATCAGTGTTAAAATTATGTTATATTGTTCCTACTGCAGTGCTAGATTATAAGAAGTATAAGCTCAGGGCTGGCATTGTGGCATAGTGGCATTGTGGCTGGCATTGTGGCATCTAATCCTCTGGCTGCCCTGCTAAAGCATGGGAAACCCAGAAGAAGCTCTAGTCTCCTGACCCAGTCCTGGCAGTTGCGACCATTTGGGAAGTGAACCTGCAGGAAGATTCTCTTCCAGCCTGTCCTCCTGTTTCTGTAACTCCACTGTAGGCCTCCACAGCAGCTTTGAAAGAAACCTCTTACCTTGCCAAAAAGAAAAGAAATGTGTGCTCCTCTGTGTGTTCTCCCTTGGCAGGTTCCAACCTACAGGCACTCATAGACAGTACTCAGCAGCCACACAGCGCCTCGCGCATCGCTGTCGTCATCTCCAACAAAGCCGGGGTCGCCGGGCTAGAGAGGGCACAGAGAGCTGACATTCCCACCAGGGTAGGTGGCTCGGGCAGCCTCTCCCACGGTTGGACTTCAGCTTACCATGTCCTCTCGGGTCCCGATCCCCGGTACTCACTTGGCACTGCTGCTTTCTGGGGGAAACCAGCTGTCCCTGTCCTTACTCTGTCGGTGTGTCTTCACAGGAAAGTGGAAAATACGCTATATAAAGGTAGAGTTTTGCCCTTTTGTAACCGGTTGAAAAAAGTTGTGCCTTTCTGTGTTACAGGTGATTAATCATAAATTATACAAGGATCGTGTAGAGTTTGACAATGCCATTGACCAAGTTCTTGAAGAATTCTCCACAGACATAGTCTGTCTTGCAGGATTCATGAGAATACTGTCTGGGCCGTTTGTTAGGAAATGGACTGGTAAGCCAAAATTGTTTGATACTACACTGAGAAATCAAAACTGCAAATGGATTCCAGAGTGGTTCACCCGCCAGTCCGTCTCAGTGGTGACATATTTAATATGATGGCTTTTACTTGAAGTTAATGCAAAGAAAGTTCAGTTACTCCAAAGACCAGCACAATGATGATTTATATATCTGTTGCCTTAATCATTCTTGACTTGCTATAACTAACCACTGTGCTAATAGAGCTTAGTTTTCATCTTCTGATTAAATATTTGGAAGCTTAGGAGCAGGATGAAGTCACTTCCTGTATCCCCAAATCAGGAGGTCTGGGATCCCCTCCCTAGGGAACAGATCATTGCCAGAGAGGCAGGCAAGCATTGTTGGCAGAAACTCATATTATCTTGTGTGAATTGTCTTGCTCCCCAAAAGCTTTAGTTGCTTTGTTGTGCACAATTTTGGGAGCAATATATACATTTTCCTTCCAAGGAGTTTCTATTTTTTTGATTGAATGTAGAGAGCACTTGTGAAGTAATAGCACACATGTAATGCCTTTGTTGACACAAAGGACTAACTAACTAGCATCTAATTGGTGAACACATCACTTTGTGGCTGGACGTCAGGTACCTGGGACCAGCATGTGCTGTAACAGTTAAGCCACGTCCTGCAGAGCTTGCTTTCCACGTGAGTCCTGATTTGAGGCATGGCTGCTCCACTTTCAAGTCAGCTCTCTGCTAATGCTCTGGGAAAACAACAGAGGCTAGCCTAAGTGCTTGAGCCCCTGTACCCACATGGGAGACGTGGCAGAAGCTACACATTCTGCCTTCACCCTGGCATAGTCCCAGCATTTGCAGTCATCTAGGGTGTGAACCAGCAGGTGGAAGATCTGTCTGTGTCTCTCCCTCTCTATAACTCTGCCTCTCAAGTAAATAAAAATAAATCTTGAAAACAGAACAAAGTGAAGCATATAGTGGCCATGTTATGGCCCAAGTTAAGCCACCACCTGAAATGCCAGGTACAAATTCAGGTACCAGCTACTACTCCACTTTCCAATCCAGCTTCCCCCTAATGTGCCAGGGGAGGAGGCAGAAGATGGCCCAGAGAGTTGGGCCTGGCCACCCCCAGGGGAGTTCCTGGCTCCAGGCTTTGGCCTGGCCCAGGCCTGGCTGTTGCAGCTGTTTGGAGAGAGAGCCAGTGAATGAAAGATCACTCTCATTCTTGCTTTCTCTCACTCTGTCATTTTGCCTTTCAAATATTATGTCTTTGATATCAGAAGTCAAGCACATAGACATGGCATGTGCCAGCCACAGCCCGTGTTTTGAAGAGCCCTGGCATGCAGCTTAGACCTCCGTCGTCCCTTCCCTGTGGCAGCTTGCCTCTGGCCACACAAACTATAGACCCGATGCCGCCAAGGCCTCCTGGACAAGAACTGCTTTTGTTTACCTCATTGTTGTGTTTGCCAAAGGAAACATCCTTCCATCTTCCATTTTCCTTCTCATTCTAGACAGGAAAACATTATATGCTGCTCTCACCAAATTCACAGCATTTCTGAAATTCTGATGGTGATTTTTTAATTTCCAGGGAAAATGCTCAACATCCACCCGTCCTTGCTCCCTTCCTTCAAGGGTGCAAATGCACACGAGCAGGCTCTGGAAGCTGGGGTCACAGTCAGCGGCTGCACCGTGCACTTCGTGTCTGTAAGTCTGTCAGTTTCACCTAAGCGGTACTCAGGGTCAGGTGGGAACTGCGCTGGCTGGAAGATAATGTGTACACCCTTCCCTTCCCTTTCCAGGAGGATGTAGATGCCGGACAAATTATTCTGCAAGAAGCTGTTCCGGTGAAAAGGGGTGACACTGTTGCAACTCTGTCTGAAAGAGTAAAGTTAGCAGAACATAAAGTATTTCCTGCAGCCCTCGAGCTGGTGGCCACTGGAGCTGTACAGCTTGGAGAAAATGGCAAGATTTGTTGGGCCAAAGGGCAATAAAGCCTAATTCAAAAGTGGGCCCAGGGGGCCCAGCGCAGTGGCCTAGCAGCTAAAGTGCTCACCTTGAATGCACCGGTATCCCATATGGGCACCACTTCCCATCCAGCTCCCTGCTTGTGGCCTGGGAAAGCAATCAAGGACGCCCTAAAGCCTTGGGACCCTAAACCTACATGGGAGACTCGGAAGAAGCTCCTGGATCCTGGCTTCAGATCAGCACAGTTCCGGCCATTGAAGTCACTTAGGAAGTGAATCGTCGGATGGAAGATCTTCCTCTCTGACTTTCCTCCTCTCTATGCTCTCTGTAGATTTGACTTTCCAATAAAAATAAATCTTTAACAAAAAAAAAAAAAAAGTGGCGCCAGTTTTCAAAGAATTGTTACTCTAGAAGAAGCTCCTGGCTCCAGCTCAGCTCAGCTCTGACCATTGTGGCCATTTGGAAAGAACCAGTGAATGGAAGATCTCTATCTCCTCTCCATAACTCTTCCTTTCCAATAAAAATCAATAAATCTTTTTTTAAAAAGGTGGGGTAATAAAAAGCTATTAGAGGAGCTGGCACTGTAGTGTAGTAGGTAAAAGCTTCTGCTTATGGTGCCAGCATCCTATATGGGCACCAATTCACGTCTCTGCTGCTCCACTTTTGACCCAGCTCCCTGTTAGCAGCCTGGGAAAGCAGCAGAAGATGACCCATGTTTTTGGGTCCCCCTGCCCACGTGGAAAACCCAGAAAAAGCTCCTGGCCTCAGGCTGGCCCAGCTCTGGCCACTCCTTCCATTTCAGGAGTGAACCAGCAGGTAGAAGATCTGGGCGTCCTCTCTATGTAACTCTTCCTTTTAAATTTTTAAAAAAATTTTTTTAATGGGGGGAGGGTCAGTGCGATGGCTTAACAGGTTAATCCTTCCACCTACAAGTGCCTGCATCTCATGGGCACCAGTTCCAGTCTCAGCTGCTCTACTTGTCATCTAGTTCCTTGCTTCTGGACTGGGAAGGCAGTAGAGAATGGCCCAGGTCCTTGGGCCCCTGCACCTACATGGGAGACTTGAACATCTGGCTCCTGGCTTTGGATCAGCTCAGCTCAAGCCATATTGGGAGTGAATAGTGGATGAAAGATCGCTCTCTATATATCCTCTGTGGATCTGCCTTTCAAATAGATTAAAAAAAAAAAAAAAACTTACCTATGGAACTATATCATAAAAAGTTTAAAAAACTATTAGATCATATCCATGATTGAAAGATATAATCTGTGTATTACCTATGTCAGATCTTTCTTGTTCACACTCAAGCTAGGATTTCAGAATTCCTTTCAATGACAACAAAGAACATAGTAATATTTTTTTTCCCTCCTTTTCTTACCAATATGCCTCAGTTCTGTAAGTCCTGTCTTCTGTAATCATTGGTTTCTGTGGTTTTTAATGTGTCTGATTTGCAAGGACACAAGAAATCCTGAGAAGACCAGCTATAGCCATGCGTTCCACTCCTGCTCTTGCTGCATCTTGTGTGTAGCTCAACTGCTTTCAGGTCAGGGCCACATAAATAGGTCATAGTTCTTATGATCAAAACATGCTGCTGGTCCCCAGGAAAGGCTGCAGCCTCCATGGACAGCCGGGCAGCCAGCAGGGTGTCACAGCCATACCGAGGCTTCAGCAGCTTGGCAGCTGGAGAAGCAGATGGTGGCATGTTCAAATCTCAACAAGACTTTCCAGAACCTAGTAACTCCAGTATTAAAAAGTAACAGGACCATGGTAGAGCAGGGTGAAGCCAGCAGCATGCCATACGGATAGTTGTCCTGGCTGCTCCACTTCTGACATGTCCCACTGATGTGCAGGGAGCAGCGAGTGACAAGGCCCAAGTGCTTGGGCAGTTACCACCCAATTGGAAGTCCCTCATGGGTTGGATTCCAGGTTCCTGGCTTTGGCCCGGCCCAGGCCAGACCACTGCAACCATTTCCAGTATGAAACCAGCTGAAGAAGGACTTCATTGCTTTCTCACACAACTTAAATTCTTTAATTTATTTATGTATTATTACTATTACTAAAACATTTGGGCCCAGCATGATGGTGTAGTGGCTAAATCCTCACCTTGCACGCTCCAGGATCCCATGGGGGTGCCAGAGCATGTTTCTGGCTGCTCCACTTCCCATCCACCTCCCTACTTGTGGCCTGGGAAAACAGTAGAGGAAGGCCCAAAGCCTTAAGACCCCTGCATCCTGGAAGACCTGGAAGAAGCTCCTGGCTTTGGATCAGTTAAGCTTCGGCTATTGCGGCCACTGGGGCAGTGAGCCAGCAGATGAAAACTGGAACGGAAGTGGAGTAGCTGGGATACAAACCAGCACCATATGGGATCCCAGCGCATGCAAGGGGAGAACTTACACCACCAGTCTACTGTGTAGGGCCTTCGGTATCTCCTCTCTAAATCTGCCTTCAATAATAATAAATTTAGGGCTCAGTGTGATGGCCTAGCAGCTAAAGTCCTCACCTTGAACCTGCTATGGCACAGTTCTAATCCTGGCAGCCCCACTTCCCACCCAGCTCCCTGCTTGTGGCCTGGGAAAGCAGTGTAGGATGGCCCAAAGCCTTGGAACCCTGCACCCACATGGGAGACCCGGAAGAGGATCCAGCCTCCTGGCTTCAGATCAGCTCAGCTCTGGCCGCTGCGGTCACTTGGGGAGTGAGTCATCGGATGGAATATGCTCCTCTCTGTCTCTCCTCCTTTCTGTATATCTGATTTTGCAATGAAACTAAATAAATCTTTTTAAAAATAATAAATTTTAGGGCCCGGCGCGGTGGTGCAAGTGGTTAAAGGTCCTCACCTTGCACGCCCGGGATCCCATATGGGCGCCGGTTCTATCCCAGCAGCCCCGCTTCCCTTCCAGCTCCCTGCCTGTGGCCTGGGAAAGCAGTCGAGGACGGCCCAAAGCTTTGGGAACCTGCACCCGCGTGGGAGACCCGGAAGAGGCTCCTGGCTTCAGATCGGCATAGTATCGGCCCGTTGCGCTCACTTGGGGAGTGAATCATCAGACAGAAGATCTTCCGCTCTGTCTCTCCTCTCTGTACATCCGCCTTTCCAATAAAAAAATAATAAAAATAAATATAAAAAAATAAATAATAATAAATTTTAAAATAGAGCATTTGGTTCCAGCATTATTACATTGCCGGTAAAGCCGGTCTGTGATGCTGGCATTCTTTATAGCTGCCTGTTCAAGCCCTGACTACTCCACTTCAAAGGTAGCTTCCTGCTTAAGCACCTTGGAGGCAGCAGAAAATGACACCCTCATTGGGGTCCCTACCACCCATGTAGATCAGGATAGACTTCCTGGCTACTGGTTTCTGCCTGACCCAGCCCTGGCCATTACAGATGGAAGTCCCTCCTGTTTTAGCCAATAGCTTTCTCCGGGTCTTCCCCCATGCATGCAGGGGCCCAATCCATATTTCGCTGCTTTCCCAAGTACTTTAGCAGGGAACTGAACTAGAAGTAGAATAGCCAGGTCAAGGGTCTGGTGCAGTAGCCTAGTGGCTAACTCCTTGCCTTGAACATGTCAGGATCTCATATTGGCACAAGTTCATGTCCTGGAGACCCCGTTTGCCTTCCAGCTCCCTGCTTGTGGCCTGGGAAAGCAGTTGAGGATAGCCCCAAAGCCTTGGGACCCCACACTTACATGGGAGACTCAGAACAAGCTCCTGGCTCCTGGCTTCGGCCCTGGGAGTCCTGGAAGAAGCTCCTGGCTCCTGGCTTTGGATCGGCTCAGCTCCAGCTATTGAGGCCACTTGGGAAGTGAACCAGCAGATAGAAGATCTTTCTGTAAATCTGTGAAGCACATTTGGGATCCTGGAGCTTGCAAAGGGAGGATTAGCCAGCAGAGTGTGCTGGGCCCCCAGGGAATTTTCATGATAGCTACATGGGAGGACGGAGGCTTTACATGTGACACATTCTGTCCCAGACCTGGAATTTCCTCAAGAAGAAGCAGCAAATAATTTGTCAACTTGGTGATTAGAACCCCATCGGGGCAGCTGAGCCACTCCTTCAATTCAGTGAATTTCTTTTGATAAGTGGTTAATCCTAAAGGAAAGGCAAGGACGCCTTGAGCTAAGGGAGACCAGAAGCTGGGTTCTGCCTCTGCATGAGGAACACTGAACTTCCTGACACCACATGGCAGGTCGATCCAACTCCGAGGCAGCAGGGGGATGGGTGAAGGGAAGGCCACCGGGAAGCTCATCCTGCTGCTGCCCACAGCCGCCATGGTCCTCATCTGCTGCTGAGCCCCCTGCGGCGGCATCTGCCAGCGCCCAGGCCTGGCTACGCGACCTCGTGGCGAGTGTAAGAAATGAGAGAATCCTGGCCTAGCGCAGTAGCCGAGTGGCTGAAGTCCGCACTTTGCACGCACTGGGATCCCATATGGGCTCAGGTTCTAATCCCGGCGGCTCTGCTTCCCATCCAGCTCCCTGCTTGTGGCCTGGGAAGGCAGTTGAGGATGACCCAAAGCCTTGGGACTCTGTGCCCGTGAGTGGGAGACCTGGAAGAGGATTCAGGCTCCTGGCTTTGGACTGGCTCAGCTCCGCCCATTGCGGTCACTTGGGGAGTGAATCAGCGAACAGAAGATCTTCCTCTCTCTCCTCCTCTCTGTATATCTGACTTACCAATAAAAACAAATAAAGCTTTATTATTATTTATTTATTATTATTATTATTAATCTTACTTAGTTAATTAGGCACAAAGGTTCAAGGGCTACAGGAAAGGGGTAAGACCATTGTTTCCACACTAATATCATCATTTTTTATTTCATTGTATCTGGGGTCAGGGAGAAACAACACGGAAATGCAGAGCAGAAACTTCCTAATCCTGTGAACTGGATTACAGATAAAGGCAGAGGTACAGGAACTCCCATAACCTCACTTTAACTCCTTCTTGCTGTTGATACAGAAATTCCTCCAACCTCCTTCCCCTCAGGCCTGTGTGATCCTATCTAAGAGTTGGTCATTGTTAACTGACCATCAGCCAGTCCATGTGTTTGATTATTAGCTCCATGCACCAAGTCCATCGCTGCCAGACAGCGAACAGTCTCCCATGCAGGTACAGAATCTCAAAGTTTTCCCAGGCACACAGC